GGAGGACGAACCTATCGTTCTCAAACCGGAAACCTCCATCACCTGCTCGACGAAGCGCCTTCTCGAAGCCTTGGATAAGAGATTGGTCTTGGCCGCCCAGGCCTGTCGATCCGGCTCGCCGAGAAGGAGACGAGAGGAGGATCCACGAGCGAGCTCGGCGCGAGTGCGTGCGTCGGCGTCGTCGCGCTCGGTCGTATTCGAGTCAGAGGGGGCTGAAGCAGGACCGTCGAGGGTGGCGGCCGAGGTGACAGGGCGTTGTCCCTCAAGAGGGGTTGCTGCGTGGCCGGGAGGTTTGGCGTGACCGAATCGGAGGCTGCCGGCCAGTTCAGCCGAGAGCTTCCGAACGTGGCTCTGCACCTTCCTCAACGGCTTGTCCAGCGCATCCGCGTAGACGACGACGTCGTCTTGAATCTGAACCTCATTTCGGTCAAAGAGGGTAGCCGAAACGGCCATAGGACATTTCGTGCCCAGGTCGATGCCAATAATGATGGAGTCGTTGGCACCGTCCTGGACGATTTGTCGGAGTGCCTCATCGGTCGTGTAGCGGGTTCCGATGCGATCTGGACCAGCCCAGTCCTGCTCCGGCGAGGGAAGTGAAGGCGAACACGGTTCGTCAGCTGGATGATACTGGATCCATTCCCCCCGGCCCGGAGACGGGCGGCCCCCGCGCCCGCGCAGCGAATACGCACCTCACCCTTGCCGTGGCTGTAGAGAAGTTTGAGGACCTTCTCGCCGGCATTCTCGACCCTCTCGAGGCGCGGCATACCGCCTCGTACTGTCGGTAATGGGACCAGAGTCGAGGCGGAAACCCACTTGACGAGCTCGTTGGGAGTGGCGAGGAGCAACGACCGTGCGATACAATCGTAGGTCGGGTCGAACGCCACGGTTCCGCTACTGGTCACGTGCTCGAACGTCTCCGCGATCGACTGCGGGTCACGCGTGGCTGCCGGGGCAGGGGTGTCGGCGCAAAGTGGGACTCGGAGGAGCAGGGACAACTTGTTGGGGATCGCCTTGGCGACGTTGTAGCCTAGAAGCCGGACCGTTTGTCCATCCGATCGCCATTCTCCGTGGGGCACAAAGCCATTCGCTCCAAAGCTCTCAATGTTGAAAAGAACCTTCGCCACGAGGGGTCCGAGATGATCGAATCGGGTGTCGATCCGACCCGAGTCAGGCCGACGGCTGGGGGGGGCCGCCTTCTTGGCGCGCTTGGAAGGGGGAGGATCGAGCGTCGTTTCAGGTGAGGGCTCTTCGAGATTGGCCGTGGATGATGAGGCGGTAGCGAGAGCCGGTGCCACGTTGGCCGGGGCGGTGGTGGCACGAGGGGTCGCTTCCCCGAGCTGCTGATTGAGGTGACGGCGCAGCACCTCCCAGCGCTCGATCCATTCTCGCTTTGACGCCCACGAGTTCGTTGAGGTCTCGACAAAGGAGTAAGCGGAGGAGAGAGGGGGCTCGATCTGCGCGAGTAGCACGGTTGCGACGTGGTCCACGGGGTTGCTCGAGACGTGCGATCGCCAAGGCACCCACACGCATCGTAGCCATTCGAGCAAGGTCTTGGCCACGTCTTCACCTTTGTAGATGAGGATAGACGTGCGTCGTGGGGTCATGGTAATGAACTCGCCCCCCAAATTCTGTGCAAAGAGGTCGGATGGTTGAACAATCGGATCAGTGCAACTGCACTCGCATTGGAGCGCGTCGGCCCGCTGACGGCCGGGTCGACTCGTTGAAACGCGGTGAGAGCCGGCGGTGCCACCACTGGGGTTAGGAGGGCCGGGAAGAGACAATGAGGGCGGTGTGATACCCCTCGGATCCAGTCGCAGATCGTCTGCTCGGCAAGACGGGAGCGCTCGTCCGGTGTGAGCATCCGCGGCGAGTTGTCGCGGATGATTTGCACCGTAACTTGCAACGTAGACGTTGCCACCGACGCTAGATCATACAGGTTTACCGCCTTTTGTGCCTGATTCGAGGCCTTGTCGTGTAGACTCGCGATCTTTGTGGTCAGGTCGGAAAGGAGTCGAACGTCGTGGTCGTCGGGCGAGTTGGCGAGTCTTGCTTCGTAGACAGCCTCAACAACGGCCTTCTTGACGCTGGACTTGAGTGACGAGCCCATATCCTTGCCCTTTTTCGCGGGTGGCGAGTACTTTGCGTCGTCCGCATCGTCGTCCTGGGGGGGTGTATTCGAGGTGAAGACGAAGCGACTGTCGACAAAGGCCGCGACGATTTGGTAGACTCGGTCTTTCCATCCAAAAAGCGCCTCGACGATCCTCATCGCACGGTCGTCCCACCAGTTGGGGGTGTAGGGGATCAGGGGGATCGGAGGGCGATTGCGTTTGGTTGCCTCAACGGCGTAGATCAAGGTAACCCACGCCTGTGCGAGGACCGATTCAGGGAACCCGTACCAGCGTGCCACCAACGAGCCGTCAGCCCCGTGCTCGTTTCGTCGCTGGTGTCTCGAACCATACGTCACTTACACCGGAAAATCCGATCGAGTCTTGCCCCCCCGATACGCGACGAAAATGCTCGTATTCTTGAGCACGTCGTTGCGACCCCTCGGGCGCATCCGAGGTGAGCCGATCCTCGAATTTCGTCAAGGTCTTGCCGGACGTGGCCTTGCCGCCGTCTTCTCGCAAGAGGTAGAGGAGGGCAAAGAGCAAGGTCCGCCACGCGTTCTTGTTGTCGCCTAGGAATCTCCACTGATCATCGGTGAGCTTGGCCAGGGTATGCCCTAGGGCCTCGCCGAGAATGGACTCGATCTCCCTGTGCGAGATCACAAGGAGGCGCACGAGCGGCTGCAGCGTGTGCAGGCTCGGCTTTCGGTCGGAGCCGGCAAACGGAGCGTCTACCATGGCGGCATGCTCCGTTCGTGGCACTGGGGTCGCCATCTTCGCGGGTGAAATTGATGATGGTGCGACGTGGTGCGAGGCGAAGGCGCTTGACGGGGACCGGCGCGCTCCTGGCTCATGAGCTCGATCTTCTGATCCCTCAAAATGACTCCGAACCATGGAAGGGCAACACGAGTAATGGTCGTTCGGACTCAGAGTAGTACGAGCAGATGCGTGAAAATATGAGCCTCATGTTACAACCATCAAAAACACTGCTTTTTTCATTGGTGCTGCTACAAATCAGGTCGACTTGGTGACCTCGGGTGACCGAGGGGTCTCCTTTTTCGGAGCATCGCAGCGCCGAGGGAGCTGCGATGCCGAGCGGCGGCGGCGCGGGCTAGCGTCATTGGCACGGATGAAGCAAGAACTTGACCTCGAGTCGCTTGGTAAGCGCCAAGCCTGGCCTCAGGACGAGTATAAAAGCGCCACCCCCCTCAGGCGCTTGACGGGGACCGGCGCGCTCCTGGCTCATCAGCTCGATCTTCTGACCCCTCAAAATGACTCCGAGCCATGGACGGGCAACACAAGTAATGGGTCGTTCGGACTCAGAGTAGTACGAGCAGATGCGTTAAAATACGAGTGTCATTTTGCAACCATCAAGAATACTGCTTTGCTCATTGTTGCTGCTGCAAATCAGGTCGACTTGGTGACCTCGGGTGACCGAGGGGTCTCCTTTTTCGGAGCATCGCAGCGCCGAGGGAGCTGCGATGCCGAGCGGCGGCGGCGCGGGCTAGCGTCATTGGCACGGATGAAGCAAGAACTTGACCTCGAGTCGCTTGATAAGCGCCAAGCCTGGCCTCGGGGCGAGTATAAAAGCGCCACCCCCCTCTCACCTCTCTCTCTCTCCTTCCTTCTTCTTCGTTGATGAGTACCTCTCACATGGCTCCTCCACCACTGGGCCGAAACCGACTAGCGCATCGACGCTGCACCGAGGCGGTAGGTGGTGGAAGTCGGCAGTAGTGTACCATCAGCCACCGTGAGTTCCCTCCCCCCCCCCCCACTCGTTGCAAGTATGTACCACCGTCGCTGACTTGGGCACTGCCCTCCTCATCTTGACTCGGATCGTCATCAGCCTCCGATCTCGCTCTTGATCGAAGAGGGGCCCACGGCAGTCCTGGTCGTCTTGCGAGGTAAAAAGTTTGGGAGAAGTTGTTGATTATCATTGTATCGGGTCAGTCCCGCTTGTGGCCGCCTCCGAGCATGCACCCCCACCGCCACCGCCGCTGTCATCATCGGCCGGACACGACCTCGTACGACAGACTTGGGCTGACCTTGCTCTGACCTTCACCTTTGCATGCCCGTTCATCTTCATCTACCTTCACATCACACCATCTTCACCTCTACATCGATTCTCGTCTTCACCTTCACCCTTCACCCTTCCCCATCACCATCACATTCGCTTCCACCTCGAATCACCTCCACCTTCATCCTTTGCCTTCACCTCTACGTCTGTTTCTCCCCATTGTACCTCCACCTTTGACTTAACCGCATTTCATGCTGCTCGTTTTTGACCTTGATCTTGATCGTCAACCTCGCCTTCACCGCACCGTCAACCTCTTGCTTACGTCATCCACCTCCACCTCCACCTTTGCCTCCACCTCGGGATTTGGCGTTACAGGGGGTTTCCTTGTCCGCCAATCGGCAGTGCAAGACGTCATGACCGGTATCAATGATGAATCAACAACTTTGTCCACAAAAAGTGAGTTTTATGCACACCAGGTATCACTGCCTACTAGTAGTTCCGTCTGCTCGAACGTCAAGTTGCGAGCTGCTGCTAACATGCATGGTCACCCGCTGCCAACAGCTGCTTCAACTGGCAATGCGGCGGGACAGGTCAGACTCGAGGACGGGGATGATGGAGAGGAAGTGGGGATGTGTGGGCGTTCGCTGTGTTTGCTCTTTTCGCTTTTTCTCACGTGCACGTATCAGGCCGCGTTGCACAGCGACTCCGACGATGGTCCTCTTCTTTGTTTTCTCATTGTTTGGGTAGAACAGAGTCCGAGGATTAACCGTACTGGAATGTCGACCCGCCCGGAGCGCTAAGCTCGCATCGTGTGAACATCGTGGGAATACCTTACCAGGGCGGCGGCAAGGTCCGCTCCCTCCGCGTTCGTCCTAGCCATGGCCACCGCCGACGAATCCTACGATGCGACAGGCACTACACCCAACACGTTGGACGAACTGCAATCGCTCGTCGCCTCGTCCCAGTTCGAACTCGCTCTTGCGCTCTCCCTCCGCCTCCAACTCGAACCGTCCTACACGTCCTACCTCGCCCAACGCGTGTACCTGAACCTCACACGCGATGGCGCAACCCCAAGCCTCGACGACCTCGAGCGGCTGTACCCTTTGATCGTCGACGATGAATGGCTCGCCATCGCCGCGTGCCATGTCCTACGTAGCAGCTCGTCCGTACCTACGATGCCGGCGTTACCCTCCACCAAGCTCGCGTTGTATGCGCTGGAAAAAGGTCTCGAGGCTTCGGACGTGTTGGCCTACCTCCGACCCGAACTGGGCGAACTGATCGAGGAGGCCGACTGGGAACGACTCGAGCAACTCGTGCACAAGGACCAGTCCGTCAAGAAGGCCGTCTTGGTCAGGAAAGCCCTGTTGGAGATGGGAGATCGTAAAAATACCTATCAACAGATTTGGGGGGCCGAGGAGCAGCAGGCCGCCGTCGCTCGAGAGGCCGGAGCCGAGGTCGGCGATGAGCACGATGACGAGTGGCGAGGGCTCGACATGGAGCAGGACGATGACGCCGCGGATTTCAAGAAGCCATTCAAGCACACCATCACTCCTACCATCACTCTCCCCCTGTTCCTCTCCCAAGCTCTGCTCGACACGGCGCTCTTTCTCGCGGCTTCGTCCCAACTCGACGCGCTCAAGGCCGTCGTTGCTCACCATGGTCCACAGCTGTGGCCGCATCGCTTTACCATCCTCGGCGCCATACCGGAGTGGCAGGAACCGTCCTCGTATGCCGAACTACTCCCTTCACTCGGCAGGGACCTCGTCGAGACCAAGTGGACGAGCAAACCGTGGAGGGAAGAGCAGGACTGGGTCGAACACTTTTCACTCCGAGAGGACGACGACGAAAGTGAAGGAGAGCAAGCCGCCTTTAAGCGCGAAGATCTGCCCCTTTCCGCAGATGGACTGGCAGAGTACTACATCAAACGCATCGAGCACGTCGCCTCGCTCGGATTGGTCTCGACCGCGCTCTCGCTCGTGCAACACTGCGCTGCTAGTCTCAACATCTCGCGCTTGGAAGAGCTCGGTGAAGAGTTGTCCTTGCTCAGTCGACTCGTCTACGATCGCCCTGATCGACCCAGACATGCTTCAACATCCCGTTCGACGCTCGATGACCTTGAAGAGACCTTTAACTTGACCCATTGGCGCTCCTTGGACCCTCCGGCGATCGTCGAAGCGTACCTCTCGACATCGACCCCTGCCAACATCGCGACCTCGATCCGTCGACTGGTCCTGCCCTACCTCTCCGTCCTCGAAGCACGTCTCGAGCGACTTGGACACGCCGACGCGACGCTCTCGTCTCGACTCCTCATCGACTACCTCTTGGGTCTGGCAGCATCGACACCCCCTCAACTAGCCTTGCTCGTCGCCGTCATTGAGGCGAGCAAGCCGACGCTCTCTTCCGTGACGCGACTGATCAAGTCGGACGAGGACCTCGCCCGACTTGCCCTGGCTAGCATTTATGGCTGTCGAGACTCGTCAGCCGAGGCGCTCGTTTGGTTCGGCAAGGTTTTCGAGTGCCTCCCCGCCTTCAACGACGCCTCCAACGACGATGAAGCGACTCCTACAAGCGACCCAAGAATAACGCTCTACTCGCTCGTCTCCTCCTCCTCCACCTCAGCCACGCCGACCCCTAAAACTCTCTACACGCACCTGCTCCCCTTTGCCGCCTCCCGTCTCTCCGCCTCCCTCGACCTCCTCGATCTCCACCTAGCCCAAGCCGAAGTATTTTCGCGCTACTCGTGCGCCGTCCCCCTCTCATGGTTCCTCACCTCCCACAATGATCTCAAAGCCCAAAAAGCCTGGGCGACTCGATTGGCTCGGACGGCGAGTACAGGTGGGGGAGGCAAGAAGGGTGAGGAAGGCGAATTTGAGAGTGAGGATGAATGGATCGCTTTGATGGAGGATATGGTTGGGTTCACGCAGGGGAGGGAGGAACAGGGGGATGGGTTGCGGAAGGCGTTTGGGTTGTTGAGTGAGGAGGATGTGCTGAGGATTTTCTTCGGAGGTTTGATCGCGGCGGGTAGTGAGTGGTTCGAGTGATGACATTCTACGTGATGTGTGCTGACTCCTCCTCCTCTCCATACTCGACCAGGGATCGCGCTGGCAAAAAGCTTGCTCCAGCCTAGCTCTCGAAGTGCACCCCTTGAACCCAAAGCGATCGAGGAGTTGGTCATTGCCGCCTCTCGCGAATTCTACGACAATGCACCTTCGGGTAACCTCAACAAGGGTGAAATGAAAATGGCTTTCGACTGGCGAGTCGCGCTTTTCATGCTTCATATTGTGTTGCTTCACCGACTAAAGGTTAAATCTCCTTCCCGCAGTTTATCGGCCGCCCCTCAAACCCCTCTGATCCGCCAAGAGCGCGACTTCATCGAAGCGACCTCGCGCCTCTGTTCCTACAAGATACAATCCCACCCTGGAATATCCGTCGCCCCCATCGAGATACGTCTATCCAAGGACCGGCTCGAATTCGTCTCCCGTCTCCTAGGCGCGAACGAAGATGCATATCGACATCCGGAAGTGATTTTGGATCTGGTCGCTAAATTGGGGTATCATCAGGATCGGTTGGCAATGGTGAAGACGATGGCGATGATTGCGGATTCGTCGCTGCAGGCGGGGGACTTTGAAAAGACCGTCGAGGTGTGCGATAGAATGGTAGCCAAGGTCGAGGAGATACGGAGAGAGTCAGCCTTGACTGCTTCGGTGGTTGAAGTGGATCTGACGAAGCAGAAGAGACCCGTCGGAGACGAAGCCGCCGAATACGCCTGGCGGGAATGTTTCCAACTAGGCAAACACGACCTCTTCCAAGACCTCGATCGGCGACTCGTCGCCTTGGGCCAAGCACTCCTCCTTTGTCCCGGTGACAAAATCGTCAACGTCCTCCCCGTATGGACCGCCTTGGAGCAACGTGTTTCAGAACGACCTGCGCAATTCTCGTCTCGTAAAGCAGGGGGAAGTCGATCCGGTCGTGCGGTCACTGAAGCGACCAAGATGGTGGAAGCGGGTGTTGGAGCCGCTTTATCGAGTGGTGTGAAAGCGAAGGAAACGCTCTCGAGGGCAGCGGCGTTCTTTTCGGGTCAGTCACAGGCTCAGGCGCCTCAAAAGGCATTGCATCAACAACATTCGTCGGGTTCGATGCATCCTCATCAGCAAGGGAGAGAGAAGACTGCTGATCGACGATCAAGTATCTACGGACTCGATCAAATCGCACCTGATTCAACCAACCCCAACCCCGCCACCTCTCGCGTACCCCCTTCGCCAAGACGGACTCCCCTTTCACCACCCAAAACCCGAGGTGGTACTGGCGGAGCGGCAGGTCAGCCTCAAGGAGGGTTCCGTGCGGGTCTTTCGGGTATGGCTGCTGCGGGTGTGGGGTGGCTTATTGGGGCGGATGAGGAGAGGGAGAGGGTGCATCAGCTGCAGGTCGAACGGGAACAGCAGGGACAGGGTGAGGAAGAGGAGGAGGAGGACTCTTGGTAGCCTGGTAGGGAGGGGAAGGTGGGGAGGAGAGTAGCACATTCTTTTTTGGGTCTTCTGCAATGTTTCACTCTGGTACATAGGTATTGAAAACACACGCTCTGATGCACAAATACCCTCGAGCTGAGCAGTGAGCAGTGAGCATACAAGTCGCGCCGATCACGATCACTCTTCCCGCCGGCGTCGTGTCAGAGTCCGCCGGTCCGGGGAGGCCCAGACAGACTGCTGGGAGTGGGTCACGTAAATACTGGGTCAGGAAGCCCAGAGCGCCTCGGCGCGCCCGTTGTGAAACCCATTCTAGTCTTCGTAGCTTAGACTTTGACCTTCTCTTGCATTAAATCTCATCTCATCTCATCTCCTCCCTTCCGTTGAGAATCGTGTGCAGTGCCGTCAGAACCTTCTGCTCCAATACTCGAAACGAAATCAGGGTCTTCAGAAGAGGCCTCAGTAGTGCTCGAATTCGTAATCCTCTGTCTTTGCTCTGTCACGTGCCAAAATGTTGGGGAGTTGGATCGGCCACCCCGGAGGGGCAGGACGGTCCAGACTCACGCCGCCGGTTCGATCTCCGAGGTTTGAGGCTTATCGTATGTTTATCAGCGATTTGTCAGCTACTGACTCTGGATTACGAACGCTTGTGCGGCGCGTGTGCCCCGAAAGGCACCCCTGCCTGCTCTCTTTTCTCCTTCATCCTCTACTCAAGCACCAACACGTTTCTACCAACCCTCCTCAATAGACTCATCTAACCCTTCCCGAACGAATATGTCCTCCGCTGAGCTCAAGAACGTCGCTGTGATCGGCCTGGGAGCAGCTGCCGTCGTCGCGGCGAAAGCACTCGCTGCTGGCTTACCCTCCGCTTATCGCGTTGTAGCCATTTCGGATGTCGACTATACCGTAGGTGATTCGCTATGCTCGCCCGATATACCCCCCTGACCCCATTCCCATGCTCCCTCCGGCAGTACTACCACATCGCCGGCCTTCGAGCGCTCGTTCAACCCGGCTTCGAGGACAAGATCATCGGTCCATTGGACAACGTCTTCCCTTCCGGATCTCGTCACATCGTCAAGGCTGGTTCCAAAGTCATCAGGCTTGAAGCTCATTCCCTGACGCTTGCGAATGGCGAGGTGATCCCTTTCGCTTATGTCGTGATCGCTACCGTACGTCGGCCCCCTGGAAATGGATTGACACCGTACTTTATGATTTATGAGAGGAGGACCACCACTCAACCCCTTCTCTCATCTTTGTAGGGTTCAACATACGCTTTCCCCAACCGCGCCCCCTCAGATTGGTCCGTCGAGCAACTCAAGTCCGGCTTGAAGCAACTCAGGGGCCAAGTCGATGCCGCCCCGGAGATCTTGGTCATCGGTGGGGGAGCGACCGGCGTCGAGTTCGCTGGTGAAGTCAAGGGCCAACATGGGGACAAGAAGAACGTTACGGTTAGTCTTGTGACAAGTTTAGTGTGAACGCGATCGGCGACAGCGACTGATATAGAAATATGATCCGCTGCACAGCTCGTCCACCCTTCCAAGACTCTGTTCTCGAATGGCTGCAAGGAGAAGCTCGGCAAGAAGTGAGCGCTTCTAGCTCAGACTTTGCCGCACTGGACTCACTTGATCTAACCTGCTCCGTTTGTGTAGCCTTACCAACTCGCTTACAGCGCTCAACGTTAAGGTCGTCGTCAACACCCGAATCGACGTAGGTGACCTCAAGACCGGCCCCAGCTCAGGTCGCACTTTCACTCTTGGAGACGGATCTGCCATCACTCGTGAGTCCCCGAGAGAAGACGGAAATATTTACAAGGACCAGCGCTAAGTCACTGGCACATTCATCTTTCTCTCCACAGCCGACTTTGTCTTCATTGGCTTCGGATCGACACCCAACAGCGAACTCGTCAAGGCGTTCGATGAACAGCTCGTGAACGAGAAGGGCTACGTCAAGGTCAAGCAGTCTCTGCAAGTTGCTGCTTCCACTCCCGAGCTCGACCACTTCTACGCCATCGGTGACGTGACGGACGTCAAAGAAGCCAAGCAAGCCGTGACGGCCAAGGCGCAAGCCCCTATCGCCGCCGCCAATATCCTCGCTTCCATCAAGGGCATCAAGTCCCTCAAACCTTACAAGCCTGCAGGGGACCTGATCGTCGTCACCGTTGGTCCTAAACGAGGTGCGGGTCAGATGTTTGGTTTCGTGATTGGGGACTTCTTCACATCCAAGATCAAGAGTGGGGGTTTGTTCTTGAGCATGTGGCAGAAGGATTATGGGATCAAGGCATGACCTTTTTCGTGGGGATATCTGATACCATATTACTCTAGAGCTTTGTAGTTGCAGTCTCTCCTCTTGCTTCGCTTGTTGTGAAGCTCTTTCTTGATAGTACCCCTTGCATAATGAAAAGTCGCCTCGTAGTGAGTCCGAAATTCCAGCACTTGGTCTGTTTTCGAGTAACTCCGGTCCGTAGATACGCTTTACGACATGTAACACGGCAAAGTAGCTGTGTTGAGACCATTACCTTCCCTATCGTCGGAGGGCCAGCTCGGGCCAATCGTGGATCTTGAGGGAGACCCTGCGCATTGTAGCCCGTCTCGGGTTCCCGCTCTCCCCGTTCATCTGACGGTGATCCATCGCCATGGCCGACCCAGCTGCACCCGCCAAAGCTCACCGAAAGCGATTCGTAGGTCGCTCCGGTATCCCCCCATCTGGAGTCGATGGCGCACCGGCACCGTCCTCATCAAGCGCCCGGCCAAGCTCGAGCTCATCGACGTCCTTCGCAGCGCCCGTCTCAGCTTCACCCATCGTCGACCCGCTCCTCGCCGCAGCCATCGGCCATCTCCTGCCCGGGAACTACAACTTTGAGATCCCCAAAACGATCGCGCAGATCAAACGCAACAATGCGACGCGCGTAGCATTGCAAATGCCCGAAGGTCTGCTCATGTTTGCCTGTGCGATCGTCGATATCATTGAGCGTTTCAGTGACGGGGTCGAATGTGTGATCATGGGGGATGTCACTTATGGCGCGTGTTGTATTGATGACTATACCGCGCGCGCCTTGGGATGTGATATGATGGTCCATTATGGTCATTCGTGCCTCGGTAAGCTGGCGTTCCTGCTCGGCCAACTTCAGCGGGAAGCTCATGCCCCCGTTGGTTGACCTCCCACAGTCCCCGTCGATACGACGACGATCAAGACACTCTACGTCTTTGTCGAGATCTCGGTCGACCGACCCCATCTTGCGGCTTCGATCCGCCACAACTTCCCCCAGTGCATTCCGACGCCGAGCTCCTCCTCGGCAATCTCTGCGATCACAGGTTCTTCGAAAGGCAAAGGGCCTGAATTGGAGATCGAAGTCGAAAGCACCCAATCGGAACGTTCGACTGTGACGCCTACCTTGGAAGATGAAGGAAAGAGGACCAAGCTTGCCGTCGTGGGAACGATCCAATTCGTCGCGGCTGTCCAGGGGCTCAAAGCCGATCTGGAGAAGGATCTCCCTGAGGAGCAACAACCCGTCGAACGGCTCGCTATCGAGGCACCACGAACGAGTGGAACCGTTTCTTCAACACCAGACGCATCGATTGCCAATAGACAACGAGCCAAATTCGACGTCGTTGTGCCTCAAGTCAAACCCCTCAGTCCGGGAGAAATCTTGGGCTGCACTGCTCCGAGGCTGTCCAAGGATGTCGAGGCGCTGATGTGAGTACAGAGTCGTCACCGACACGGATTCAAGGTGTCTAATCGTTCTCGTCCTACTCCCCACCACAGTTACATCGGCGATGGTCGATTCCACCTCGAATCCATCATGATCGCGAACCCCCTGGTCCCCGCCTTCCGTTATGACCCCTACACCAAACGATTGACGCGCGAGTTGTACGACCACGACGAAATGAAGCGCGTGCGCGCAGACGCGATCCACCAGGCGAGGGAGAGTCTCAAGTCGAGTTCGGTCAAGTCCTCGAACAACGACGATTCGGGTGTTTGGGCCGTCGTTCTGGGGACTTTGGGCCGACAGGGCAATTTGAGGGTCTTGAGATCCGTGACTAAACAGCTAGCACCATCTGCAAAGCCTCAATCCGAGTCCGACCTCAAGACCTCCAGACCAGCCACCTCGACGTCTTTCATCCCCATGCTTGTATCGGAACTTTCACCCGCAAAGCTGTCCTTGTTCCATGGGATCTCGACCTTCGTTCAAACCTCGTGTCCACGTCTTTCAATCGACTGGGGCTACGCATTCCCTCGACCCCTCCTCTCACCTTACGAAGCGTCCCTCGCTCTGAACGTTACAGGCGCCAAAGGATGGAGTGGGATCGGGTTACCCGCCGTCGAAGAAGGACGAGCGATAGCGTCAGAAGCGCAACATGTCGATAATTACCCAATGGACTTTTATGCCAATCAAAGTATGGGTGAATGGACGCCTAGGCATGGGATGGGGATCAAACGAGCGGGTGGGGAGAAAGGGCGACCCGTGCCCAGGAGTAAAAGACCTGTGGTCGTTCCCTTGTGTACTTGAGTTTGGTAGGGGTTCACAATAGTGCTTTTGACAATGTAAATGAAGCCATGCGTGTACTTCCAAGTTCATATCTTCACATCCAATCCAATCTTCTTCAAATCCGCTGTCCACCTCAACACCTCCCCTCTCACTTCCTCCCTCACATCACCCAATAATGCCCCTAAGATGATCGCCAACACTTCCTCCATGCCCTCGCATAGAAGCTCCCATCTCCATTCCGGCCATGTGTTGACTGCATCTGGATCGGCTCTTAGGGAGGTATGACCACCGGGGAGGAAGCGCGCCAAGGCTTGATGAAAGGTTTGCAGTTTCTGAAGAGGTGTTGAGGTGATCTTGGGGCGGTTCGGTTTGGTCGATTGGATATTGGTTGCCGCTTTGGGTATAGGGGTTGCTGATGTGGTGCGAGGTCCAAGTGGCGTTTTATTAGATCCTGAAGGGGCCGGTTTCACCGATCGGCCTGTCGACGCTTTCGTAGAAGTCGTTTCCGCTGCCCATCGTGACGAGTCGAGGTTCCGCGTGCCATTCGACTGATTCCGATTCGATATCGGCGGTTGTACAAGTGGAGGCTGCACCTGTTCAACGACAATTGGTACCTTCTCTTTCTCCTTCCCCATTTCCATCTCAATCCCTTTCAAACACACCCCTTTCAAGTCCCCCTCCTCCCACCACCTCTTAAGCACCTCCACGCACTCCGCTCCATCCCAATACCTCCAATCGCCCAACTCCTCCAATATGACAGGTTCCTCCTTGGGTCTCTTGATCATCCAGTGATCATAGACGTGCCAATAGATTTCAAAAGCCAAGAGGTGGGCGAGGATGTCGCAGGCGTTGTAGAAGACGTCGGAAGCGGTGCGTACGGGGCGTGGAGGAGGTGGGGAGGAGGGGCGTTCTCTTGGGGGTGGGGGGAAGGCCGATTCGAGTTCCATCGAGTCTTGCGGCGGCATTGGTGGCATCGACAGAGGAATAGGATCGATCTTGCGTGCCGATGCTGGACTCAGAGGTGTGGTCAATTTCGAGCTTCGTTTCTTGTATGGCGACGAAGGTGGAGGGGATGCCGCTCGAACGACGGGCTCGGGTGCACATTCAGCCAACTGCGGCTCGAACAAGGCCAACAGTGCACGAGCGGTCGTCGCTTTCGTCCGATCGATCGAAAAGGCGGCCACGTTGGACGAGTGCGCCTTGACGAGTAGGATCTTGTCCTCCGTCAAGAGCACGGCCCGGTTCTTGTGATATTCGGCCGCGTCGAGCACCAGGTCATCGTTCGAGCCGACGTCTTGTCTCTGGTGAGGCATCTTGGGATCGCGTAGAGTTTCCCGAGGTGTTTGGATCCGTATGGTAGGTCTAATTTGGTTTACTTGAGCCTCGATTCTTTCGAGAATGAAGGTCGTCGCTGTTCGTGCGAGGTTGTCGAGGTCGCGACCGTCCGAGGTGCTCCGTTGTTGGGTCTTGAGCCCGTCGAGTTCCCGTAGCACGATCGAAGGGATCAACAACACCGGTGTTGAAGTTGATGAGGGTTGTACGGCCACGACCATTTCGACAAGCTGGCGTAGCAAGGTCAGATGTCGAATAAGGACATTTGTGTCTGGGCAGGTTGACATGCATGTGGGGGTCTGAGAGCGTCAGCGGAGTTATTCCTCCCTCAGCCAGTTCGAGCCTTGTATCACTACTGACCCAGCACAACGACCTTCCCATCCTCACTCCCTCCCAGCGACATCGACCCCACCACCTGCTGTTGCTGCCCTACGGGAGTGATGAGCTGCACGTCATCCATCTCGCCAAGCCGCTTCCTCACGTCCTCCAGAGCGGATCTAACGACCCTCTCTTCCTCCGTATCATCATCGATATCCATCATCTGGATCTCGTGGTCGTGCGATCCCAATGACATGGTGATGATCACGGGCGGCTCGTTCGGGTTCGACGCCGAGTCCGGCGGGGGAACATACGTCGCGGCATAGGGGGCCATCACCCCGTCGCAAGTGCGGGCACGAGTGCAAGCAGAAGCGATAGATCTTCCTCCCTCAAATACGCTCTGGCTGGCAACCCTTCGGATCGAAGGGGGCAGGGCTCGCTCTCGGTTTGAAGGGGCTGAGCTGCGAAGCGCTCGAGAGGAGAGGAGGCAGAGAGACAGGGGGATCGAGGGTCCGAGCTCAGCGACCAAAATCTTTTTCGGCCATCCGTCTCGTGATGAGCACTATTCATCACATTCCTGTGTTTAGGTAAGCTCGTTCAACGCCCGAATGATTCCTATCCGTTTTACTCAAAGTATAGCTTCACGTTGTTGCTCCTCGAAAAGCTCAAAAGCGTGAACCAACTCGTGGAGTTGCTCACCCGGAAACTGACCAAAATTGGAAACTTGATTCGATTAGGAAATTGCATATGTACACTTTTGTAAGACGAAACGGACAAATACACCGCCACATTCATCGTATATCTTCCAGTCGCAATAAGCTCGCCGACATCCCACTCATACAGCCTTTGACCGCTTCCCGACGACGAAGACGGACGCTCTCTAAACTCTAGCACGACGCCTTCCTCCTCCACCATGGGTACCGCAGGAGAAGCATCGACCCAGGCAGCTGAACAGGCCTGCAAAGGCACCCGCGATGGCGTTGACGATCGAGGAGAGGACGGAAGCGATCAGGCCAAAGAAGCCGGAGATCCCTCGACCGATGGCGGAGAAGATGTTCTGATTGTAGGAAGAGAGGTCGGGAGGGTACACAAAGAAAACGGTCAGTGACTGTACTTGTGAGGGGTATTCATCGATATAGGGCATGCTGAGCGGTGACAGTACCCTCCAAGTATGGGCAGCACGGAGCTCGGTTCTCGGTTAGGGGAGAGGCTAGACGTACAGCGATGGCGGAGCAGACGACACCCATGTTTGATTTCGTACGTTGGTCAAAGAGGTGTTGAGGAATTGGAGACTGTGGATAATCGAGTTTAAAATGGGGTGAGTCGTCGAGTGGCGAAGGACATGAGGACCGTTCCCATGAAGCGGGGCCTAGCGAGGTCACGAGATCACGGGACGGGGGGCGCTCCGAGCGAAACCTCGTCCCCGTCCGAGCCGGTGAAGCGAAACAGACAACTTACGGCACGGGAGATGGAGGCCTCAAGAATCAGTATGGTTTGCTGGAGGTTGTGATGTGATGTGGACGAAGGAAAGAAGAAGCTCCAGAGGGAAAGTTGAAACGTCAAGGTTCTACTCGAGTTGTGCATCTGTGGGACGGAGGTCAGCCGCGGCCACGAGAGGTTCAAGGAGCTCCCGAAGAATTCGACTTCGTCATTTCTGCTTCGCGAACGGGAGCCGTCGACTCGCGAGCGAACTCGCCGCGCGCTTCGAAAAGCGCCCCCATACGTCATCATCATATTCCTAAGCATGCCTGCCTGGGCAGACCAAACACCGGTGGCTTCTTTTCCGAATTCCGAGGAGGAACCAGCGAACGAGCGATGTCATCCCTGCTTGGCGATCTTCTCGCTGGCGGCACGAGGCGCGCCGGGCCACCGCCACCGCCACCCGACTCCACAAATGACGTAGCAGGTTCGAGAACTGTTCCGGCCGTCGCGAGATGGATAGGTCCGAGCTTTGAGCTACATGGACGACTCGTGATCTGAAAAACTGGTGCAGTCCACATTGGAGCTGGGAAAAATGAACGACCTCGGCCTCAGTGTGGATCGCTGCAGCCCACCGTTCGTGCGAAAAGGTTGCCCAAATCTGCAGCGTGAATGCGCGGTCGGGCTTCCCTTTCTCGGGCACGGCTCCGTCACCGAAGTGCTGGGCCGCGCGGAAAGGGATTTTGCTCGTTCACACCAGAAGACGAGCGTTAACACGCTAACCGCATACGCTATCGACGTTGCCCCTGTCGTCGCAGTGAACGGGTCTCTGCGTACTTGTCACCATGTCGTCCTCATCCAAGGCGTACGAGATCGTCGTCTGGGGCGCAACCGGGTTCACCGGCCAGCTCGTGGCTCAGTACCTCTCTACCTCCCCGACCGCGGAGGGCCTTAAATGGGCCGTGGCAGGTCGCTCCAAGGCCAAGCTCGAGCAACGCATGCAAGAGGTGGGCGTCGATGTACCTGTCATCATCGCTGATGCTGGGGATGCCGGGAGTCTCGATGAGCTCTGCAAGCAGACTCTCTGCATCATTTCGCTGGTGAGTGCGAGACTGTGATCTGGTCGTGCTCGATGACGATGCACGCCAGCGATGCACCCGACGTGCACTCCGGCTTCTGACACACAATCCCAATCCTTCACAAACGACAGGTCGGGCCTTACTCCCGATACGGTGAACCTCTTGTCAAGGCATGCGCCGAGAATGGCGTCCACTACGTCGACCTGACGGGAGAAGCTCCTTTCGTTGCACGAATGGTCAAAAATCACGGTCGAGCAGCCGTCTCGACCAAAGCCATCATCATCCATGCGTGCGGTTACGACTCGGTCCCTTCGGATCTATGCGCCTACTTGGCTGCACAACGACTCAAGGCCGCGGGTGCCGAGGTTGGTCCCGTTCGAGGGATCGCCAGTTTCAAAGGTGGCATGTCGGGGGGTACGTTTGCGTCCATGTTGGACATCATCAAGGCCCCAAAGGAGGACAAGAAGATTGCGATGAACCCGTATGGTCTATCGCCCATTCGGGGTCAACACAAGCCTGGAGCCGTCATCGCAAAGAGTACTACTCTCAACGGCCGTCGCCACTGGGGCGCTTTCTGGATCATGGTGAGTCCAATCCAGTTGCTATCGACTTGTGTGTGTTGTTGAGATAGCAATTGTCATTTTCGACGCCACAGGGTCCCTTCAACTCTGCCATCGTTCGTCGTTCATGGGGAATTCTCCAAGGCGCCTCGGACTCATCCTCTCGCGTGTTCTCGTACGGGTCCAACTTCTCCTACGACGAATGGATGGGCGTAGCCAACCCCCTCTTGGGTCTCCTCGTCTCGCTCACTCTCTTTGTTGTCTTCGGGATCCTCATCTTCGTCCCTCCGATCCGCTGGTTGGCCGAAAAATACGGTCCTCAGTCCGGCGATGGTCCGAGTGAGAAGACGCAAAAAACAGGTTGGTTCAAGTTGTTGACGATCGCCAAGTCGACAGACGGGAAGCAAGAGGTGGCAGTGACGATGAAGGGTAAAGGCGATCCGGGGTATGCGGCGACGTCAAAGATGATTTCGGGTGAGACTCGGAGGCTCTCTCGGGCATTGCTTTTAGTTCGGATCAGGAGCCGGCTCTGAGGGCGAGATGGTTTAATCTCTCGCAGAATGCGCGCTGGCGATCGTCAAGGACTATGAACGATTACCTCCTATGGCACGACATGGGGGGATCCTGACCCCTGCCACTGCTCTCGGTCCCGTCTTGGTTGAAAGGCTCGAAAAGACAGGCTACTTTTCGTTCACCACTTCTTCCGAGGGCAAGAGGATCGAGTAAAGGATATGCTGAGGGTCTGACATTGAATGTAATGATAAACGGGGTATCCATAACAACATGCGTTCGGCCGGGTGAAGGGAAACCTGTGTCAGGGTCAGGATGAGTAGAGGTCAGCTATCGAGCACTCGGGACTCCCCCCGCCAAATCGCCTAAACCCCCAAACAACAAGGAAGCAAAATCCCACGATCCGATCCAGAAGGTTCAGGGTTGCATGTGTTAAGGATGCGGTTTTGTATCGTCGACAGAGTATGGATTAAGACAGGGATAACTAATAAAAGCTCCGGTAGAAGGGAAAAGGAAGCTCGAAAGCAACCGCTTTCTCCTGCTACGGAACCTTGTTGCTCATCATACTTGGATCGGAAGAGTGGGACATTGCTTTTTTGTTGTTTGGGGTATGGGCTCCGGGGGTTGGGGCTGAAGTGTGTGGACGGGGTCGAGGGGAGGGAGGAAAAACGAAGCGTGCGCCTGAGGGGTGCGTGGGTGCCACTGGGTGTGCATGATGGTGAGAGTGACTTACGGCTTGATAAATACGATCGTGATGATAGTGGAAGTTATTGTAGATTCATGGTTGTCGTCAACGTCGTCCGTGAGGTCAGACGTGTGGGCGGGAAGAGGACAAAAGACGAGTCGCGAGCCCAGCGTAAAGTCGATCAGCCATTCCACGCTTTTCCACTCTTTTCCACGCTTGCCTCTGCAGGGACTTGGCTTGACTTCGCAGCCGAGCGCCTCGACCGGCTCAGGTTTGCACTCGTCCCGACCGGCTTCAGTCAAGCTCATCTTCCGGTGTCGGTCGAGCCACTACCTCATCAGTCGAGCCGCACTTCGGCGCGTGTATGCCCCCCACTTTGCACCGCTTCCTCGTCCGCAACATGTCATCTTCCTCCATCTCCCAGGGTACCACCCGACCGAGCACGGGCACGGGCATGGGCACGGGCACGAGCACCAGCAGCCGGTTCAACCGCGAAGTCGCGCCCCCTATCCATCGAGGCATGACCGAGTTGGACCGCTCGCGATTCTCGACCCGGTTACGCTTCGTTGCGGCCAAGATCCCGGCGAATGAGACGGGCAGGTTCAGGGATGGCGTCGCAAAGTCGTATGTGATCCGATCAACTCGGCGGCTCTCACTCTCGGGAAAGGCACGGACTGATCCAGTCAGCTCCCGGTCCCTCACTTGTGCGGCTATCAACAGCTCCCTCATTAGGATTCCAAGACTTCCAGCAGTGGTCAATGATCCCGACACGCAGACGCATCGACGGGTCATCCTCCAACTTCCGAGAGAAGGTAAGGCTCGAGAAGGTTTCTGTGTACGAGACTCTTCCTACGCGAGATGATGTTTACCCTGTCAGCCGTCACTCAAAGTCGTAGGAATGAGATCGTACGATGGCACTCACAAACTTTGACTTCTCTACCGCACGCTTGGCTTCCATAGAAATCACAAAGGACTCCCCACTTCAACGAGCGCTCGATGAACTCGAGGGCTCGTGGGTCGACCACGACATCACGTTAGACTACGAGTATTGGTCCGCAGGTGAGCGAGGTGGTCAATTATGAGAAGCGACGTCACGAAACTCATGTTTCGAGATGAGTTCATTGTGCTACAGACCAAATCCTACAGTCGATCCTGCCCGAAGATTTGCTCGATGAATCGCCGACGTCGTTCACCCAAGTCGGTCATATTGGTGGGATGGGTCCCTCAACTTCAGCTATTGAGTATGCTATACCTTATTGAAGCTCATACTTTCTCTCAGCCCACCTCAATCTCCGAGACGAGTACCTGCCGCATCGCCATTTAATCGGTCAGATCATCCTCGATGCAAGTTCCCATCACGCCCGACAAACGACGAGTCGAATTCGACCACCGCGTATGCTGACGCTGCTCACTCCTACAGAAAAATAAGGCGGTGCGTACGGTTGTCAATAAGCTCGACACGATCGACAACGAGTTCCGCAACTTTGCCATGGAGGTCCTCGCCGGTCCCGCCGAATTCGTCGTCACGACCTCGGAAAGCGGCTGCACCTTCACATTCGACTTTTCACAAGTCTACTGGAACTCGAGGTTGCAGATGGAGCATCTGAGATTAGTGGAGAGCTTTGATCCCAAGGATGTCCTTGTTGATGCGTTCGCTGGGGTCGGACCGTTCGCGATCCCGGCGGGCAAGAAGGGGTGCGGTGTTTCGGCGAGCGACCTGAACCCTGCTAGTGCTAGTGCGTTGAAGGAGAATGCAACGGCCAATAAAGTGAGCCCTGCGAGATTTTGTCTTAAAGCCGTGAGCTGACTCGCAGGTTGGCGTGCCCCGTACCCAGGTCGACCATATTGTCCGAACGGGTAACGCCGACGGGAGGGATTGGATCCGCCAATCCGTTCTCAACATTTGGAATACACCCTTCCCAGCGTATACACCACCCTTATCCGCCAAAGCCCGAGGCAAACTAGCTCGTTGTGCCAACGACCCCAAGGCTTCTCGATCTACCACCCCTTCTCCCCAAAAGCCAACCTCAGTAGCCCCTGTCGACCTTGGTCCACCTCGACGATTAGTCGATCATTTCGTGATGAACCTTCCTGAGTTGGCGATCACAATGCTGGACGCTTACAGAGGTTTGTATCACGAACTGTACAAGATGCCTGGGGCGAGGCAGGCGATTGAAGAGAGGGGTGAGGAGGGGTTGCCGATGGTGCATTGCTATTGCTTCACCAAGGATATGGACGACCAAGAAGGAGACATCTTGGCAGTGAGTATACCTTAATCGGTCATGCTATGTCGTGCTTTGTTGAAAACTCGATTTGACATTCTCTTCCTTTGGACATCTGACCAGCGAGCGTCCCAAGCGCTCGGGATGCCGGTGACGAAGGAAGCGAGAGACTACAAGATGAGGTTCGTGAGGGACGTTGCACCCAAGAAGGAGATGTATTGTTTGGAGTTTAGGTTATCCAAGGAGATGGTGGAATGAAACACGTGGGGCTGTCGCGAACTCCGCGTTTCTGGGTGTTGGCATGTTGATCCAAGCGGAGCCAGCAGTTGGTGGCACGCCCATACCTGCCCATACACGGAAGTTCGGCAGGAGCCCTTTATGCCAGTTTTCGCCCGCGCCAATTCGCGTTCAGGATGAGTGCTGGCAGCTTTGGAGAGGTCTCCCAGTCCTGCACTGGTGTGCCTGGGCTTGGCGTGGTATTCGACTCATGGACCCAAGCAAGGGTTCTCATAGGATCAAGGATCAGATCACCGGAGGATCGGATCCGATCCGATCTTTTTTTTCCCAATCCGCGTTGATCTATCCTTTCTTGATCCTATCCAGAAGGATCAAATTGATCTGAGACATTTAATTGCCTTATATGGCAACAGATGACTACACCTCACTAGTTGTCGCTATCGGTGTTGAGCGCATCATTCTCACTACTACCACCACTATTGTGCCCATCATAACTATCTTCCTCATCCTTGTCGGAATCATTAGCATCATCATCATCCGAAATGATCACCTCACTGATTCGCCTTTTTCTATGAGCTCCGATCGCGCGCGTTGCCCTCGCCGGTGTAGGTAGGTTTCGCATGACATCTACAAAATGCGAACATGATTTTACAGTCAGTTTAGATTTGTGTAACAAAGGTCATGAGATGGCGTGAGGAAGACCCAGACGCGCCACAACGTGACGCGTCACGCGTGACGACGAGTCAAGATAGCTCACTAGACAGCGCCCGGCAGCCGGCAGCCTCCCGCGTTGCTCACGCGTTCTCCAGACTAAGTCAGCCTGCCTATTACATCGCCTCCCCCCCCTTTTTTTTTTTTTTTTTTTTTTTTTTTTTTTCTTTCTCCGAGGCATGATCTATCCTATCTTGATCCTGCCCAGCTAGGATCAGGATCGATCTGATCCTATGAGAACCCTTGGACCCAAGGCACCATGGATCAAAGCGACCATTGATCTCCAACATCTACCCCATCATGTTTCGATGTTCTGAACCCATTTGATGGGGGGTACCCGCCCTACCCTATGCTTCAAGCAAGTACGCCGGCGCCTCACTCCTGACTCATGCCGGTCCCACCCCCACTCGATGCGAAACCGGCCGAGATCGCGGATCGAGCCGTCTTCGCTGGGAGACGAGTACGTTCTATGTCGCCCTTGCATACGTGTGATGCTATTGCACACCTATGTCCGTGACCAGTGTAAGTAGTTCTAGTTAGCTGTAAGGTATGCGCCTCTGATGTGCATAAAATACAATCTGTCGTTCTTGACCGCTAGGCTAAAAGCAAGTCGTAACTAGAACTCGACAGTTCTAGCTACTCAAAGGCTACTTATGGGGCTGTTCTGTAAGGCGTCCCCTTACAACCAGCTTCGTTGCGAAACCCCCACCGCCGAGTACACGTCCAAACGAGGTCGAACAGTCATGCATGCCATACTTTTTATATTGAACATCTCGTCATTCTTGACCTTATTTGAAATATTGGGTGGTTCATCTGGGAAGTTTTTTGAGGCTTGCAGTGGCGCTGACCAATCCGCTGTCTGATACGCGCGCGCAAGCCTGGCTGGGGTTTTTGGGGGCTTTTTTTTTGTCCAGTTTAGGTCATGAATCCCAGCTAATCTTTTTTCAAAGACAGTATCTAACAGACTTCAGATCCGCTGGACCACCATATATCTACCATGTATCAAATATCGATTCTCATATTGCAGCTTTGCTGGAACTAGGACTGATGCCCACGCCCCCACCCCCCATGGTGGCGGATGCACCTGGCGCGCGTGTCGTCTTTTTTCGTCCATGATTTTGGCGTAGATTTTTGATGGGCGACGGGCACGGGATCTACCCCACTTGGTGCCACCATCTCAGCCCCAGTCCGCCCCTCACCGGCCTGACCCGCTGGCGCACTCCACCGCGACTGTCGCGCCTCTCTTTCAGCCGAGCTAGGGAAGCGTCCTTGTCGACGAACTTGCTCCTGCCCTGCGGGGTGAAGCAAGACAACGAAAAGGAACCCATTCACGGCCTCGTACACCACCCTCTCCATCGAGCGCCATGTCACATTCGAGCGCCGATCCCCCTGCACCGGCTGGCTCAGCTGTGGTGATGATCCCCCGCTTACCTCCACCCCAGTTCGAGCCTCGCGCGGAGGGGCAGCCTCGACTGTCCTTGTTCACGGGCACCACGGGTGAGTTCGAAGCGCTCAATCGGGCCTTCAAGCGACCACGGCATGTCCAGTCGGAACCCGCACCCTCGCCATCGCTCGAGACGGCTGGAGTCGATTCGAATCGAGGATGCGCGGCGACGGTAGATCAGCAGCAAACATCGGCAACGGCGCCGAGTGAAAGCGCGGGTGCGAAGCGACCCCGGCTCAGCTTATCGACCCCGTCACAGACCTCGTGTACACCCATCGTTCGACAACTTACACCCGGGGGCCAGGACCAAAGTGCCCAACCCCTCCGATTCCAGGGCGCTGCCTTGGTTAACGAGGTCCTGACTCGGATCGTGCTTTTCCGACCGGGAAACACAGAGCGCCGAGCGAGGTGGGGCGGCGACCCGAGGTTCTGGGACGAGTATAGCGCGATCGAGTGTGCACTCGTCACGTTCACTGACGACAAAGCCGCACACGCTGTATTTTCTCCCACCCTCTTGGCCGAGTTCAAGAAGACTCTCATGGGCCAAATGACGCTCGCGTGCGTCAATTTTTCTCTGATCTCAAATTGGCGGGATCTTGTTTCGCCGGCTCTCCAGTGGTTGAGCTGATACGTGAGCTTTTCTGCCTCTGTGCACCCATAGACAAGCAATGCCCTTTTCCTGGCAGCAATTTGAAACCGCGATGAAGCGCGTGCAATCCTTGATCAATCACCTCCGAGCGCTTTACTGCTCGACATGCCTGTGTCAAGCTCTGCCCCTGGTCGTCGAGTCGCAATGGATCGACATCGTCCGGGCACCGTCGAACCCCCATTCGAAAAATCCGCAGAATTCTCCTCCTCCGACCCATGATTCGCCTCCGCTTCCATCCACGGCCCATTCTACAACGTCTCGCGCGAGACCAGAGTCGTCGCCGGGGAACCAAGACTGTTCGCGATTTAGACTTTCGCCTCCCACATCGAGCTTGCTTGATACCGAACAGCCTTCCACCTCAGCAGTCAGCTCTCCGACACATTCTTTGGGCCATAATTTGCCTGCGATTGCGCCATCGAGCGTCATACTTCCTCCACGACATCGATCTCGGCTTGGAATTCCAGGATCCGCCGCTTCCCAGGGACCATCGCCTCCACCGACCAGCACCACTTCACAAAGCTCAAAGCAAGGCTTGAACTCGAATCCTTCGCTAGGTGTCTCGTCTGGGATCGTGTACGGGACTAGTGCAAGCTGGGACGCGTCGCCGTTCCTCTCGAACAGCGCCAGGGAACATCCCACCAAGGGATCACCACTCAATCGTTCCCCGCCCCGATTCCAGTCCCAATTTGGACCGTCGCCCACGCCCCTTCCTCCTCGCATCTCTCATATACAAGAATCTTCACATTGGAGTCAACCTCGACAGATACCCCAATCTCGGCCCGGCCCCGTACATCCGCATCCCCAAGGGCTATTAACGACGCACCGATCCCCTCCTCTCGGTGGCTCGGCCGGCCCATTCCCCCCTCAACAACCTCAGATGCCGATCGAGGCCGAGTTGGAAAGAATCTACCAGATGGGAATATCGGCGGGTCGACGTTACGAGCATGAAAAAGTACATGGCAAGGAACGAGCTAGAGCGGAAGCGGAGACACCCTCTCAAGCCTCGGCTCCGCCCCGACTATCCCAGGACTTTGCCCAAGCGCTGGCGCAACCGCAAGCGTCAATGCAGGCGACGGAAAAGACGCAAAGCCTGGCAAAGGTCCAGATGCAAGCTTCGATTCGAGCACCCGTCCCTCAAGTAGCTCCTCCGCCGAACGGTTCCGGCCACGGGCAAATGCAGTCGCCCGCGCCGATTTATGTAGCCTATCGAGGGAGGCTACCGCAGACACCCGGACCCAACATGCCGCAGATGGTTAATTCGAGGCCGATGCATTATAGCGCAGATTTTTCGCCGACTCTACCACATGATCAGCTTGTCGGTGTCCCCGATCGAGTTCCTTCACCGACCGAACAGTTCCGCGCATCCCTGCATCGACCTCCCGCTTTCATCGAGGGCACCGAAGGCCTGCCGGAACATTTTGGCCCCGTCTATGTGCTCCTCAACTTGGCCACCACGCCCGACGTTGCGAAAGATGTCCTCGGCTTCCTATTGGACACTCTTCCCATTTCGACTGCTTTGGACGTCATTGTCACGCGGCTGCGCGAAAGTGCACGTCGGTTCATCACGCGACCTCCGAAAGATCATCATCAGCTCCTCATGCGCGTGGTGCCGTTTTACAATGCGTTCGCCAAGCACACAGCCGAACAGCTCAAGTTGGGCCGGATGAGCCTCCAAGCCTTCAACGAAGGTACTCTGCGCGTGGATCGGACCGAGCAGGCCAAGATCATGGGCGGCTTTGAGCAGGCTAAGTACGCCGACAGGGTGTGTGAGATTTTGGCGAGAGCGATCGATACGTGGCATGCGCATGTCACCAAGATTCTCGGCCCGACGCCCGTTCCCGCGCCTCCTCGTTCCCGTTCGCAGAGTGGTGAAGGGCAAGGAGTCCAGCTTCTTCAGAACGGTCAAGCAGGTGTTATGCCGTCAATTAGTCATCCGACGCGTCTGTCATCATCACTCGGAACGTTGAGCGTACGCCCCGCCGGGAATGATACTGGGGCACCGTTAGATCGTGCGATCAAACCCACCCACCGAGCGTCGCGCAGCGAGTCAAACGTGGCTGTTCCGCAAAACCCTCCTCCGTCAAACAATGCAGGAGCTGCGCCAAGGAGAGTGTCTGGTCCCTCACCCGTTCCTGCAGAGACGAACTTTGCCGTGGCACCTCAGTCGAGGCCGTCGTCCCGTCTGAGCCCTCCACCTCAGCCTGTGCAACCACCACCGACGGCGCGAGACAGGCTTCGAGCCAAACGCGACAAACTCGTCCCTGCACTCGAAAAGGTGATGCAAGCTGTAGAGTCGTTCCAAACGCAGTCGTCAGCGCACGAAGACTATGCGGCACTCGTTCAACGCTTCGAGAAGGCCAAGATCGAGCGCGAACGACAAAAAAGCGCCGCCTCCGCCGCTTCTGCCTCCCCTACTTCTTAAGATTCCCCCTTGACCATCCCCTTCCGCTCTGTCTCTCTCTTTTCATTTTGCTGCTTGGCTCGAACCGTAGTGATCCTTTGTTGTTAGATTATGCATGCCGTGCCTTTGTTTCACGTCTTCGCGAACCGTACGTAGGCCCGGATCGATCGGGCCCGGCACGACGACGCGCGTCAGGCGCTCAGATCCCCGGCGCGTCGACATGCCTCCTGTCTGACTTACCCCTGAGTATACTAGCGGTCAGTTTACTGTTCTGTTTGTTTGGGCCGGCTGGAGCGCTTCCCCCTTTTGCATCAACCCACCTCGCCGACACGACCTGTTCACGACATCACACGACCATCACGACCCAACCCATTCGCCTACGAGAATCTCGACAACGCCTCTTCTGCGCCGCGCGCTCCTTGCCCAACCCTTCTCCTATCTGGTTCAACGTCTCTCGCCGTCGGGTTCACTCAACATCCCCCCTCACCGACCCTCGATCGACGTGTTGTTTGACGATCGGACGCGAAGTTTGGCATGGCTGCGTTCGAATCCAAGGTGATCATGGGCTCTGATACCCGGTACAACGATGCCAATACTATCCTCTTTGTCACACTCGGTTGTACGATCGCTTCGTAAGTCGAGTTGAAAACGGTTGAGCGGTACAAGCCGCACTCTGGCGACTGATACTCCTGTTGTGTACTCGCTCTCCACCCGCCCCAACTGTTCAGTCTCTTGTGCTCCATCTATAGCACTCTACGTACCCTCCTCCCCTTATTGGGTCCTCACCCGCTTGAACGACGCACGACGGGCTCCTCGGTCGGCCCCTACGACGCACCTCCTTCCGTCCAAGAGGAAAAGCGCGCAAGTATACTGCACGTTTCTGACCTTCAAGTCATGGTTTATTGACGTAACAAAAGGACCCTTCTTACACCAGCCGAGGTTGAAGTCGGCGCAGCGGTTCACAACCTATCTTGCCGGGTTGGACATCATCGCTGTCTCAGTCTTGGTGTGGGAGGTGCGTCCTGTTCCCTTCTTAGCAGTCGGTAACACTTGAATCTAACCGATTTCACATTGTCACAGACCGCTGTGGCCTCGTCTGCGGGCTCTGCGATCGGATCGAGTCGAGCCGGGGCGGCCCGGTTGACGCTTGCTTGCGCGGCTCGGCCTACTTTGCTCATGGTGGTCGCTGTTCTCTCTTACGCGAATGTCGTCTTGGGTTGGCTTCTTTCTCTCGAGTTCAGTAATTTTGACGAAGAGCTGACTCCATGACTCGATCTCAACTCCCAGGACGATCGATCTCGCTCGGCCGTGTCGACTGGGTCGTCTGGTTGCCGGCGCTCTTTCTGGTGGGACTTGGGACCGGCCTTGCAAGTGCTATTTCGCGAGCTGCTCCTAAAGTATGGATCGGACTGGTCGCTTGGATTGGGCTGTTTGCTCTCATTGGTGCGTGGGCTGAACTGACCTGGCCGCGCGGATGTTTCATCAGTGAAAGCGTACTCATCGACCCCTCACCCTGTCTGCGCAGTGACCATCTGCTTCGGACGTATCCTCGTAGCCATCTTACGCGTTCGCAAGGAAAGTGAGCGTGAACGCAAACGCGACACCTCTCACTGGGCTCTCGAACAAGAGCGTGTCATCCGCAGTAGCAACGGTACACGTGACTCGCGCCACTCGCGCCATTCCTACTTCAACCGGCCTCTGGGTAGCCCCTATCTTCCACCGATCCACACCAACTTCTCTGGTCTGTCCACGTCATTTATCGGCACAGTCGGTCGTTCGAATTCCACTATCGACTTCTCGATCTATCCGGCGACCATCGAGCCTTCATTCCGGGATGCCAATACGCCGGCCGTCGGATACGCCCCTTCGCGACCCTCACTGGACCAGGATTTGAACGTCCGAGACTTCCGCTCACCCACCCCTGGTTCTAGTCGGGGCTTACTTTCCAGTATGTTTGACACTTTATCTCGAGCTGCGACGCCGAACACGTTCTACACCTCCAGTCCTCCCCCTTCGTCGAAAACCGTTTGCGAGCCCGACCCCCGTCCCTCACCAGGTGGGGGAGAAGAAGAGGGTCCGCATGAGATCCTGACATTCGAAGAACTGCCACGCCCTTCTATGTCGTCCATTTTCCCTTCGACCTGCGGAGAAGGCTTCGTCGGCGGCCCAGCGATTCGAAATGCGATCGTGAAGGAGGTGTGGGCCGGAGCTCCGATTCCTGGGTCCGGCCATGGTCCAACGGTGGAGTTGTCGAGGAAGGAAGCACGTGGCGCGCTGGTGAGGATCGGAGGGCATCTCGCTGGATGCCTCGTCGGATTTGTGAGTCTCGAGCCTGCTCCCTGAATACCCAACCTGGTGAGCTGACCTGGTCGCCTCTACCGTTTAAAGGCTTTCATCGCACCTTTTCTGTTCGCCCGAATCCTCCGCCCAGATGCGCTCCCCCCTCTCCTCTCGTCGATGCTGCTCGTGGTTGGGATCTCTCAACCAGGCATCATTCTCGCCGCACAATGCGCGCTCAGCGAAGGCTTCTGGTTCAAGCATCCTATCCCACCGGTGCTCACGTCCTCTTCGGCGGCAGATCTCGAGCGCTCTCATGCTCGTGATGATGACAATCCTTCGATGCGGGAACGCGCCAGCAGTTTTGCTTCAAGTTGTCGTTATGCAACAAGTGCTTCGACCCTGCCTGGCATTCCGACGGACGGCGAGGATGTCGAGACGCCTAAAGGGACGCTTGGTAAGTCATCACGAAGTTCTGCTCCCCCAGATGGCAGCCTGGAGCTGATAACTAGCTCTACAGGTCGAGCTATGGCAATGGCATCAGCACACCCGAAACTTCTCGTGTTGTCTGAAGCTCCGACATCCAAGTCGGCCGCTGTGACGTCCGGTGCCAACCACAACACTCATCGCAGCGGAGCCCACGTCCGCTTGCGCAGTCTGCAGCTCGCCAAAAGTGCATTTTCCACCATCACCTCACGATACGGCCACGAACGCGGTGCAAGTGTGGCTAGTCGGGCAACTGTGGGAGGATTCGAGCATCCATCTGAGCAGGCGCCAGTCTCTTCATCTCCCGAAGTCGGCTATCGTGAGGACGAGCTCATCACTCGGTCGCTGCTACTCGCTCGGCGTGCATCGATCGCAGTGGATCGGCCTCGACATCGCTTGATGGCAACGGGGACTAGTCGGCACACGCATTCCTTCTTCGGAAATCTCGCCAGTGTCTCGCAAGTCGTGTCGACCTCCGCCTTCGAGGGCAAGACACCCGAGTACAGCTTCCACACTCGCGAGCTCACTCTGTCGAGCCAGATTTCTGCGAACTCCCAAGGAGCCGACTCGCCGAACTACACCATCGACTACCTCTCATCCCAAGTACTTCCTCGCCTCCGTCCAGACATCAAAGTTGGTTCATCGACTACGGTCAAGTCCGAAAGCATGTCTCACCATCGTCGCCCAAGCGTACCACTGGGATGCCAAGCGCAGTCAATGAAGATGCGCGAGTTTGGTCATGGCGGTTCGGGGTCGGCGCGGCGCAACTTCTCCCTCCCGAACGTCTTCCACCGTGATGGCGAGGACAGATCATCTTCGCCTGAAGAGGAGGATCCTTGGGTTGCGATCGAGGAAGATGACGCTAGGGCGGCGTCTTCGCCGCTCAAATCGATCACTCGGATGGTGCGAGGCGAGGGCATGTCTTCGAGCCACCGATCGAAGCCTTCGATCAAGAATCGCTCAGATGACGCCTGGGACCAAGTTGAAGCGAGCGAGAAGAGCACATCACGCCGCCGACGGCCATCATCGATCCAAATTGACAGCAACAGCAGGCGTGTCACGTGCCCGGAGCCTCATATCGTGATCTCTCCGCCACCTGCTGCGGCCGTTGCGAACGAGGTCGGAGATTCTGAGGCAGAGATTCTTACTGAAGAGCACGATTTTGCGGATTCAGAGGGCGAGGACGACGAGCATATCCAGGAAGCCGTTTTCCGCTCATATCAGGCAGCTCAGTCGAAAACACGCCTTGAACACGCAAGCCCGACCTCAACCCAATCTGACGAGCCTTCGACGACCGTTCACAACGAGTTCGGCCAACCCCAACAGGTGCCTGTCCGACCAAGCAGTCAGTCAAGCAATCGTGACTCCACAGGATCCAATATTTCGGCTTCGCTTTTGCGACGACTCGACTTTTCCAACGAGTCCTTCGCCTCAACCAGATCGATCATCTCGACCAGCGATTCGATCACCAGCATTGGTTTCCGCAACCTACTCGAGACGAACTGTAAGCGGATAACTTGTTGTGACAGCGACCACTCATTTGACAAACTAACGATTATGTTTGGGGCACTGCAGCATGGCATGCGCGAGAAGAGCTCAGCAGTTCCGAAGAGCGCTCGTCGTCGGAGGTATCTCGCGTCCATCGTAGCATCAACGGCTTCAACACCGCACGGTCTTCGTCTGGCGTTCTTGGTGGGCGTGATATCAACGCCGCTCGACTCTCTTCGGCTTCCGAGAGCGAGGACAGCGATTCGAGGCCTCGCAAGGCTGTGGTGCGTCGCTCATCCGTCACCACTTCCACCGCTGCAAGCCAAGCTCCGCACCGCCGTATTTCAAGCATCCCTATCCCCCCGATTCCCGACACCATCACCGAGGACTTTGACGAGGACAAGAAATCGAATGCTGGCTCAACACCCAGAGCGGGACGGACGCGTGTCGAGTCGACAACAACGACGATTCGCGGTAGAGGCACGCCAGGTCGACAGACACCGGAACCCGTCCACACCGTCCACCCTGCCGTCGTGACTTCCCCTGGGATCACAACTCGTTCGAGGGTTCGCACCGCCGCCATGACACGCCATGATGAAAATGCGGCCCCCGGATCAGTCCTCAAGACACAGCAAGGCCCTCACGAAATTCGAGGCTCCCGGACGCCTGTTCGAACCATGCGATAGGTATAAATTCCCGTAACTCGTTTTCATTATGTAGTATATTTTAGGGACCTCATAGTGCGGGAATTCGTTCCAGGCCCAATATATTTCCTTATGCCACCTTTGCGCTCTCCTGAGGCCATTCTTGTTTAGCGCAGCAAATTGAGCTGTAAACATTGCAAGCCACAGATTTGTTGAACCGAGTCATGAAAGGTCCCAAAAGCAGAATTGTATACACAAATATGTCTTACTTGTCCCAGACGATGAATTTGGAAGCTGGCTTTCACCCAGCCTCGGACTGAACGCTTGTCTGTTTGAGCGATTTGCCGGTCATCCTGCGCTTGACGCGGTCGATGCGAGAGCTCAAGCCGTCTTTAGCCCAGATCCCGGTCCTGACGGGAGCGAACTGCATTTTCCCACGATGACGAGACTCGAGCGCCTTCTTGTGAGCGCGATTGATTTCCTTCTTCTCCTGCTTGTCGATGACGCCGTCGTCGTCGGCATGCGAGTTCTCCTCGGCTTGGGCAGCCATTCCCTCGACGCGGTCGTACACCTCAAACTCGTGGCGTTGCGTCTGCGTCTCGGCGTACTGTTCGTGATCTTCATCGAGACCAGCATCGAGCATAACAGTTGTCGTCAACCAACCGACAATAGTGCAGTCGTGAGTCTTCTTCAACTGGTCGCAGATCCGGTTTTGGCGCAAGCGTTCGAGCTCGGGCGAGATGACGATCGGCACACGAATTTCCTTCTCCTCGTCATCGACGAGTTCGCTGAGCCAGCATGCAGCATAGGCATCCGTCTTATCACCAAGAGGGCCGAGTGTGAATCCTCCACCATAGTCAAAGAAGAGCGCCGAGCTGTAGCGATCATAAGTCGGCAGACGAATGTCCTCGTCGACGTCCCACTCGATTGAACCATCGGCATTGACCGTCGCGGCGCGCCCAGGGACCTTCTGCTTCGCCTCGAGGGTCGAGAGGACAATCTTTTTGGCTTTGAAGTCAAAGTCGACGCCTTCGACTGGCTCAACCTTGATGTTGCTCGTGACACACACCGTTCCCGTGTTCCAGCCACGGAGTTCCCTAGGCAGCTCAACCTTGACTCCCTTGAACAAAACGGAGATGCTGATTTTGCCAAAACCTACACCATCTTGAATCGCGTACAATCGAGTGACCTGGGAGGAGTGAGCGAGGATCTTGTCGAGCGGTAGGTTGACGATGCCGAGAATGGGGTCGTGTTCGCGTAAGCGGGAGTCTCGGACGACGACTCGCAGGGTCGTGTTCGTGTAGTCCGGGATGTACCATTCGCCCCCGGCCTCGAAAAAAGGCATCTGAGAGTACTGTTTGACGCGGGTTTTGTACACCATGTCGTCGTTGAGCACGATCTCACAGTATGCCGAGGGGAGGTTGTTCTCGGCCTCGCTCGGATCGTCGGTGTCCTGCCCGGCATGACCCTCGCGATCCTTGCCGCTGGCTCCCTTGAGATTCTGTCGCTCCAAGTTGTTGATCTGATGAATGATGATCGAAAGGATACCGGTCGGATATTTCGGGTCAGGGGGCGTTCGTCGGACATCTGCCTCTTCGGCGTTGTCCATAGCCGAGGTGTCGACCTTGAGTTCGGGGTGATCTTGCAATTCCTTGGGTAGATTGTGGTCGATGCCTGGAGCGGCCTTGAGATCGGGGTTTAACTTGGCCTTTTCGTAGTACGCGATTTCCCAGTGCAGGGTGCCAGAGAGCGAATCGGAGTCTTCGTAGCCCATAAGCTTGTCCGAGCGCTTGTGAACCTCGTTGGGCTTGAGCATGAGGTCGATCAAAGGCACCGTGATTCTGCCGACCAAATCATCAGCCGACAGCTTGTCGCTGTCCCAGAGCTGAACGGAGAGCTTTTCGTCTGCGCGAATTTCGTCGTCCGTAACGAGCTGTGGGCCGTCTGTCGAGGTTAGTTCCGGGCCTGCAAACACTGCAACGCTTCCAGGTGCTTACGAGGAAGGCCGTTTGCTCCCAGACCGGGTTCAGAGTACGTTCGATGATACGAGTACTGAATAGAGGCTTGCCGAACTTGGCGTAGGCGAGCACGACGTAAGGGTCGGAGAAGCCATTGTCGTCTTGAGCCGAGAGATCCTCGGCGTAGTGGATCTTGATCATGAACACTCCAAGAGCTTTGGTTTCCTTCTTGATACCGTCACCCGAGATTATTTGTGCAACGTTCATCGTCATCGACTTGGGAGCGCAGTAGATCGACATCGCCGCCGCGATGGATGATTGTACGAAGCCACTGATGAGAGGGAGGTCGAGGACGTTTGGAAGCCCCCTGGCCAGAGGAATGGCCGAGGCTTCGATCGCGGGAACACCCATGAGCGTGAAGGTCACGTTCCGAATGAAGGGTGGGTTGGCGACCATCTGGCAACGCAGTCGGACGGTGCCGACAATCGACTCGACGGCAATCCAGATCGGAATGGGCAAGTGGAACAAGTCGTAGGCGCCGAGGAAGAACTTGATGATGAGGGAGATGTTCTCGCCTTGAAGCTTCTTGGTTCCGGGAGGGGCGAAATATCCAAAGCTGACTTCAAAGTTTACATAGTCGCCCGTCTGATCTTCGTCCGCCACATCTTCGCCCTCGACTTGCTTGTTGATCTCGTCGAGCTTCTTCGACTCCTCCTCGGTGAGGTCCTTTCGCTTGTCAACCTTCTTCTTGCGGCGTGCCGGGTCCAAGGCTTCTTCCTCGCTACCTTGGTCAATCCACTCTTCGTGCGGATATCCAGACTCATTCGGTTGGTCCGGAAGAGCACGCATCGAGATGATGCGCAGCGCGTTTTTGCCGATGGTAAAGTCCTCAACTTTGACAGCATCGATGAAGCCCGGAAGCGAGGCTTGCATGACGTCTTCGATCATGTCGACCAACGAAACGAACATTGAGGGATTAATTAGCGTCCAGACGACTTTGGTGAATGCGTTCAACCACTCCACCGACTCGGGCGTGGGAGGAGAAAACTGTACACAATGGCAGCGCAAAGCGTGAGTAACGAGTGCAGCAGCTTCGATCACATCCCGGCACCTCGACTGCTCTCCCGACTCACCTTCTCCCCTCGTTGCTTGTGCATGTCCAGACGGATCCTCTCGAATTCCTTCTCGATTTTGCGGCCGACAATCCCATGGGAGACATACACTCCGACAGCAAGTGCGCCGATGATGGCCGAACGCAGAACGAACTGGTAGTAACCCGATCCGAAAGCGACGAAGAACCAAGTCACGCCAAGACCAGCGACGATAGCCAAAGCGTAGTGGTCAAGTGTGGCGGCGATGGGCTTGACCGAATCGGTAATGGGAGGAGGGAAATGGTGCATCAAAATGTTGCCAGGCTCGACCGGGGACGGTGCGATGTCGTGGATGGGGGCATTGTCCTCTTTCGCATCGGGAATGTTCGTCGATGGGCCACCAGGCTTTGAGGGATCAAGACGATCCTTGTCAAAAAGTTTGGGGTTGCGGAAGTCTGGAAGCGAAGAGCGATGTCAGGACTGCGGGTGAACCGGTTCTCATGCGCCGAGCTCGCTGCTGCGGTTTCTCACCCTCCAACTTGGCATCGCGAATGACGACCTTTTGACCGGTGACGGGGTCCATAACCTCTCTCTCGCCCTCTCGTTGGAACTGAATGGTGCATATAAATCGTTTGACTGTATCAGCAAGTGTAACCAACTGGATGCCGCAGAATGTGCCAGGGAACCCATATCCGAGGGGTGCACACGCCCGCAAAAAACCTGCATCGCCTCAGCTCACCTTTCTCGCATTTGGTTGCTTGCCCGCCGAGGCTGCTTTCTCCATGTCGATTTCTTTTTGAGACTTAACACCAGTGGCTCCTTGACCGAGTTTGGACGACTTTTCGTCATCGTTTTCGGTCCACTTGTCCTGTGAGGGAGAAGCGGAAGCATCGGGTTCCTCGGTTGTCTTGGTGGCCTTCTGTAGAGACAAATCCGAGTTTCGGGTTGAGTAAGGATCAGCTTTCTGTAGTTCATACTCCACATCAGAGAGGCTACTGCGCTGCAGCACCTTCGGGGGACCTCTCCACCGGTCGCGACGAAACTCCAATCGACCGCGGATCGGGCGCTCTACTCAATGATTCAACGGCCGGAACTTCAAGAGCTCACCTCCTGACGCTTCAAGAAGGTGCCGATGCTTGGGATCTTGTTTCCAGATCTGCACAAGTGTCACATTACATTTTGATCAATTACTGGTGGCCCCTGGCGTGCGCCTTGCAGCGAGCTCGGCCAGCCGGCGCAGTGCAGTGCGTGATAAACCGCCCACCAGCACTGCAGCCTGCGCGCCACGCGGTGACGTCGTTGATCGCGCGATTGCGAGCGATGCGTGGTGAATGTGGGGGGGCCAGGGGGAAGGAACTCACGAGTAACCCTCCCCGAACCGGTGCGACGTCTGTTCGTATTCAGACAGCTGCTCCCCGAGACGAGGGGGATGTTGTGGAGTGGAAGTCATCTCTGAGAGAAGACCGACACAAGGTGCGCAGAGAACGGTCGGAGAGGGAAGAAGCTGCCAGGACGGGCAGGCATCATCAATGATCATGGAGAGCCTCACCAACTTCACTGCGACGACATTTACCGCGGTCGCGCGCCAAGCGATCCGTGGACCGTCGGGCACCGTCGCGAGAATCTCCCAGGCGCGCCAAGGCCGAGCTGGAGGAAGCGATGACGCTGAATAGTCCTAGCCCGGATATCTGAGGAGGATTATACTGTTCTGACGCGAAGCCTTCCTACACACGGCGAGGTAGGATTGCTTCAGATTTTATTCCGTTTTCGTTGATGTTCTCAAAGCCCCAATCCCAGCCTTAGACGTCGAGCCCCACCGACGGTCATGTCTTGTCATGTCGGAGTGCGAGAGAGCGCCACTGCATGATCACGACTGTAGACTCGGCAACCATAACCATCTTTCTCTGAATAGTAGTAGCCTGCGGGTTTTCATTCTGAGAAAATTTATGCAATGAACAGCAGCTACACCACGACCTTCCATCCTCGCCGTCTTCCCGCGCTAGACAGCTCTTCTCCGCCGTTCGCCGGAAGACCTCGTCTGCTTGCCCGCGGAGCCGCCGTGGTTGGCGGAGTCGAAACTTTCTTTGCATTTTTATCGATGTTCACATTTTCACACAAATCCGGTGTCAAAACTGTCGCAAAGTGGGACTGCAGCAACTTCGCCATGTCCAAAAGAAACGAAATGCTCATCGACCCCACTGATGATGATCCAATTCAAAGGCCTTCGACAGCGCAATGGAGCTAGCTGATCCTGACGACACGTCTGTGCCGCGTTGGTAAAGCCCACGTCTTCCTCCTAACTGACACATCCATTTCTACTGATCTCTCTTCAGAGTGGCTACGTATTCCTGATCAGAAAGAAGATCCGCTCTTAGTCAACCGAGCGGCTTGTTGACTCGGTGTTACAATCGAAAACGTAGCTAGGGCAGGTTGAAGAATGACCCGCATACACCTCTTAGGCTAGGTACAGCAATTTTTGTGACTTTTTTGATTATCTTTGGTACATAAATAAATTGTCCAGCCACACCATCAAGCTTGAGCCGAAGAAGTAAAATCTCGAGCAACTACACAGTATTAATGAAATAGGAATGACCAGGGGATCTATTTTGAGGAGAGACAGCACCGGGCTAAATAGAAGCAAAGGTGGACGAGGAAATTAGGATATCGAAGGGAACGAGAGTAGGGTTCCGAGGCAAAGTCCGAAGGAGGCTGGACGTGATACTGCTTTTTTGAACGACTCAAGGCAAGGCGGGAGTGGTGGTCATGATCACGAGCGCAAGGGTCATCGTTACGATAGCTGGAGAGGTCGTCACAATCGCTGGGGTCACAGTGGCAATCACTAGGGTGGTGGTATTAGCTGGGGTGTGGTGATTCCGATCGGAAGACCAGCAAAGGGGTAGTAGTCGCAGTCGGTAGACCAAGGGAAGGGGTATTCGTAGCGATAGGCAGGCTCGAGGTAGTGGTGGTAATGCCAGCTGCACTATTGGTCGTGGTTGTGGTCGTGGGAACGCCTCCAGCGCTTGTGTTGGTGGTGGGACCGCCCCGGCATTTGTTCGACTTCAGAGAGTAGCTCGCATGCGTGCAATGTCCTTTTAGGGGGTCGCAGGAAGATCAGGAAGATGCGTGTCTGTCGAAGCGTCGGCAGCGTCGGCATTGGCGGCTTGAAACGTCGTGGCTTGAAGGCCAATGCGCAGCAAACAGACTAGTGAGGAGCTAGAGCAGAATGAACCGCTGGGTGCGAAGTGGGGGGTCATCAAACTTCGGAATAATGATTGATTAGAGCTCAACGCCGATCTAAACAGCAGAAATGAGACAAGCACGGGATATGACAAGGAGCACTGCAAAATTGGATGCCACAAGACTGGTACAAGCGATCGTGAGCGAACAAAGGGGAAGGGTGGGCGGCAAACGACACGGTGAGAGGGGATGCGGCGGATAAGTGCACTTGCAGCCATAAGGCGCTTCAGCAGCTGAGCGGAGGGGAGAGTCGACAGACAAAAAGGTACACACACATATACACACGGTACACGACAGTACATGTACATATTCCGGTGGATACGTAGGTCACTTTCTAGTCAACTCGCATCGGCTCGGGTAAGTTGTCGAGGACCGGCCCCTTTCGCCTACCGAGCAGTGTCGCCTTGTCGAGTGCCAGCTCAAACCCTCCCTTGCGTCCCCGTGAGCCACGGTCGCGAGGTCCAGCACGCCCATCGTACAATGCCGCCTCGGCCATCTTGCGATCCGCACCTCCCCAGCCTTGGTATTGCTGTGGCGCGATCGGCACCTCCTTCTTGCGATTCGGATCCTGAACCTCCCTTCGTTTGTCCTCGATCGCTTTCGAGACCTCGGCACCGTATCGCCTTTTGGTCGTCTCAATGTCCTCATCCTCGTCCTCTTCTTCGTTGAGACCGTGCAGAAATCCGGCACGACCGGCGCCACCTGGTCCATTGTACGCACGTCTCCGAGCCCCTTCCTCCTCCATGCGGTGTACAGCGTAGGTAACATCGAACGCTTCCTTGAGCGAGGCGACACCGGGCGAAGGCATAGCTCGTCGTCCACCAGGGGCGAGCAGCGGCGAGTCGAGCGGTTGGTACTTGGGGATGGGTTTAAGCCCAGGAGCCAAGGTCTCGAGCGAGTTGGGCGTGATGACGGAAGGTGCGGACTTCTCCTTGCACCACGGGTGTGCCAGGAACTCGTCGATCGTGTAGCGTTTCTCGGGATCGACATCGAGTAAGTGTGTGATCAGGTCTTTGGCTGTAAGGGAATGATGCATCGACGCAGACAACGTCAGCAAATTGTGCAAGCACCACCAAAGCGGCGAAAGAACGTACATGATGCAGAAATGTCATCCCACCACGGCGATAGGAATGTGTAGTAGCCTCTCGCCACCTTTTCGGTCAAAACGTTGATGCTCTCGTCGTAGAAGGGAGGGAAGCCGCACAACAACGTGTAGAGCACGCAGCCCAAAGCCCACATATCGACAGATTTCGAATACCGCTCGTCCTTGACGATCTCAGGGGCGGTGTAGCCGACCGTCCCACATGGTGTCATCGTCTCCTCATTCCAGACGATCTTAGATAGACCGAAATCGGCGATCTTGACGCGCCCAATGCCTCCACCTCCGATACCAGGCAAGAACTCGCCCTCGTCTTCCTTTTCCTCGTCGTAGGGGCGGTTCTTGGGAACACGCGAGGGAATAATTGGGATCGCGTCGAAGAGAATGTTTTCGGGTTTGATATCACTGTTGAGCAAGATGAACGGTAGAGTAACGATGAACATGAGTTTCCTTCGCGTTCAAGCCCGGGGATGTGAATGAGTCATAACGAACCGATGGACGACACCCTTCTCCTCGTGCAGATACCGGATGCCGTGCGCGACTTGCAGGATTACATGCCGTGAGAGCTCCTCCGAAAAATACGTGAGTTTAACAATCTGGTGGAACAACTCTCCGCCCTCCATGAGTCTTGGATGAGAAGTGCCGAGACCGTCGGTCAGTAACAAAGATCGGGGGCGAGCAGCGAAGGCGATGCAAATGTCACTCACTCCAGAGTGAGGAAATAGTGTTCCCGCGATTCCGTAAAGTTGAGTAACCGAACGATGCTTGGGTGGTTGAGGCCCCGCATGATTTGGACTTCTTTGAGAATGTTGGCGCGCTGTGATCGGGAAGGGAAAGGGGTGGGCCAAAGAAACACGGGCAAACGAGCGAGAAGGCGAGCGATGGCGCGCGCAATCGAGTGCAATGGGGAAAGGAGGTGATACAGAGAGTTAGATTCATCGCTTCGATCGCGGCAGGTTCAGGTTGGAGAGGCTCGCAGAGGAGCGTGCAACGGACCTCGGTCGCCCTCGGCTTCTTCTTGACTGCTTCGCCGACGTGCTTGCCCGTCAACCCCTGCAAACGAGGGGCCGAGTTAAGGGCAAGGACACGATCGAGCGAGCAAGACATAAGTCAAGTATTGTGAAGAGAGCACAGAGGGACGAAACGCGAAGGCAGATCGAAGCGAAGAGTCCGTCCAGGGAAAGATGTGAAGGGAGGGGAGGGGAAGGAAAAGGGCGACGACAAGAAAAGACGAGACGAGACGAGGGGAGGAGTGAATGCGATGGGAAGCAGGGATCAGTTTTGCGTGTTTGCGACATCGACTAGCGACGATTCGCAGTGAACCACTCGAGTAGCAGGCTACAGTACGAGACTGCTCCTCGAGGTCGTCGCCGAGCAGAACCGTGCCCGTTGCCGAGGCGGCCACCCGCGATGACGTGCACGCACGGGCCGAGGTCCCCTTCCCCTGACGTCGGGGATGCGGAGAGCGAGCAAGCGAGGAAGCAAGCGACGAGGTGCAGCAACAATGAAAGTTCGTGCCCATCACATGGAAGGAGGAAATCAAAAGTTCGCTTACCTGAGACGAGTTGAGTTCGTACTTGCGCACGCACTTGACCGCGACCTTGACCGACTTGCCGAGGGTTGGGTCGATAGCGAGCTGGGCCGCGTTCGGCCTCAGTGTCGCCACGAACACGTTCGAAAAGGCGCCGTCGCCCATCTTGACGCCGAGGACGAGACCATCCGGTAGGCCTTCGTATTGGGTGTGCTCGCGCTTAGCCCTGTTAGCGTTGTCCTTCCGGACGAGCTCCTCGGCATGCTGCGTCATGGTCGACTGCATGGTCGCCTGAGCAGTGCTGCTGGCCGTAGTCGCTGCGGTGGCCGGTGATGCGGCGGTCGTCGCTTTCGACTTGGACGTTACTTTGGATGCCGAGGCTGATGTAGGACTAGTCGAGGTGGCGTAGGTGGTGGCGGCCGAGGCGGCGGCGGCGTTGTTGGCTGCAGCAAAGTTCGTGTGTGCCTTGGCGGCCGATGACGCTGGTGGGGACTGATGACGCGCGCTGACGATCGGAGCGGCGCTCGCGGCAGACGACGACGACGACGGTGCTGCTGCCGCTGACGAAGCTGAGGCGTGAGTGGACGGTTGCTGCTGCTGCTGCTGCTGCTTCTTGTCGAGTAAGAGCCCCTTGAATTTGTCGAGCAAGGGCATCGGGGAAAGGAGGGGAAGCCGGACAGGGGGCGCGGCAGCAGTAGGTCACAAGAACTCGGGATGGGTGGAAGACGTAGTGCAGAAGGAGGGAAGGTCGGCCCGATGTAAGCCCAGGCGGCGGCGGCGGCAGCAGGGGGCAGCACTGGGCAGCAGGAGGCAGCAGGTAGGCGCGGGCTGGCGCGGGCTGGGCGGCGCGAGTGTGCAAAGCGAGGGGCCGAGAGCAAATCGTCCAGAGCCAACAAGAATCTACAGCAGGGAAGGTGTCGTCGAGATCGTCGCGCGATCACTGGGGTCAATGTCACCAAAGGTGCTGCTGCTGATTCGACGCCGGACGGCTACGTAGGGGGTCTATTGGGCAAGGTCGAGTGTCGAGGCGGAGGGAGCGAGGCCCCCGTGCGGCGTGCAAAGTCATCAATCAGCGAAGTGACGCGCGCGGCGAGCGACGTCATCTTCATCTGGATCTGGTACATTCAATAGGGCCTGACACGCAGTGCTTCAAGGGAACTGCAATTGCATTGGGTACGTCGGTCGATAAGGTGGGCATTTTAAGTTAAATGCTTACAACACCATCCTCATCTGCCTTCCCAATGGCTGGACCGGAATGATTCAGTATGACGTAAATATCGGACAGGAAGCAACTGTCAAACCGAAGAATTTACGAAAAAAAAGGTAGTCTCAGCGCAGGATAGAGAAATTTGAGATACGCTATCTAACTCAAGTCGAGCAAGCGGGTTAGGACCGCGGTATTGTCCCGACCCCTGTAGGTGGGCCCCGAGCCAGCGCGCTCGACGTCGGCAATGTCTGAGCTCCGAAGTTGACAAAGTACTTCGAGTTCCATCACGTAGGCTCATCTGGCTAAGTTCATCTCCGCTGTTCGTAGCTCGTCGAGTACTCTGGTCACGGTAGTACCCTCTCACCACGTCTCCGTACTTTTATCCTCATATTCTTATGTTTTCTTCGGCCTTTGCTGCAAGGATTTGACGCGCCGATCGAGCTCGCGCGCTCGGACCTCCCCTCTCCTCTCTCCCCCTGCTGAGCTATAGCTGTCTCACACACACGCGGGCTCACAGGCGGTCACTCGCGCTGCACGTTCCTTTCAGGGACTTCACTGCACCGTCGACGTCTCCACCAGCCTTTGCCGCTGCGTTTACCACCTGTTAATACGGGCGCGTTTCTCACTCCCAAGATCACCTCACAGTTGACGAAGTCGCTGACCGAGCGTTCCATCTTGCAGGACGTTTCTCAGCTAGCAGCCGCTAGCTCGTCTAAATCCTCGACGTGGCTCTGTCCAAGAGTAACTCGGGGTAAGTGTTATTGGTCACCCAAGCTTGTTGCACGGTGAACTTACCACTTTAAATTCCTACAGTGATCTTGCCAGTCCTGTACGGGCAGTTAGTCGGTAGTCCTTGTTGGACCACTTATCTGACTCGAACCCCTTGCATCTCTCAGCAGTCCGTTTGCAGAACCCCTTTCGCTTGAAACGCAGCCTCTGCCTGCCTCCGCCGCATCACAGAGATTCGCTTGTTCTTGCAAAGGTATGCTGAGACGAAGGTAGCTATCCCCACTCTTACCAGTTGCAGCCAACTGACATCACCCTGAGCTTGTTCTTGCAAAACTCCGTCTGATTGATTGACTCATTTTACCGCTACACGTCGCGCGAGCGGTCCAGAGAGTCGAAGTCCAACCAACCAACCAACCAACCCCCCCGGCCATCCTGTTTCGCACTCGGACTCGGAGCTGGCTATTCCTTCGCAGGATAGACAGCACAAATGGATAGGATGTCTGACAGTTCAACATTACCTTTCCCGGAACTTTTCGACCCCATTGTCCTTATGAATGATGAGTCAGCTGAAGGCCTCGCACGCGCACCTCACACTACCTCACAGTGCGGCTGTAGATGCTGACCGAGGGGACGACGGACTATCACGGACTGGCTTCCCGGCCCACAGCGCTCGCCATAACCACCCTCGCTTCCGTCGCTTCTCCTCTTCGCGCCATCTTGTATCCTCGCACACACCCCAAGACGACATGCAGCCTAGTAGGGCAGCTCCTTCTTCATCTTCCACAGTCGCCGCGTCGGACCGCGAGCCATCCCCTGAACGACCGACGCAAGACGGGTCCAAACAAGCTTCGCGACGTCATGATGAGGCCGACGAGGAAGCGGCCGACGAAGAAGGAGGTGGGAAACCTGTCGACGATGAGGAAGCGAAACGGGACAAAGATGGAGTTCGAATGGAAGATGGTGTACCTATGGTCGGCTTGACTGGGCTCGACGATCCCTTCTCGTGAGTGGTCGCAGCGTCGCGACTGGCCCGAGCTTGACCGATCGCGGACGGTCCGGATTCGCCAGCGATGGGGCAGCGACGCGAGACTAATGATGGCCCCTCTGTTGTAATGGATGTAACAGACCACTACGGATGAGTAACGCACGGAAATGGGTCATACTTCTTGTCGTCTCTTCGGCAGCGTTCTGCGTGACATGCTGCTCAAGTATGGTCAGCTTGACGTACGACGGCACGGCTCGCGAGTTCGGCGAGACTTCGCTTATCGTCATGACGCTCGGAATCTCTCTTTTCGTCCTTGGACTAGGCATCATCCCTCGTAAGTTTCAATATCAAAAAAAAAACGCTAGTCAAATTCACGAAGGCTGACGAAGAGAGGCTCTCCGCACTCGCTCTCCGATCATTGCAGTGCTCCTCGGACCACTATCCGAGCATATCGGCCGAAGGCCCATCTATCTCGTCTCGTACGGCGTCTTTATTGCCTTCAACTTCCAAGTTGCTTTCGCCCACAATCTTGCGACATGGCTTATCGGGCGCTTCTTCTGCGGCATGTTCGCCAGTCCGTTCCTATCTGTCGCCGGAGGATCCGTTACCGATCTGTGGGCTCCTGACCAGGTTGCAAGTCCCATGGCTTTCTACACGGCCTCGCCTTTTCTTGGACCCGTCATCGGGCCCATCATCTCCGGAGTAATCAACCAGCACCTCGACTGGCGATGGACATGGTACATCCTCATCATGTGGAGTGCTGTCGAGTTCGCGGCCCTCTTCCTCCTCGTGCCCGAGACATACCTCCCCGCATTGCTGAAGAAGAAAGCCAAGCACCTACGCCAACAAGGACGCTCCGACGTCCGAGCACCGATCGAGTTGGATGAGCGAACTCCCCTTCAAGTCGTAGCAACAAGCTGCCTGCGCCCCTTGCAGATCTTGATCTACGAGCCGATGGCATTGGCGCTATGCACTTGGACCGCTTTGCTCCTTGGAATTCTCTACATGGCGTTCTCGGCTTGGCCGATCGTTTATAGGGATCACCACGGTTTCTCAACACAAGAGACCGGATTCTCGTTTACCGGCATCGGCGTCGGTATCGTCATTGGAACTCTTATGCAACCCGTCTGGGCCATCTACTATGGTCGGATAACAAAAGAGACAGGAGAGCGACCACCCCCCGAAGAACACCTGCGCAAGGGGTGCTGGGGCGCGGTCCTCGTCCCCGTCTCGCTCTTTTGGTTCGCTTTCACCTCGTATGCCTCGGTGCACTGGGCCGTCTCCCAAGTCTCGACCATCTTCTTCGGTATCGGCATCATCCTCTCCTATCAAGCTGTGTTCGTCTATCTCGTCGATGCGTTCCGTCCCGTCGCTGCTTCCGCCATGGCGGCCAATTCGGCGATGCGATCCAGTTTCGCTTGCGTTTTTCCTCTGTTCACTCAAGCCATGTTCAAGAAGCTCGGAACGGCCGGAGCACTTGCCCTCATTGCAGGATTGACGTGCTGTATCCTCCCATTTCCCTTCTTGGTCGGTCCGGTCGAAACCTTTTTTCCTCGCATTGCGACAGGGGTGCTGACTTTTCATAGCTTTACCCTGTAAACTTTGCAGTTCTTCAAGTATGGGCACAAGTACCGCAAGTCGTCAAGATTTGCAAACAAGGAACGGTGATGGACTCGCATGGCCCGATCAATACCCTCTTGGAAGAACGCACATCTTGCTGTCATCATCTGAATATTCGCAAAGTCTACGTCTACTGAACTCTCTAATTATCATTCTCTTGCAATGGCATCGTAATCACTATTATCGAAACTAAAGCGATGCCTTGCCCGCGAGTCAATTGCCATCCCACTTCATCACGACCGAGCCCTCCCATTTCTCCCCCTTGCTCAACTCGACCCAACTCGAGACCTGCCCCGGCTCGAGACAAACATACTTTGACGCTCCACCTTCTTGCATATCCCCAATCGTCGCCGCCTTCTCAGCGCCGGGGTTCCACAGAACAACATCCGCCAGACCGTTCTTCGAAACGGTGACGGATCCTTTTGAGCCTTGGTACGTGATGCGCAATTCGTTTGGTGCGCGGTGGTAGACTCTATCGACTTCTTGGTTGGGTCCTTGCACGACGACGACCGATCGGTCCTCTTTTCCTTCTCTACCTCCTGCTACTTTGTCAATGAACTTGAGCCCTTGCAAAGGTTGGACTTGAACCTGATCAGGTTGGACCGATTCGGGCAAAAGCAAGTAGGTGTGCAGCAGCGCTTGGAAGCGTAAGTCGTCCCCCTCCGAAGGTGCCTGGACCTGAAGACGCAAGTCGAGCTCGGACGACTTGGTGATGCGTACGGTGTAGACAAGACGGAAATCCTTGTCAAAGACGGCACGGGTGATGGACGAAGAGGCCAAGGTGAAGACGGCTTGGGCGGCGCCACTGCCGGACGGGTCGGGACCGGAGGTGGACGAGTCAAAGGTCCATTGAGAGGTGCGAGCAAAGCCGTGTTGCTTCAACTTGTCGTAAGGTGCTTCCGAAGGGGGAGGTCCAAATACGGGCTGCGTGGTGGGAATGCACCGGCGAATGCTTGATCAGCCGTTTGGGGGTGTCCCGGTACGATGACCCCCACATGACGGTGCTCTCACTGGACTGACCCAGCACACGGGCACACCACCTCGGATGGCAGCCTTGTCGGACAGGCCAACGTTGGATTTGGTCGAGACAAACAGTCGCTCGGTACCCGAAGTCTTGAACGAGATCACGGTCGCGCCCTAGTGAGAGGGATGTTCGTCCAGCAGCGAGGAGGTGGAAGGGGAGTCCGAGTCGCAGCGTGACCGGCGGAGAGCCAGACACAGCATGGTGGGATTGTATTCTCCATGTCAGTATAAGTAGTAATCTCCGCAAGATACTGGCTCACACACCTTGAGAGCGACCTCGACGGTGTTGTCACCGTGTCGAAGCACGACAGAGTCCGACTTGACCTCGTACGACATCTGAGCGACCGCACACCACACTGAACTCAGCTGCAAAAGACGTTGCAAGGGACTCAACCACACTCGGTGGCTGACCTTGGACTGAAATGGCTTGACGCGATTGGTGGGGGGAGAGAGGCGCGGGCAGGCACGGCCGGATGAGCGCTGAGCGCTGAGACGGGTGGGCCGCCCCCCTTGGGGGTGGAGCGCATGCGCTTAGAGTGGAGTAGGCGAGAGAATTGCCTGTTCGCTTCTGCACCTTATTCGTTTCGCTCGAACGGCAGTGCTCATTTCATATTGCCTCTACACTCGCGAAACTTTTTGACCCACCCACCGTCCCGAATAAGGTGCTGTCTTATTCCAAGGGAGTATTAGCGTTTTTGCAAACCGCGGTCCTTGGGGTGTACGCATCATCCCACGGTCTCTTCCAGGAAGATTACTCATCTTCCTCATCCCAACTCAACCAAACAAACCGAAAGATCCCTGAAGCTCGTTAGAGCTGAAGGTTTCGTTTCGAAAAATGGGAGGGGGTCCCAGCCTCGAAAATGATGCTATTCTGAGATTTTATTGGACGAAATGGCCGAAATACCCCGCACGCGCGTGGCTGTCGAAGCCCCAATAGGAGAGCCCGATATCAGCGCCGATTGGTGCGAACAATGCTCCCCCCGATGGGAGGACCCTGCCTTTGAGCGCAATAGGAGAGTCCGACTCGGTGTCAGCGCCGTTGAACATTAAAACAAGACTAGCTGGAATATATGGATTAAAACATTAAAACAATGCTCCCCCGGATAGGAGCACCCGGCTAAGCGCGCCGATCATTAATTGTCAATGGCCAGTGGCCACCAGCCCGGTTGCTAACCTAATCTGCCGAGTCGGCGCTCTCAGCACATAGCTTGGGCGTCATCAGCCTTGCTGAGTTCCCGCGCCAGAGCGTACTACATACTAGCGCAGACAAGCGCAAGCTAGCGCACTCAGGCTGGCCTCCGTTAGCAAGTTGCCACCGCCCGGCCCTCTCCTTTACGTCTCTGTACTGCCTTATTCTAACTTGGACCGAGTTTCCTCGCATCTCTCAGACAGGCTATCACACAATCGCCGTCATGTCACTGCTTTCTGATCTTGTACACCTCCGCACCATCGAGGTCAGCCCACACCCACAACGCTCAACGCCTCGAATCTCCACAACGTGTTAAGCCCGCGTCCACCACTAGCGACAGCCGATCCTCCCGCCGCACCGATCGAGCACAGTGTGTGTCTTCCGGTCCGCTCCTACGCAATAGGTGAGTGTCAGTACTCGAAGATGTGGTTGTCAAATGCAGTCTTGGGCAGCTCGTGCGCAGCAGCATCAACTTCAGCATGGATCTCCTGAAGGAGCTTTGTCGGGCGCACCACGTGGAAGGATACTCCAGGAAGAACCCGCTTGCGAAAGAGCGATTCCTACGAGTACTCGTCTGGTCGTGCGATCCAAACTGTGATGCTTGTTCAAATGAGTATGTCTTCAGAAGACAACAAGCCGCGGCCCCCGTGACTCCGCCACGTCGACATTGCTTCCCCGACCACAGAGCATACGCATCAAAACCTGTTGACGTGCTTCGAGCCTGACTGAACGAAGAAGTCCAGAAGAATCGCGAGAACGTCTCAGCGACTGACTCTAAACAAACGCTGCACAGACTTCCACCGCTGCATCCCGAACCCGAACAAGAAGAACCCGGTAAAGTGACATCGCATTCTTCGCCAGCATCCGATCAGTTCAAGACCGAGAACCGTTCTGAATGGAATGATTACTTCACCGACGCTCGTTCCCGTCTCTTCTGCTGCCTGGTGTGCTCCGAGAGAGTCTTCGGGCATAAAGTACGATGGGTGCCTGAACACGACATCAAGCGTGAGGAATCAGGGATTTGGAAGGTATTAACCAACTCTACACTACGGACGGACCTCCGACCACCGACTTACGATTCTTCAGCTTGGCGGGGCGCACTCATTCATCCCCGACGTCTTCATCGACCGAGCGATTTATTCGATCAGATCGCGTACTCGCCCATGAACAACACGCTTCAGTGCTCACTCTGTCCAGACTGCTTCAAGCGGTCGTTCCCTACCACAGGGCCACCGACTAAGCCCCCTCGGTCGTTGAGCAACGGATTTTATCGCGCACTGGATCATGTCCCCGCTGATGTCCGAGTATACCTCTCCAACGCGAGTCAGCTTGAGCACCTCTTCACTGCGCGCGCCAGAGCCTACAAGAACGTGTACAAGCTAACTCGTTTCGGAGATCCCAAAGTTCAACAAGAATATACGCGCGGAAACACCCTCATCTTCAGCCAGAACACCGCTTCGTTCACCGATGTACTGTCCATGTTAGTCGAGGAACTCGCTGACAGTGTGTGCGTTCTATTCTGCAGAGGGAACCCCAACCTTGCGGAGCTGGACAAGTGTCGACCCATGATCGTGAAGCAGAGTCGGATCCAAAAGATGCTCAGGTGGTTGATCAACGAAAGCAAGAATCCGGCGTACTCTGCCGTCTCCTTTTTTAATGGCGAAAGACTTGCACAGCTCGTTCGACGCAATTCTGGTGTGCTCAACTCTACCTCTCCAGCACCCACGGCGGTTTCAGCTTCCACTTCGGCTTCGGCTTCCGTCTGGGTTGCTCCCCAAGTGTCGGATGGACAAACCTCGAATGGAGACAGTCTCGTGCCCGACGCAGTTTTGGCCAAGGTGTTTACCGCAGAGACAGTGGAACCAACATCATCGCTCTTTGAAGGCTACGCAACAGCGCATAACGACTCTGATGAACCAGTATTTGAACACGTCCATGTGCCGCCACCCGCTACCGACGAACCAGTTCACTCGTGGCAGTTCTCTGAGAAAGCTCTCCGTTATTTCAACCACTGCAAGACCAGCCCCCCCATGTCATTCCGACAGGCGACGACCCTTTGTGGGGATCTTCGGATGACTTCCTGCTCTCAAAGCTGCAGTGTGGCCACACCTCGATCCATTCGGTCTCGTCGGTGTCTGTGTCGAGCGCAACGTCAAGATTTCTCTGGAGGAGCAAGTCAAACACTGGCTCAATCTATACGACAGCGATTTTCGGTGCGACCCGTCTTTCCCGTTCACCATCTCGAACACTCTCCGCCGACGAGACGTGTTTCGCCACCTCGCTTTTCGGGTCCCCAAAGAGAAGGTGGCTCGAATCGCAGCAGCACTGCTCGAAATTTACCGCATATCGACCGTATTCTGGCGTTTCGTCCAAGCACACACGTACTTCAACCAGGCGAGACAAGGCCCACACGCTCGCTTTCAGTTCGTGCCGCATCGGATCCGGGTACATGCCAGGAACAAGCCCCTCTTCATGCAAGTCTCGCGTACAATCAACTAAATTCCTGTATGGGTAAGCTGATTTAACATGTCTACCGCATCGTCATCATCACAGCCTTGTCAGTAGAAGTCAATGTAGCCGTGCACCAATCCGCCCGCCGCGGCTGTCAAAGCTGCGGCGCACCCGGGTCAAGCCGGCGGCGGTTCTCCCTTGTCCCCCTCTTCTCACCGACCGTCCACCGTCGCCCAAGAAAAAGCTATCACCGGTCAAGAGGTCCATTACCGTGACATTGACCTTGCAGTGCCCCTTCCAAAAAAACGTAAGTCGCTCTCTGAAGTCCCGATCTCTCAACGTCAACTGAAACCACTTCTTATAGCCAAGTTCGGTGAAAGCGCGATGTGGGTCCCCGGCGCTGACGACCACATACATACACAAAGTCGGAGTCGGACCAGACACGGACTGTGGCATGGGCGATGTCGAGTGATCTCAACTTATGCATGTACACCCTGGCTCTGGCTCGATCTCTTCTTGTCTGCAATGTTCATTAATGTTTGGCACATACTTACACGACTCATTGATGTGGATTGAACCGACTCGCCAACTTGGTGCTGCATGCCCGATCCATGGCACGTTCTTAGTTATACTAGCTGACGTTGTCAGTCGGTGTTACTCCGTCAGAGGTTCAGGGACCCGTCGCCCCCTCCGGGGGCGCGTGAATACACAAGGAAGGTCGCAATTCCCTTCCCGCGCTCGAGAACCCCATTGGCATCCGATCGAGACATCGGAGGGGAAAAGCGCGCTGAGCACTGTGACACTGGCACGAGCTGGCACGACCTACCACGACCTACCACGACAGACCACAGGACAGACCACGACACTCCAGGACGTGACACTCCATGACAATCTGACACTCCAGGACACTCCTGGATACTCCTGACAGTCTCTGACAGTAGTCAACAGCTCTGACAGTTCCAAGCTGTTGTACGCAAGAGTCATTGTAAATCCATGCTACAACAGTGTTTTTTGAGCGATCTGTGATAGCCATAAAAGCAAATCACGGTTACTAATTTTGCTAGGGCATTCCACCGTCCTCGCTGCTTAATAAGGTTTCAGCGCCTCCCGTTCCCGGAAGATCGTTTCCACATCGTCCATCGTCCTCTCCCCTTCCTCCTTCTTGAGCCGATGTTTAGTCGCATCGATGTAAGGCAACGGGATATGGAAGAACTCGTCCTCTGCGTGCTCGTCCGAATCGGACTCGGCAAGGGCAGGGGGAGGCGGGAGAGCGTAGCGCACTATCACGGGGAAGAATAGATTGTCAGCTCGGCGCGTTGACGATTTCTCGCAGGCTGGAGCACAACATACCTCTCAATCCTCTCCGCAGCATGGCTTCATGCCATTGCTGTCGCAGGTCCTGATCGGAGAAGACGCTCTTCAAATCGGGTCGGAAAGCGATCAGGTACAGATCTGCAGAAGACTGTGAAGTCGGTAAGACTGATCATGACTTGGGCCCACTTCCCTTCGTTGGACTGACCTCGACACCAAGGACACGCCTCAATAGCTCGATACAGTTGCGTCTTGACCCGCGCAAACTCCTCATTCCGTAGCTCAAAGTCGATGTAAAGAGCCCAAATCGAAGGGCATGAGCGAGTACTATAAGAAATGGCCATGACTTCCGAATGAGCAAAGGGCCAGTGCCGAGCCGCTCGGGTGATCTGGGCCATTCTTACCTTGGATCCTCTACTGCTCGCTCAAACAGGTTGCGCACACCCCACACGTTCGTCGAGCGGAAATCGAGATGCGACTCGGCGAAAATGGCAAAGAGGTAGCCTTGGCTCGTCGGCTTCTTCGTGAGGACAAGATCCTCCATCGTCCGTCGCACGCGGTTCTGAATCTTGGTGCGGACTAGGGAGAATGTGTAGGTGAGTTAGTACGTTCTCAGACCACAAGGATCGTGCAAATACTCACGCTCGTTATGGTAGTACACACTGAGGAACATGGAATTGTTGCGAAACTCGGCGATCGCTCGCTCCAAGACCTCCCTCAGCTGCGCAGGTCGATGTCCCCGCTTGCCCTTCTCGGCATGCCGGTACAACAGCTTGACGTAGGCCTGATACGCCTCCTCATGCTCGCATGATCCCTTGGCTCCCGTGTTTTCAAGCCGAGAGAGATGTCGCTCGAATATCTCAGTCGTGAAAGATGTGAGATCGCCATGGGACAGATAATCGAAGAGGGCGAACGAAAAAGCCAGATGGTTGCGATTGCGGACGAGGCGCTGAGGGGCGGATGGTTGGAACGAAGCCTCGAGCTCAGTCGTGTAAAATTGTCGTGCTCGTAAGTTCTGTGCGGGCGTGTTCTTGATGGAGACTGTCTTGGCAAGCGTGGCTGACAAACTGACACTTCAGTTAGGCCACTTACTCCCTCAGTGAGAGGCGTCGTTTGACTCACCAAGATCCTCCCCGTCCCCAGCCGCAGTCGCAGCGACCAATACCTTGAGCGCCAGATCAGCCCCTCCTTCCTCCCATTCCATCTCAGCCCAAGACCTCCACAACAGTGGTCCATCAATCCTCTCGTGATTCGGGAACGTGCGATACATAGAAAGAGCCGTGACGTAGACTTGACGAGCATCGGAGACCTTGCCTCGAGCCCTTTCGATCCTGGCGTACCCGTCCCACAGCACCAAGGTCTGTCGCTTCCTTCGAAGAACCGATTTCGCGAGTTTGCCAGCGGAGTTAGGCGATTGGCAGGCTTCGAAAGCAAAAGCGTCGAGGTGGAGAAAAGGATCATCCGCAGAAGACAAACCCGAGAGCAATGCCAGCGCATTCCTCGCAAGCTCGGAGTCTACTCCTTCGAGATCACGCTCATTGATCGCCGTGAACCATCCTTGCTGCGCGGCAAAGAGAAGCTCGACAGAGCAAGGCATCGCGTTGAAAGGAATGTGCCATGGCTTCTCGAGTGCAGGCTTGCGTTCGGGTTCCATCGCCTCGCCGTCGATGACCTCCACCGCTTGAGTGGTTTCCGGTTTGCTGGGCCAGAAACTCTTCACGAGATCCTCCTGCTCGACCATCCTCGAATGAATGAAGCCATCAGTCGCAAAGGGCGTCGATGTCGGGACATCGGGGGGTACGAAAGGCAGACCCAAAAAGGCGAGGAAAGCGTAGATGAGCTGCTGCTTCGCGTCGGACGAGTCAACGATAAAGAGCAACGGCTTGATGTCGGTGTCAAAGAGAGGCACTCGGGCGACATCGTCCTCATCGACGCTTTCGTCCGTCAATCGAGCAGGCCGGAGGTTGGCCATGCTCGCAAGACGTTCCGAGCGGGCCCAGCGATCGAGACCAGACGAGTCTTCATCGGTGGATGGGGACATTCGTTGATCGGGTTGGGAATCGGGAGCGTCTGCGCCAACCGCAGTGTTGCACCATCCTACCGCTCCATTTTCACCGACTCGTGGGGACTCGTCATCCCAGAATGAATCGAGAGCGGCCAGTGTTCGAGATCGCCAGCCGTGCACATTTTCATCTCCCGCCCCCGACTGGAATTCGACAGGTCGGAAAAGGTTGAGCTCGACAATGGCTTGGAAAGAAGCCAGCGCTCGTTCAATGTAGCCTGCGGGCGCGACGAATCACACTGTCAGTGGGGAGGCGAGGAGGCGAGGAGGTGGAATCAAGCGAACCAGCTTGTCTGAGCATCAAGCAAAGACGAAGGAAGAGATACACCATGTTCGCATCAAAGATGTCCCCTGCCGGATCAGACCCAACATCGAGTCAGCACCAAGTTAATTCATTAATACACCGTTACTCAACTGTACTCACTCTCTTGAAATTCCGTGGCCAGATCGGCCATCCTCTGTAACGTCTCGAAGCATTCGACAAAAGCTTCAACGACGGACTCAACCTCGAAACTCGTCCCATCCGTTTGCCTCCATCCGACGTATCGAACCCACAAGCTAGTCATCTTCGCATGTTCCTCCAAGGCTTTCTTCCACCTCTTGGTCACCGTCGGGGTATCCTCAACCTCCTCCGCCAACTGCAAAAGCTTCAATACCAATCTCTCGTCTTCGGCGTTTGCAGGATCCGCCTTGAGCGCCCGCTCTACGACCACCAACTTGACTTGAGCTGCACCCCTTCTTTCGACGCGGTTCAAAATCGTCCGCCCTCGGTTCTCCCCCGAAGCTGATAAAGCGACTTGATCCTGCCACTCGACGAACTCGAGCCACAGCTCAACATTCTTCGGATCATCCCTCAGCGCCCTGTCGAACTCGATGTTGCGTCTCGATAGGTATTGCGACTCGGATTCACCTCCCGTGACACCGAGTTGATCAAACTCGTTCTCATCCACCGCCGCGTCCGTATTTTGACTCGCTGCGGCTGTGGACAGGTCCGAGGGTTTAATCTGCCCAGCAACGGATCGGTAATCTGTTCCTTCCTCGTGCTCGAGCCCTTGCATAAGCTCTTCGAACGGGTGCTCCTTGTCGAACGCGACAAGGTTCTCCCGCTCTGCGAAAGGATCTCGACGAGGTCGGCCCCCCGGCGTAGACTTGGCTGCGAGCGATATGCGGCGGAGGTCCTTATCGAGCATATGTCGAGCTGAGCGCGAGTCACTGTAGCGTGGGGTCTGAGAAGGGACCGTAAATCGCGTTAGTTTAGGGATGTGGTCGAGAGAAGGCCTTGGTGAACACCCACTCTGAACCGCCTCATAGGTCCAATCTCGACACCCCTACCCGTATAAGCCGTATCACTTGTGATTCTCAATCCCTCATTGAGTCCAACGACTCGACCCGCTGAGACCAAAGATGTCCCGGTCAGCCTCGCGCGGTCGATTGGAGCGGGTAAAGAGTAGCTCTGCTCACCTCCCAAGCGTCGATAACGGGGGACAGCGCTTCGATTTAAAGAGCCGTATTTGATGTTGAGCTCATCTCCCGTCCTCGACGAATAGTAGGGAGGGTTGTCCGGGTCGTCGGACACCGAGGAGGATACCTTGGGAGCAGTCTTTGCGTTCTCGTCTGCCACGGTCGCCTGGACGAGCTGGTAAGGTTTACGTCGCTGCGGTGAGAGGCCCATGTTTCAGTTGATCTGTTGAAACCGTAGATGAGGCGTTGCTCCTCGTTCCGACGTACCTTGTGACCATACTCGTGCTCAGTCAATTGGAACTGATCGGAACTACCGAGCTCCGACTGATCCGCTTGCGCCGTGGCCTTTCTCGACGAGGAAGATGATGAGGAAGACGAAGAGGGGTTTGACAAGTCTCTGATGACGGCAGGTCGATCATGATGCCCTCGTTCATGCTTGCGCTTGCGATCACTCGAGTGTCGTTCGTCGCGCTTGTCCGTGCTCTGTTTGCCCCCGCTCCCGCTCGTTGAAGGATCCGAGCCATCATGGTGCTTGGACCGTCGGTGACCGGGCTTGTCGCCAATCGGCTTGGATTGATCCAACTGTTGTTCAAGTCCACTGAGGAAAGTATCGGCCGGTGTCGGGACTGGAGGAGCTGGGAACGAGTCGAACGATGGGGCCCTTGTGGGGGGACTAGCACGTCGAGTGGATGCGGGTGAGCTCGATGGTGCATTGGGAGCCTCGGCTGCGGGGAACGAGTCGAATGATGGGGGTGGCGGGCGACGCGAGCCACTCATCGCGCGCACGCCGAACCGATGCGACCTGGGCCGACGTGGTGACGGGGGAAGGGGGGTGGGCGGAGGAGACGTGCAGCAGCGTGGAGCTGTGTGGAGCATCGACGAACAGGAAGTCAGTCAGTTCGAGCGCGACCAAGCTTCGCTGGGCAGCGCCTGGCAGGCTAGAGCAGGCTAGCCAGGCTCCCTCAGGCTCCGCTAGGCTCAGCGAGTCTGCTCAGCGCTCGACTGCCTATCCACCCTTTGGCCAGAGCCTCAAATTTGGCTCGCAGCTGACCTACCTAGTCACCATGACTACTCAGAGCACGCCCACGCCCCGACGGCGAGTCGCCCTGGTGCAATACCCCCGCTCGCAGGACGATGTCGTCAAGGCGCTGCGAAGGGCATTCGAATCTCACCCCGAATGGTCGGTGCAGACGACCACTACATCTGATGATCAGATCGACTTGCAATGGTCCGATTATGACTATATCGACTGGGACTTGGTGGAGGGGGCTCAGGGCAAGACTCGGCTCGTCAATAGCTATGTCATCCGAAAGGGGTCAGTGTATGCACGTGATCGGTGATCGAGCGTTCGCACAGGAGACTGATTCAAATGCGTCCGCACATCACAGTCTAATTCGCAAAAACCATCTCTCACATACGATCGCACTATACCTCTCCAAGAACCCGGCCTCCCCACTCGCCCGAGCCGCTCCACAAACCTTCTACTTCACCCTCTCTTTCGCCGACGAGCTTGACCAGCTGCTCGTAGATGAGCTGTACGACGTGCAGCACTCGTTCGACACAGCCGATCCGGGCAAACCATCGTGGTGGATCCTCAAGGCCGCATTGGCCGACAAAGGGGTAGGCATTCGTCTCTTTTCCGATCGGCATCAACTCGAGCAGATTTTTCAGGAATTCGAACCCGTCAGCAGCGACGAGGAGGAGGAAGAAGAAGACTACGACGAAGCTTTTGGTACAAAAGCATACGGTACAGGTACCCGAGTCGACTCGTCCCAACTTCGAGAATGGGTCGTACAGGTGAGTCCCATTGGCTCTTTCTTACCTGGCGAGCACCGCAACTAACCTGCCCACCATAGCGCTACGTTTCGAACCCCCTACTCTTCTCACCCTCCAACACCCCTTCATCGCCAAGCTACAAATTCCACCTCCGCGTCTACGTCGTTGCATCAGGTGCACTCACAGTCCACGTGCACCATCCTTTCCTCGCTCTCTTCGCACCAACACCTTACTCCACTCCCGAATCCTCCGACAAGGTTGACCTTTCGGCCCATCTTACCAACACCTGCTTGCAGACGACCATCATGGGGTCCCAGGCACTGCCCGAGTCGGTCAATACGCTGCAAAAAATGCAAGGGTATACGATACTCGGTGGCGCTCTGGAGGGGCAGAAGTTGACCCGAGAGCAGATCACCAAGATTGAGGATAGCGTTGGAGAGGTCGTCGCTGAGCTGTTCAAAGCGGCCGTAGGCGCTGGGACATCGTTTCAGGTAAGTGCAGAGCCTAAGAATTTCCAGCTCAGACTTTTCGGAGACCTAAACCTCCTCGAACCGGGTTTGATTGCAGGCATTACCCAACGCATTCGAGATCTTTGGCTTGGATTTCCTCGTCGATGACGAACTTCGAGTCTCCCTCCTGGAGGTCAATGCCGTGAGTCCCGCGCCGAAAGCCCTCGGAAAGATTTCCCGCCTGACCATTGCAGCGTTCCTCGAGTACAGTGCCCCGACTTTGGCCAAACAGGCCCCACCTTACAATCAGTAATCGACCACTTGTTCGCATCTACATTGGACGAGCTGGTGATCCCCTACTTTACACGGCAGGAGCACAACCTTCCTACCTCAGAGGAGCCGCGGGATGCCTCGGCTGAACCACAAACTCCGAGTAAAGCTTTACAAGGATTAATCTTGGAGGAGACGACACAGCCGGGACTAAGAAAGGTTTTAGCGATGGAGATTAGTAAAGCTTGGTCATAAGGGAAGTAATGGGAACCAGCTGCTACCTCCCTATCTGTGCTGGCGAAATTCATCTCATTTCGGCAAGCCGCAGCCCCGCGGGACGATGGGCCCCGGGGATTGAGCCCTCTGTTTTTTGGGTCGGGGAACCAGGCCAAGGAGGTATCGTAATTTCGGGATCATAGAATCGAGTTCATGAAGGAGAGCAGGACCAGAAAGACTTTTGTGATGTGGGGTAAGCCAGTTCCATGGACTTGCCGAGATGCCGGTAGACCCTTGGCCCGCGCCCGCGACCGGATGATCAGAGCATCCGACGCCAGTGCGCGGCTGGGGACATCCGGGAGGACGGCGGCAACCCGATCGCCACCGCTGCTGCTGGGTCCCGATCGGCCTTCGAGGGAAAGATGTCCGAATCCGAAAGCCAGGGTTATCCAAATCCTTCTCACCCCCTCCCATCACCTTCACTCTTTCTCCTACCAGCTCATCATCTCTACTTCAAACCAACCATGGCCGCAATCCCCATCGTCAAGTTCCCGGCTCACGTGCCCGCGGTCGAGCTGCCGAGTTCGTCCGGCACGGTGTGGAGCTTCCTCTTCGACGCCAATGGGACGGGCCAATCCCCCTTCGTGAAAGGTTCGCCGACGATGAAGGCGACGCGCAAGGACTTTCAGAACCGATACCTTGACGGTCCGATCCCCGCTGAGAAGCCCGTGTTCCGTGATGGGTTGACGGGTGAGTCGGGATGCGCCGCAGAAGGATCGGACTCCGCGGCGCTTACCCCGGGCCGCGTTGCGCTGTCTGTGGGGTTGGGAGGGATCTGGAGGGGTTGGGCCGCGGCGCAGGAAGGCCGTCAATGAGACGCGGGAACTGACTCCTTCTTCTGACCGCATCACAGGCGCCACCTTGTCCTACGGGCGACTCAAGTCCGACTCGCTCAAGATCGCCTCATCCCTCATTCACGGCCCTCTTGGCTTGAAGCCGGCCTCACTGGCGAGTGCGGACCCCACATCGAACCGAGGCGCCGTCGTCTCTCCCATCGTGTTGCTGCAGCTGCCCAACTCGTTGCCGTTCGCGACACTCGCTTTCGGTGTGCTCGCTTCGGGATTGACAGTGAGTAACCACAGACGGCTACTTACTTCGCAAACTTATGACTAAATCCGCTCCTCCGGCTCGTCTAGTTCACTGCCGTCAACCCGGTGCTCACCTCGTCTGAGATTGCCCACATTCTCTCCCTCTCTGAGCCGGCGGTCATCATCACTACACCTGCAGGCCTGCCGGCCTTCCAGGACGCTTTCCGATCGTTGACCCCCGATGTTCAAGCCCGACTTGGGTATGCGACCAAAGGCAATGTTTTCATCGTCGACCTCTCCCACGACGACTATGGGGCTTCGTCCGGGTCAATCGGGCAGGTACGAGAACAAGTCATCGGCGGATGGCGAGTCCAGGATTGGAAGGTGCTTTTGCCCCCGGTCGCTGCCGAGGAAGTCATCTTTGAACCTCCTCGTTATACTGGGTCCGAGGATGCCGTTCGAGGTGCCGTCATTTTCTGGTCGTCCGGAACGAGTGGCAAGTCCAAGGGTGTCATTCTCGGCCACAAAGCCGTCGGCTCGGCAATCGTCTCGGTCTGGCATTGCGCGACGCTCGAAGCGAACGAGCGCCTCGTCGGCTTGCCTCCTTTTTACCACATCTTCGGCTGGTCCAACGTCCTCATGCCCGCCGCCGCGTTCGGAGCAACAGTGACGGTGATCCAAAAATTCGTTCCCCAGACCTACCTCCGCATCGCTCAAGAGTGTCGAGCGACGCATCTCCATATCGCACCTCCCGTCGCGGTCCTCTTCGCCAAATCCCCCCTCGTTGACGGCTTTGACCTTTCCTCCGTCCGAGCATGCACATCTGGTGGCGCTCCACTGGGATCGAGCATTATCACCCAAGTCTACAAACGTCTCGGGATCCTCCTTCGAATGGGTTATGGCTTGTCCGAAACGTCGGGTGTGACGGGCCAATCGGCACCTACATGGTCCGAATTGGAATCCGAACTTGGTTCAACAGGCAAAGTCTTTTACGGCAACGAGCTCAAGATCGCTTCCATCTCTGATCCAAGCAGAACCGCGACAGTGGGTGAAGATGGAGAGGTTCTAATTCGTTCGCCTTACATGATGATTTCATACCTCAACAACCCTGTCGCGACGAACGAATCATTCGATGATGATGGGTGGTTCAAGACGGGTGATGTTGGGAACCTCGATGCTCGAGGAAACTTGCACATCGTCGATCGAATGAAGGAGATCATGAAGATCAAAGGGTCAGTCACCACTGCTGTAATCAATCACTTACTCTCCCGATTAGTTGAACTGACACAATTCACACTTTCATGACTCAAGTTTCCAAGTCTCCCCCGCCGAACTGGAAGACTATATTTGCTCCTCCCCCCTCGTGCAAGACGCCGGAGTCTCCTCCGTCTACCACGAAGAACACGCGACTGAATACCCCCGAGCCTACGTCGTCCCAGCGGACAAGTCACATCTCCTAGGTGGAGCAGGGGCCGAAGTCTTTGCCCATGCGTTGCGCGAACACATCGAGGCCAAAGCCGCGCCTTACAAGTGGCTTCGTGGAGGTGTCGTCCTCATCGATGCGGTACCCAAATCGGCGGCGGGCAAGATCTTGCGTCGTAATTTAAAGGAGTGCAAGGGTCAGCTCGTGCATGTATACGAGGACAAGATCAGGGCCAAGCTTTGATCTGTGGCGGGGTATAAAGAGATTTTATTTTCGTTCTTAGTATGCTTTGTTCTTCGGATGTACAAATGCAATGCTGTAAGGACCTTCATATCAAGTCCCAATGGCTGTGGGGGATCAAGACTTGCAACTCTGATTACAATCATTCTGTCGGTGGCAAGTACTTGTAAGGCGACAAGATCTGACGCGGGTCGAAGAGCTTGCGGATCTGCTGCATCAGAGCGATTGACTCGTCCGACTTGGAGTAGCTAACGTAAGGCGCCTTCATGAGGCCCAAGCCGTGTTCGGCCGAGATGGAACCGTTGCGAGCAGCTGCGGAGATCGGGAGCAGGACTGGTGATGAGCTTCTCCATCATTTCACCGGGATGAAGAGCTACGAAAAACTGACCTGTCGCTTCGTAAACCCAAGGTTCAATTATTTTTTCGATCCTTTCATCCCATTTGCTCGCCACAATGTTGAGATGCAGGTTGCCTGCCGCCGAGACAGCCCACGGAAAGTGTCAGCGCCCAACTCTGCTACTTCGAACCTAGGAGCCAGGACTGACCATCACCGATATGCCCATATCCAATCGTCTGCTTGATGCTCCCGTCCTTATCCAATCCATGTTCCTTGAACCGAACGCGCGCCTCCTCCACGAGCGAGTACATGTCCTTGACTGGCATCGACAGGTCGTACTTGTACACCTTGCCCAACTTGCCCGCAGCTTCCGGCATCAATTCTCGCAGCGACCACAAGGAGAGGAGCTGCGCTTCGTCCTGAGCCAAGACACCGTCGGCAACGATCTCCTTCTTCAACAAGTGCTCCAAAAGCCCCCCGAGTTTCTATGTGACAATGGGGGTCAGCTTGTGCACTGTTACGTGGATCAGCGGTCCGCATGTGAGCTCACCTCATCGTCGTGATCCTTATTGCTACCACTTGTCTCGATCAAGACGTAGAAAGCTCGACCTCCCTCTGGTGTACCTTCGAAGGGTGCCTTCTGACCCGTGTGGTGAAGCACCAACTCCAGTCCCTCCTGATCCCAGAACTCGAAGGCCGACAGGATCTCGCCAAGGCGACCCCTTGTCTCTTGGAAGACTCGTTGCACGCCTTCAAAGTCCGGCACGCATAGCACGGCAACGTTCACAGCCTGGCAGGGAGAATGTGTGGTCAGTATAGAGAAGAAGGGGATAGATACTCCGAAAGTGCTAGTGACTCACATCGGAGATCCTGGGTGTCAGAATCGAGACACCCGTCACGATTCCGAGAGTGCCTTCGGCACCGATGAACAACTGCTTGATGTCGTAGCCTAAAGAGATACCCACACAGTTAGCATTATGCATACTTTAGGGGTTCTGACAGAATTCATATACCCGTGTTGTCCTTCCTAAGCGCTCCACCCTTGCTCCCAGGCATCCCGACCGAGACAACTGTCCCCTTCTCATCAGGCAAGACAACCTCGAGCCCCAAGACGGTGCCGTGCAAGGATCCGTAGCGCAGAAGTCGGAGACCACCGGCGTTGGTCGAGATATTTCCGGCGATGTGACATGAACCTTTGGCACCGAGGTCGAGGGGCATCATGTATCCTTTGGGGTGGAGGTAGTTGGACAGAGATTCGAGAATGGCTCCACCATCGCAGGTGAGAATTCCTGTACGAAATAACATCCCTCGTCAGCATTTCGCATCTGCGCAAAAGACGGACCATCTGCATCCACCCGCTGACTGACCTGACACCTCGTCGAAGTGCCTGACCTCCTTCATGCCTTCGGTCGAGAGGATCAGCTCGTCATACACGGGCACCCCTCCTCCGACGAGTCCCGTGTTTCCACCCTGAGGCACGATGGCAATGCGATGCTTGTAGCAGTAGGCCACGATCTTGCTCACTTCCTGCATCGACTTGGGCTTCACCACGATCGCGGATCGGCCGACGTACTTGTCGAGCCAGTCCTTGTTGTAGCCTTCGAGGTCATCCGACGCGGCCGAGCTCCATTCGCCGTTGGGCGCGGCGATCGTCGTCATCAACGACGCGGTCGGGTTGGACAGCATCGACGCGAGTTGGGAGACATCCTCGGCGGTCAGTTGCTTGTAGTCACCCCGTGGTGGCACTTCACCGCCTAGAGCAGGTCGGGTTGTGGAGAACTGTCTTCGCAACGAACGCGACGACGACGGCAGGGCAGCGGGGACGGTGTTGCGCGATCGGAAGGCAAGGCTAGGAGTGGCGATCGTCCGTGTCGCACATGCAGTTAGGCGAGCGGCCAACGTTGATGAGGCGCGGCGTGACATGCTGTCAGTGGGACAAGAACGGGTGAGCAAGATGGTGGTCGATCGGCAAGAGACGGCGACGGCAGGTGCTTGGACTCGGCAGGATTTGGCAGTGACTCGGCCGGGGATAACGACGAGAAATACCCCGGAGCATGAATCGTAAGGTACGGCATAGTCATTTCAAACGCGACAATCAAACAACATATCAACGGATTGTGATAACATCTAACACGGCTGATTTAGATCCATATTGATCCGAGTCACCGGATCCAACTGGGCACGGCTAGGGTTTTCGACGCACTCGGGCATCGCGTGCCGACCAACACGAGCAACACGAGTCCAATCAACGTCATCTGCGGATCCACTCAAACCCAGCAAAGAGAGACTCGAAAGTTTTCCACCAAGCTCGAGCACAAGTTGCGTGGGCTCGACCCATTCTGCCACCTCGGGGTCGACCAGGTCCGACTTCGACCCAGGGTCGACCGGCTGGGGCCACGGCGGCAGCTCGAGCTCGGTGAGGTGTCTAAAGTTCGCCAAGGCCAGAAGATAGTCGCCGTACCAACATATGACGCAGGGGTATAAGCACTCCCAAAAGGCATTTCCGGACTACCGCAGCCTTTGAGACGGACTGACTCTTCCACCAGCCCATACGATCCGATCGCCGAGGTGCAGCTCCCTCACATTCGGAAACTTTTCCGCCGGCCACTCGACGTCTTGGGGCTTGAGCAGAGTGAACTCGTCCAGACTGAGGTGTCGAATTTTGGGCCCCGCGGGTGAGAAACACTCGAGTGCGGCACACAGTCGTTCGCCTACTGTGCGCGATGGGCGACTCTGGCTCGACCGAAAAATCGTCACGCTGAGGGATCGTAAAGCCGCGTCGGAAGGAATCTGCAACAAATCCACGCACCGGCCCGTCAGTTGGGACTTGAGCGGAGAACTTCGCACCGTTGAACCAATGATGAACCGACCAAGCAGACGCACAATCAGGGACTGCAGAGCCGTCTCCAGAGGAAGCTGCGTGAAGATGGTGGCAGATGGAGACTTCTGCAACGGACGGCATTCGATTTCGAACACCTCGAGTCGATCCCACATGCGTACCCATTGGGCTATGGGCCTCTTGACATTCCATAGCGTCAACTTGAGTTCCGTCAGCGCCTTGCACTGCTCCAACAAGAACTGCGCCATCGTCCCTGACGTCGACCAGATCGAGTCGCCTGATCCTCATCGACTGGGACGGACTGACAGGGAGTAGCCACATGTCGAACTGGAGATGCCGCAAACGCAATTCGGTGAGGTTGGATGTGATGAGGAGGGAGAAACCCATGGGGAAGGACCAATTGCGCGACCTTGAGGCGGAAGCCCCTGAGCCCCCTATCTCAGAGTAGGTCATGACTTGAGTCGACAGCTCGACAAACCTCGCGTTCGGTGGTATGGTGACGTCTTTCACAGTCTCGAGGGCCGTTTGAATGAATCTGAGGTAGTGCAGCCTTCGAAACCGATTGAAAATCTGGATCTGGGATGGGATCGGGTTCAGAACTTCCGCGATGATAGAGCAGAGCCTGGCAACGCCAGCGCAAGATCGGCGACTTGGACAGCGAAAGCATCTCGAGTGGAGATGGTCTGGGTCGACGCGATTCCGAGTACGAGTAACGATGCTATGGTGTGATCATGTAGCCGGCATAGGAACGGAACGAGGTCGACATCGGCCATTGACGAAGAAGGTGCGTGGCCAGCCAATGCATCAACGTCGGGCAGTGAGCAGCCAGGTCAGTACATGCGATCCGGGTTACTACTGAGTCGTCAGACGTACTAGCGCCACAAATTGCAGTATCAGGTCGATGATGTCCTCGGGGAGGTCGAGCAGACGAAATGTGGGGGTCGGCGAACGCCCCAATGCCGCCCACTCAGCAAGAGTTCGGGTCTTCTTGGCAGTCTGGACCGCATGCAACCCCCCAGAGCCGTCTTCTGCTTTCTTGTCCTCGAGTGGTCCATCCGGTAGGCGGCCGGTGGAGCGGAGTGGGCCTAGCTGCATGGTCAAGGAGAAGGAAGCGAGACTGCAAGCCGGCCTTCCCACCAATCGGCGCTCACCGGCACCACCCTGAGCTGCACGGGGTCATCGACGAATTGAACCTCAGGTAGAGAGCTTCAGACTATTTGACCTCAACACCAGAACTCGTTCTTGTTTCACAACATTCATTTCAATTGTACATCAAAGGAGTGGCATTCTAGAGTCGATCCGAATTGGCCTTGACCTGCAGTGATCACAATTTGCAGTGGCCCCTCGCCCTCCTGGTCCTCAACTTCTCGAACGCCTTCTCGACATCGTCAAACTCGTACTCGCTATCCACAACGACCTTCATTCCTTTATCCTGTATCAGCTTAACACCCTTTTGCAACCTGTCCTTGGATGCCTTTAGGCTGATACAGCTGTACCTCCACTTGGCGCTGAGGGCCTCAGCCTCAGCCTGAGGCCGTAGCAACTCCATAAAGTCCTCCAGACCATCCGAGGGCTGTACCAATACACCGTTGCGCCTCTTATCCGTTCCGAGTCGGTCGCATCGCCAACGATGGTGATGTAGCCACCACCAGGGTGACCCGAGGACCGATACGGACGGACTGGGAAGCCGTGAGATTTGCTTGATAAGCTCGATGAAGATCATTTTCAATAGACCAAAGTGTCCCGACAGGTAGACGTCATGCAGACAGATGCAGACGCATGCCGCCGCTGTGAACAGTCCGAGTCTGACCGCCGGTCTGACCAATGACGTCATCCGTGCGCGAGGCCACGCGCGCTAGAACACGGCGCGGGCGAGACCCTCTTTTTGGCTTTACCCATTCACCTCTTCGGACCGCACGCAGCCAAGCTTCCAAGATGGCGGCCCACTCGTTCGACTCGTCCTCCCCGTTTCCTCGACGGTTCGATGCCTCGGTCCCGACGCTGTTGAAGGCGCGTTCGATCGCGTTAACCGGTCCGCTCCCCACTTCGTCCGTGCTTCATGTCGCCGTCGCCCATCTTCGAGGTCGCTCCTCGGAGGGCGATCATGACGTTGACCATAGTCAGCACTCTTTGGAAGCCAGGCAAGAGGACGATCAAGTCGGACCCGAACGACGACACGTGCTCGTGCTGACGTCGGATCAGGCCAAATGGCGCGACTCGCTGATCAGGGAGAGCGACACGTCCTTGTTCTCCACTTCATCTCGATCCGTCGATGCTTCTTTCGTGTCCTACCTCGATAGGGTCGAGATCAAGTGCGTAGTCAATCGAACGCTAGCCTAGCCTCAGCTTTGACGCTGGCTGATGATCTCGGCGACACACATAGACATCTCCCCACTTCGGAGCACATCCTCTACTTCCTCACGACCGTCTACTCGCATGCCGAGCATCTACTCGCGAGTCAGGTATTCATCGAATCTGGTACGAGAAGTAAGAGCGATCCTTCGTACTTGCCGATCGTGCCGACCCTCGTCGTGCTCCACAACCCCTCGGAATACCTCGCCGAGTCCCAGGCGCAAAAGTGAACTTTGCCGACTGTGTCACCGAGCTTGGAGTCACAGTGAGCTTATTTCCAAACATTTTGTCCCGTCTTTTGCAGCGCCGGTATCGAGGCATACACCTCCCTACTCGCTCTGTTTGATTCGGCTTTCACTCGCCTCTCTCCTCGGCAAGTTTCAGTCTCCCCTGTCTAGGCTGGTCGAGCTCACATCTGACTTCGACCTTCTCTTCCGATATCGAACCTCGTAGACGCCCACCTCTCCTGGTCCTCTTCGATAACGACGCCCTCATCCTCGAGCAAGCATTATTAGCCCCCCACTTGGCACAACCTCGTCGCAAGCGGAAAGCCGAATATGAGGAGCGCCGTTTCGAACAAGGCGAACCCACGGAGGAAAGGCACATCGAACAAATGAGGTTGCTGAGCGTCTTGCCGTATTTCTATGACTGGGTCGGAATCGTTGAACCAGGTTCGTCTGTCTTTGACTCTGTCTTTCTCAACGTCACATGTCCTAATCCCGCTTCGCTTGCATGGAAACCCGCAGTTCAACAAGAGCCGGTTCCATCTCAGCCAAGTCTAACCTTCGTCATGACCTACACACCCTCCCTCCACCCCAGCGACATCCCCAGCCTACTCCCCACGACATCTCCAACGTCCCGCCAACCCGTGGCGGTTGAATTCGCAGTCCAGCACCTCTCTCAAGCTAACGGGGACGACGAGGACGGGCTGTTTGTCCAGGTCATCAGTTGAATGATCGATAATGGAACCTGTAGCGTTACAAAATGCGGAATGCCAAGTACTAGTAGTAGTTGTTGTACACATTGGAAGAAATAGGTGTCATTCTTGTGGAACCCCCGAGTCAACCACTTATTCGTTCGAAGCGCCACATGTCGACTTGGATATCTACCGACTTCTTGCTATGGTGTGCCATCGTCTTGGGGAGATCATACTAGAGAATGCACAAATACGTCAGTGAAGGAGTCTTTACTTGACGATCTCATATTATCCCCACCTTCATCTCTGCAATGACTGTCCCTTCAAAGCCGAAAGTCTTGGCTTTCTTTAAGATGTAGTCCCGTGTCGAAGACTTGTTCAACGAGTACACCGCGGTCTTTGCGAGCTGGTTTCCATAAACGGCGGGCACTCAGATCAATAATTCGCATCACGGACCCCAGTTGATCAATGGTGTGCTCACCTCGCACGCCGATTCCAAGAAGACCATATCGATCCCTTTCCTCCAACTTCCAAAAGGAGGGTTCTGTGCCACCGGGAGAGTATCAAACCACTTGAGCACATCTCTATAGAAGTATCATACCAACGCATTCTCCCACAACTGACCATGACGACCGTGTCGAACCTCCTCTCCCCATCCCGATTTGCCAAATATTCTTCCAGACTCGGCAAGCCCTCCCCGATTGACGAGTCCTCGGCGATGTCCCCTATCCTCGCATTGACTAATTCGATCTCGTCCTCCATATCGATCTCTTCGACGTTCTGCTTGGCGATCTCAAGAGCGTCGGAATCGATATCGACACTCAAAACATCACTGCATACATCCCAGAAGTTAAGGGTCAGTTCGACCATCGCAATAGTTCGCAGACGAGTTCCAGTCCAAAACAAACTCAACCAAGCACCCAACATGACCGCACCAATACTCAAAACCGCGCATCCACATCCCAGATCCAACACGTGCTTATCGTCCAAGTCGCCGAATTGGGATTCGGCGGTGTAGAGCATCCGTGAGGCAAGGTGCGCCGAGGTGACGTATTGTTCTAGTTCGCGTTTGGGAGCGGCTGCAAGACGGAGAAAGGGTGGCACGGGGGTGAGATTCGATACAAGCTTGAGGGGCTACACGCGGTTGAGTATGGCTCGCCAAAGCCTTTGAGAGGTTGCAGTTCTGTTCCGTGCGAAGACCATGGCCGAGGTCGTCAGCTCGTCTTCAGGATGCTAGTGCTCGCCACCAGCTCGACGAAGTACGAACCTGACTCTAGGTCTTTCAGCTTCATCTTGCCCCAATTCACACGAGGCTGTCCACTTGAAGCGACACTAGGTACGACCGTGTATGGGAGAGGCGAACATCCGCGTCGGCGCTCACATGCGAAGTGGTGCCCCCAGGTGCCCCCAGGTGCCCCCGACTCCCCCGCCGGCCGTCGCAGAGCATCCCCCGGAGGCCAACACGGTCACACGTCTTCGACCGCGAGCATGATCGATGGTCTCAGATGCTCAAAAGAATCGTTGATGAGTACGGCTGAATCGCTTTTTGTTTCATTTCAAGGTTTGCGATTAGACACATAGCGGGCAGTGAACTCGTCCGCCTCAAGGAAAGTTGGGACGCTAAGAGTCGAGTTTCGGGGAAAGGACTTTGCCATACGTATTGGTGAAGAAAGAGTACTATGCTTCTGATGCGAAACCATTTATCGTCCGCCGGAGACGGCGCCCCTCGAGGTCTGATTGGCGATCCCGCTGAGAAGGGAACGAAACGGGGAAGAAATACGAGTTAGTATCCGGCTGCGGCATGAGCAACCGAAACCCCTCGAATAAGATGACACTCACGAAGCGCTGCCTTCCTTTGCCGAGGTCTTGGCCGGCCCGGTCACATACTTGCCCTTCTCGAGCACGATCTCGACAATCTCGGTGTCGTTGTGGGTACCAAAAACTGAGTCGAGCTCCTGCTTAGAGGGGCGCTGCAGCAGACCTTGCGAGCCTTGCCCAGTGTGGAAAACGTCAAACGAGTCGACGATGTCAACGAGCGGAATCGTCCTGTTGTTGCGCAGGTGTACCGAGCGCGATTAAAGCATCAGCGAAATGGGTCAGGAAGTGGGTAACTGCCCCCACTCGAACAAAGCCCGATGGAAAAGCAGCTCACTTGTCTGTGAAAATTGAAAAGACAAAAATCCATCCAAACTCAGCATTGAGAAAAACCATTTCGAAGCAATGCAGGGCTAGAACGTACCACCTGCGACCCATTTCTTGGCGGCTGTGCGCCGAAGAAGGTGATGGAACGAGTGGGGAGAGAGGCGCGGGGTGTCACGAGATTGTGTCAGTCAGACGAGCAAGCTCTAGGCGTGGGCCGTTGATGTTGAGGGAGACAGAGGAAGCCAGTCCGCGATGCATCCGGACCTTGGCCAGACGGCCATTCAAAATAGTCTCTCTTGTGGTCTTGTTCGAACAAGCCCAAGTAGCGTGGCAGTGAGATGGAGCCCCCGAGCTGCGGGCGGGAACTCACCAGATTCGTCGGCAACGATGACGATATACTCGTCCGTCGACATCGAGTCAGGCTTGTAGACGGCCTGTGTAATTGCACATGTTCACTTTCTGATCAGCACACCTGCCATGAATAGACTGCGCCGGAGCGGGTAGGACCACCGCGAAGAGCCGGGGCGGACGTGGCAGTACCGGTGCATTCGCCTCGAGTCAAGCGCACCCGACCCAGCCGGTGTCGTCATCCTCGGCGGGGGCTGGGCGTAGGACGGAGATCATCACACACCTTGGTTTGAACGTGTTGAGGCACTGCAGAACAGGTCCTATGGTCAGCAATCGAGCCTTCCCTGCGACCCTGCGACCCTGCGGGCATTGGAACTGATTATGAGCGTACTAGTTGGGTAGTTTGGGTAGAGCGGAGGCAGATGTTACGCGGGCGTGGGTGGAACGAGAACAAGAGGCGCACTATATGAAAAGGAGCATGGGCACAGATCGACACCGGCTCTAGCTCACTGGCGCCACTGGCTCTCACTGGCTACACACCCGCTCCATTTTCTCACCTCATGAACGTGTGACTTGATCCATCAAGTTTAGTACCTACATCCTGAAATTTTCAATCTCGTATCGTTGAAAAGAGTGGTCGTTAAAGAGACGAAAGATTCAGAGCTTGGCTTGGGCTGACACGGGGACTCGGTGCTTTTTCAAGAAGCGCACGTAATCCTTCGAGGCCTCCTCGTAGCCAGCGCCGTGATAGATCGAGAAATGCCCAAACCGATGCGTTTATGAAATAGTAGCTGAGGATGAGTAATACGAAACGCGACCACGCAATCAATGTGAGTGGGACAATGCGGGCTGATTAGACGTACATTGGACACCTTGGTCTCTCCTCTAGAGGCTTTGGCCGCGTAATTTAACGTCGGACCAGCGGGAGCCACAGTATCGTCTTTGCACACGGCAAAGCAGATCGGGCATTCAACATTCTTGGCATTTGCACCGGGGTAGAGTAGACCGATTCGCAAAGCGACGCGAGCAGCAACCTCGTCCTTGAAGGAGATGTCCGATTCGGAAGGCACGAGACCGAGGTACCCACTCTCGGCATCGTGAGCATTCATCAGCGCGACTGCAGGTGATATTTCGTTGTCGTCAGTAACCTGATTTGTTGTGTCTGATTTGTTCTAGCTCGGGTGTTGCGCCAGAGCACGTACCTTGCCCAGGCCTGGCCGCCAGTTTGACCGGCAAATGATTCTCCTCGGAGTGGAAGAGCGCGTCCCTCAAGGCCAGCAGTGCCAATCTAGGCAAGACGCCGAAGCCGAGCGTCAGAGCACTCGCGAATCCATTCATAAATGGACACTGTGAGATGGTGGCCTTGAGTTTCTTGTCGCCAAAGGAGCTACCGAAAATGCCGACCTGCTCCGGATCAACGATAGCCAGTCCTCGGGTCCAGAGGATCGCGGCGTGCCAATCCTCTTCTTGCATGTGCCAGTCGAGGATCTGTCGCGGAGTTCCAGTTGATGGACCAAACCCTCTGTAGTCGAAGCATACGGCAGCGTAGCCTTGCTTTTGGAACAGTTCGGCGTACCTGGAAGAATAAATGGGGCAGATTGACGCCAAGACGGCATCCACGTCCTTCGTCAGTTCCCCAGATCGGCCACATTGGCCTTTGTCAACGTCGCACCAGATGAGACTGGTTCGGTTCCAACCTCGGACTGGAATGGATCAAAATGTCGACGGGCCGCTGAGCGCGAGAATAGACCCAGAGCCCTTGACAGCTCCCAGACCATGCCCGAGCACGATCGCAGGTCCAGGATGAGCGGCCGTCGCGGTCGGCGAAGGGTACAGCCAACCTCCCAGTCGCACAGAATGGAACTTGAACATATTGACGAATTGGAGTAGAAGAAGAGGAAGAGGGCATGCTCGATGGTAGCGTTCAGTTGGGCAAGGGAATCAGTGGTGGCGATTGGCTCAGCTGGCAGAAGGGTGAAAGCCAGAGCGCCCGCTTGTGTAGGGCCTTGTGGGGCGGCACCAGCTAGCAGGTACCACTACCATTGCTGCATCATGATGAGACATTCATCAGATTTCATCATTTCAGATTAGGATACTGTAAAAAGGCCCGATCAACGGACCTCCAGTCATTGAGTAGCCATTTCAGTCTGGTCGAACAAAAGTAGTGGACTTCGAGTTCCTCGGCGCTTTTATGATGTTGCCGATGTGGCACGGACCGCCTTCTCGAGTCATCCAGCCGCCGACGGTTCGCAAGGTTCTAAGAATGTAGGTAGGTACTCTGAAACTGTTCGAAGTCACGATCCGCCATCCTTTGCACTCTGCACGAATCGGGAGTACCCTCACCCGGGAGAAATTGGATTCAGAGCTCAGCAACTAGTGAATAGGAGGGCCCGAGCCGGCGGCGATCACTCGCCATCGGTATTGCGCGATGCAGCCGGACGGCTGAGACACTGGCTCCTACTGGGCACCGGGCGGGAGCCGGCCAGCGTTCACGTAGGTATATCATACTCCAACTCCATTACATGGGAGGGTGTCGTGGTGCTTTGAACTGTCACCATGCGGTGTGATCACACCCCACATTGTAGACATTCACCAAACATGACGAGCAGGACTCCGACAGGAGCAGGCCGCCGGGCCGGACTACGGAATGAGGAAAGCCCTAGCAGCGTCGGCGTCCGGGAAGGGCCGAAGGGACCGCCGGGGGTCGCCGACTCGCCGGTTTGTAGACTTCGGTACCTCAATCTTCAGAGGCGTAGATGATTTCTTCAGTGAGATTTAAACCTGTACAAACGTGAGAATCCCCAAGTCTGCGAGGCAGCGCAACAGACGACCTGCCTGTGGTGAAGATGTGCTGTGATTTGGGCGGAGATTTGAAAGGCGGTGGACCATGGAGCTCCCGAGTCGACACCCCAAAGCAGTAGTAGTGCAAGACTCGACAGTGTTCAAATCCGAGGCCAAGCGCAGCGCCGGCGCCATCGCAGGCAGAAAGTTGGCGAGCGCGACGAGCGAGTTGGCGCGCAAGGGCCAGAAGGCGATCGCTCATTCGTCCCAGTTGGGCGTTGCCGCTTGGACCCCAAAAAAATCGCAGCGAGCGTCGAGCTCGATGGCGGCGCTGACTCCGTTGCGGCTGCTTCGCTCTCCCTTGCCATCAACATCTCGTCGTCCACCACCCGCCTACGTCTGATTGTCGTGTCAAAAGAGGAGAGTCCGGCGTTGTCCGCTCCGCCTTCAAGGTGAGCCATGCAGTGTCATAACAATGGCCGACCATTGGGCCCTTCCCATCCCTCCCACGCGACGAGCGACTGGCCTTCTCGCCCCGGACGGCGTGAGCGATTGGACGCCACCTCAGAAGCTGAGCGAGCGTCAGGCGGAAGATGCTCCGCCCTGGCTGGCCAACACCGCAAGGCTGCGCAACCTCACGAACGCTCTGGCTCACTCTGCTTGGTCTTGACATCGGTGTGCAGGCTTGTTCCCTTTCCCCTCTTTCCGTTTCCGATCCGCCCTCCCCTCTGCTTTGAACATCCTTGCATCGCCCCTCGCCCTGTGCTCGTGCTTGTCCCAAGTTGAGCGAACGTCCTCCGGCCTGCCCTGAAACGGCGCTAGCTCGGCCCCAGGCCCAAACAAGCATCGCGCGCGCACGCCCCCGTCATCGAATCTCCCCGGTTCGAGCCCACCATGTCGAACCTTCTGCGTCGAAAGCGATCTCAGCAGGCGACTGCCAGTGCCGCCTCCGACTGGGCCCCACGAGACGACATGCTCACGCAGGCCGCTGCTGCCGTTGTTGCCGCCGAAGCTGCGGCTGCTGCCTCGAGCGAATCGAGACGGTTCAATGAGCGTCTGCTCGCGACGCAACCACTGGGTGCGAGCCGCCCGCGCAGCTGGGCCTCGTGCTCCTCGAGCTCGATCCACTCGTCTTTCATCGACTCCGCCTACGGCACACTCGACGAGGCAGAGTCCTCGGATGACTCGATCTCGCTCTGGAGGAAAAACACGATCAAGGGAGTGCACCGTCAGCACCAGCAGCGGAGCGCGCAGCACGTGGATGGCGATGGCGCAGTCGGCGCCCGGTTATCGGACTCCGTGAGCGATCGCGGCGCGATGGTCGACGACGAACTCGCACAGGCTACGGGCTTGTTTGCATTGAACGTGGCACGCCGAGGGTCTCGAAGACGCTTTCCTTCAGGCACGAGGTCACGCAGCGTGGGCACCGACGATGTCTTCCAATGGAGTCGACGACACCAGCTGCACGAGCAGCGCAGCCGAAGTTCGAGCTTGGGCCGACGTGGCAACGAAAACGACGATTACGGCTCGCGTCTCGGCTCACCTAGGGGTTCAGTCTTCAGCCTTGATGATGACGAGGGCATGCTGTCCTCGTCCCTGTACTCGCAGGAACACTCGTTCGATTCGGTCGAGTCCTTCCAGTCCTCGTCTCGATCGAGCTATCGATCGTCGCCTGAGCCCAGTGAATACGAATTCGACGTGGCTCGCCTGACGCCCTCGAGGAAACGCTCCAAACGACTCGCCAGAGCATCTTTTGAATCAACTTCATCGACCAACGGCAAGGTGACCTTGTCGCGTCGACACACCCTGCCTCGCCGACGAGAACGCGGTCGCGCTCCCTCAATCTCGATCACTCTTGTCACCGGCTCCATCGCGGGCAGCACCGAGACCGAATCGATCTTGACCACGCCATATCTCTCGTCGCTCGTCGAAGTTTTGCCCAAGTCTTTGCCTCCACTGACCACGCTTGCGGCGTCTCTGTCGGTCTTGCTCACCCTCTCCTCGCTCCTCGCCCCCGTCCCCCTGCTCGCGTCTTCTCCAGTACACATCCTACGCACCCGCGACCATGCCGCAGTCGAATACGCCAATGCCTTCTTGTCTCCTCTTCTCGTATCGGGCGTCAAGCCTGCCGCTGCACTGGCCATCGCCAACTTTGCGTCACTGGCCTCCATCGAGACTGGGACCTCGGCCAGCACGTCGCTGAAGGCCCTTGTCGTCTCGACGCTCTGGATCGCCATCATGTCGCTGCGCGTGTCTCTCAGCTACATCTTTGGACGCGCTCTGGGTTGGGCTCACCCGCAGTGGTTTTCTACGCGTGCGATCCATGAAGTTGGGGCTGGTACGTCTGGCTTCCTTCATCCCGGGCCATGTGAAGGCGCACACGAGTGCTGACCGTTTACTCGCATCTTGTGTCCCCAGGTTGCGCACCCCTTCTGCTGTCGCTCTCGCTTGTGCATGCCTACACGATGCGCCATCGGCCCTCCAAGTCCGCGATTTCACCGTTCCATCTGGCTCTGCTGGCGGCCAACTTCTGCACTCCAATTGAACAGGGCGGATCCGGCTTCTGGCTGGGCGTGAGCGCCTTTGTCGTTGCGGCGATCGTTTGCCTTGGACTCTTCGCTTTCGACCAACGTGTGCAGAAGCGCAGCATTGGCAGCACCACAACGAAGCGCAGGTCCCAGCTTGCAGCCACTCTCGGCGCTCTTTGCGTGATCCCTTGTCTTGCCTACCTATCTGGATCCTCAACGCCGGCATCCGTTCAAGCCATGTCGCTCGACGAGACATTTTCGCAGCTCCACCCGGCTCAGCCCCACCTGCTTACGATCCTGCTCATGACCGCACCCCGCCCCGGCAACCCCGACTTCTTGCTACGGACGATCGAAAGCTGGCTTGGTGGCCTGCCTGAACCCGCAACGACGCCTTTGTCGCATTCGCTGACCATCGGCAACTTCACCATGACTCCGGTCAACCAAGGTCGCGTGCGGCTGCTTGTCTACACCCATTTCACTACGCACACCATGTTCGACGCAGCCCGCGAGTACTTTGCCCAGAGCCCGATCTACGCTCGCAAGGCCTCTCACTACTTGCAGTGGTATCGCGATCCCCGCAGCGCGAACCGATTGGACCAACGCCTCCATGTCGCTCGAGGCCTGCACCATGCCGCCACCGACGGAGGCTCAAGCGCCTATGTCATGCTTGCCGAGGACGACTTCCCCCTCTGCCCCGATGGGGACACGTCGCGCGGTCAAAAGTGGACTTCAGCTTGGTCCGAGTTGCAGCGCGTTCTGGTTGCAACGAACGAAGCGATGCCCGACTGGCCTTTGGCCGAAGCCGGATCTGCAGGCGAGTCTCTGGACATGAGCCAAGAGGAAGCTTCGAGCGGTCATTGCGGCGTCTTTGTCGCCACGGGAGGTTCAGGCCTCGCGATCCGTGGCTTCATCGCCGCCAAGCTGCCGGCCCTGCTTCTTGGGGCTCACGATCCTCATGGCAATGCGCGTGACGCTCGGGCCATTCGCGGCGAGTTCTCGGTCAAGCACGAGGACGAAGGCGCGGATACGCCCGATCTCGTCATCCAGGATTGTCTGCGAGGTCGCATTCCCAGTTGTGGGGTCTGCAGCGCTCCCGACTCGTCTTCAGTCAAGCGCCCTGCTCGCCGCTTCCCCGCCGGCTCGGCCCGCAACCCATACGGCGTCTCGGGTGATCGCTGGGGCAAGAGCGGGCTCGTTGGTACAGCCCAATTGCTGCAGCGACATCTCGGCTACAATGCCTCGACTCTTCCTGGTCGAAAATACGGCCAGGAGGAATGGGCCTGCGGCTGGCGCCAACCCTTCAACGGTGATCCGGACGTCTTGACGCTTTGAACCGCCCTCGCTCTAGCGCCTCTTTACTCTTCCCTTATTCGCATTCGACAATGATGGACGCTGCTTTGCCTTTCCTTGCGCTTTTCAGTGCTTCGGCACACCCATTCACGTTCTCACAGTGCTTCGGCACACCCTCACATTCCAACAGTGCTTCGGCACACCTATTCACATTCCTACCGTGCTCCGGCACACCCCATTTTGTGCAGTGATTGGGCACACACCCTATCTGCAGTGCTTCGGCACACCCTTTTTCGCATCCCATCAATTATCGGCATCTTCTTTGCGCGTACATCCAACCTATTCTTGGCGGACACTTTGCACCCCTTCGTTTATTCCTGTCAAAGAGAGGACCTTAGCAGCTGGTCAGATTTTTTATTTTATTGATTGGTCGTTTCTCGATTCGACGGTAGAAGTAGTGGCCGATATATTTAGATACCATCTGTCTGAATTGACAACGCATACGCATGGGTTCTTCGTTTCATCTTTCCTTCTGCTTCGAATTCGACTGTCGAGATGTTGTCTTTGCGCTCAGTCTTGTCGGAAAATTGCGGCATGTGACGACTTTGGCCTGTCACCGGTCATAGGGGAGTCCCTTGAGAAGACTAAAATTATGATCTAGCAGTGCCCTGAACACAAGCTCGTGGGCCGGCAGGGGTGCACGAGAGACCGTCAATCTGCAAAGAGACAAGGACCAAAATGCCCTCGCTTCTTTTCATGAGGACAGAAATGCGCTTCTCAAAAGAACAAAAATGCCCTCGGATTCCAGACTTCTGTAATACTTGATGTATCAACCCACAACCAAAACAGTAGCTTCTTGTAGTCTTTGTGATCAGCGCCGTATACTCAGAATCTCCAGAGATGCCGTGAGAAGTCAGTTATCACCGTCGCAAAGTCAAGGGCCTCATCGACTCTCATCGATCGTCGACGCGTCGAGGCGCGCGAGTTCGCGAATCGACAGTGACGTTGGCCTCCTTGCGCATTCTCGCCACGACACCGAAGTCACCACCGACTTTCGACAACGGAACATCGTTTCAAGAAGAGAGGAATCTTCTACGAAAAGAAGGAGCTCACGGATGCAGGCGATCAATATGCCCTTGATCACCAGTTTCAGCTCGACGTTCGCAAGTCTGACACGCGTCATTGGCACGTTGTGTGCAAGAGTGTCCAAGATCCTCCGTGCGCCTTCTCTGCCACTGCTGTTTCCAAAAGAGAAGGCAGTGTTTGGACCGTCACTGTCTTCAACGAATCCCACGGTTGCCAATCGCTGCTACACACCGGCGACAGCAAGAGCAGATTCACGCGACACCGCTCCAACCTGTTCCACCTCGGTCGGAATGGATTCTGCATCGTATTCCTCGTGAGCGTCATGAGGTCACGACGATAGTGACTCAACTGGCGAAGAAGAGGGTGCCATTATTATTCCGCCACATTTTCCTAAGCGTACAGGACTTCCGATCAAGCGCAGGGTCCGGGGTGCGGACGAGCGGGCCAAGCGCGACACGAGCTGTGGCCTCTGCAAAAGGCCCGGACACAGCCGAATTACATGCGATAGATAGATCGACCATTTGAGTCTGACATAAGGTGTCAAAAGTATCGATATTACTACAAGTCGAAGGCGTGCTGGTCTGTTTCTTATGGTAATTCACTGCGGTCTATACTCTCGCTCGCTTTCGACTGACTTTGCGACGGTGATAACTGACTTCTCACGGCATCTCTGGAGATTCTGAGTATACGGCGCTGATTATAAAGACTACAAGAAGCTACCCTCTTGGTTGTGAGCTGATATATCAAGTATTTCAGAAGTCTGGAATCCGAGGGCATTTTGTCCTTTTTTCATCTGCATATATGAGCCCGACCGCTCGCGGCTTCGGCACCTCGGTCTCATTACGTTTGCTTGATCGCGAAGCGGTGCCAAGTCGGCGCCGACAGCCCCGACCACTGCACACTTGATCGCACGCTCTGGCTTCGCTGCCCTTGTCTTTCTTTACTTCTGAGCCTGTGCATCTTGGTGACCACGTTGACTGATCATCAGAGATGCGTCTCCTTCACTTTCGCGTTTCTCCATTGGACTCGAGGCGCGTCAGCTCTTCCGAGTCGCACGAGTTGCCGGCTGGTGTCTCGGTCACCGCTGCCGCGGTCGCCGAACCGGCGGCAGCGAGTCGCAAGGCACAGGCCGCTCGAAGCGCCGCGTCGTACCAACATTCACCAGATTACGAAACACTTTATCAGCTCAACTACCTGCCCACTCTACCGTATGCGTCTTTGCCGTTAGCGTTCCAACCTGCTCGAGCCAGAGTCTCGGGGCACGTTTTGCCAATCCAAGCTCATGGTCGCGAAGAGTGTCTAGGTAAGTCCTGCTGGCGGCAGAGTTCTTGGGGTTGTCTACCCAGTTGCCTCGCCTGAGAGTGCTGGTACTGACTACTGACTCATTAACGGTTGTAACTTTTCGAATCTGGCTGCGATCAGCGTTCTACGGCGCTCGATCTCGCCTAAAAACTGCGATTGAACAAGCGGGCAACCTCGTCGATCTCTCAGGGGTCCGCCGCGAGCTGCGCGACGAGCGACCGGCCATCGCTGCGCGGGAAATGCAGATCACCTTCGACGAGCCGGGGACTAGAAACCTCTCCAATGGGTGTACGTGCTTCATCGAGGCATATGCTTCCATTCCCATATTGTATACTGTCCTGACCATTGGTGCACTCCCATTGTAGGGCTGGTTCGGGTGACGATCAAGCTCGAGGGCAACCCGGCAGAGCTCGTCGGCAAGCCGGGTTGGCGGACATGCGTAGATGGATGGACATATAAATCACCCACTGCCCCTGGTAAGGTCTTTAATTTCTTCTGTGTGCTGTAGTCACGGGCAATCCTCGAATTGAGTTCTTTGGGGGTTAGTAGTACTGATGGCCCGCCCATATGTCCCCCGGGTCGCGCCCGGCCGTCGTATTTGACATTACCTTGCACAGGCTTGCCCCCGATATTCATCATGTTCGTTTCGGCTTGATGGAGAGGTGCGCTGTGCTTCCCTACGTCTCCTGTCGTTGAAACTCGTTGTAATAGCTGGTGTGCGCCGACTTGTCAGCCAGCCGTGGGGCTCGGGCTCGACGGTCTGACACTTCGAATCGCAGCCTGCACTTCCTCTCTCATGTCACATTCCCTGCGCCTGGTACCTTGTTGTACTTGGACCTGGGCCGAATGTATTTTTGGTTACCTCTTATTTGTAGGTAGTATCGCATCCATTGGCTAGATAAACCACGGATAGACTTTGGTGAGCCGTAAGACACACGTGACCCTCGTCGGGAATCCTCAACTCCTCAATCCTGATCCGCGCAAAATGGCGTACTTGCGCGTCTGTTTACTGCTTAGGGTGCCTTTGCGTAAGCCGACACTTCCTAGGTACAGAATTACACGTTGGATCAGACCGTAGTCGGTACTAGGCACCCCTCGGAGAATCGGGCTCTCTTCTTGAATCCCGCGCAAAACCTCGGCTCGTCCGCGGCTCGACGCCTTGACTCCGCCGAACTCGCCTTGCTGTGCCGAAAGAGCGAAAATGAGCGGAGGAGTCTGATGTATGTCGCTTCGCGCTTCGGACACCCGATGCCTCCTCCCTCATGCTTTCCCTCCAGGGTATCGCGACACAGAGTCGCGTTCCGCTGCCACTCGAAACAACGCCCATGTCTGAACCGGCAGAGCCAGCGAAGGTGTCTTCCACGACGACCCCACGAACTGAGGCCGAAGAGAGCGCGATGGTCGTGCAGTGGGACGAGCAACAACATCACTGGGACGAGTGCTGGTCGTCGAACGCGACCTCGACGACCAGAATTCCAGGCGGGATTTTCGACCAGGCCGAGAAAGGCCACAATATCGCTCAAGATGATGTAATCTGGATCGGTTGGGACGAGACCGACCCTGGGAACCCCTACAATGTCAGTCATCTGCGCGAGCGACCTCGCCCGGCGAGCGACGATGAGCCCATGTTGCGAAGACCAGTCGTCGGGCTGATCGGGATCGCATACCTCATGTAACCATTTCCACAGTGGGGAACAGGCCGAAAATGGCTCACAACATGGATTTGCTGCGTCTATACTCTGGTTGGTACGTTCGTGACGATCATTCAGGGGGTTGATGGGGTCCCGCGCAGGGGCGGTATTTTCCCGAGGACAGCGAGCGAGCCGAAGCTGAGGTGGGCGAAACGCATATCTTCGGTTGAACAGTGGCTTTCTGTGGTGCTGCATTCTCTATGGGTACTGAATCGATGATGCGAGATCTAAATTGCTCGCTCGAGCTTGCCGTCGTGGCTTTGTCGACGTGAGTTGGGGTGCTGAACCTGAGATGCCCGATCGATCGCTGCCGGCAGAACACTGACCTGCCAGCCTGATTGATGTTCACGCCCGGCGAACAGTTTTCCTCTTGGTTTCGGCCTCGCGCCGCTGGTATTGGCTCCTTTCAGCGAGTAGGTCTTACAATACGGGGTCGCGAGACGAGGGCTTTACGGAGTATATGGCATGTTATGTTAACGCGTTCGTGCGGTTCCTCTCCAGAGCCTATGGACGATGCAAGTCCTTCCACGTATGCTCTTCGATGTTGCGCCAAAGCTTTGGTTGTTTACCGTTTTGCGCTTTCCTAATAATTCAACAGATCCTATGTACGCCATCAGCGCGATAGTATACACCCTCTTCTTTCTGCCGATCACGCTCGGTAGAAACATTGCGACCGTCATTATCGCCCGTTTTATCGGTGGCCTCGCAGCGTCGACCGGATCGACCCTTGTCGGAGGCACCGTCGCAGACTTGTTCGAATCCAAAGACCGAGGGTTGCCAATGTCAATTTTCTCCTTGGCGGCATTTGCTGGAACCGGTCTGGTGGGTCATCAGAACCTCCCAGCTGAATCTGGCGCGCGCAGCTGATCACTAACGCTTTGCCACAATTTCAGGGTCCGGCGACCATGGGCTACGTCGAGGAAAATCTGCGCCTCCAATGGAGGTGGATCTCATGGATCCAACTCATCATCGCAGGTGTGACGAGTCTCTGCATCATTCTTTTGACCCAGGAAACACGAGGCAGTGTGATCCTCTCCAAGCGAGCGGCGGCGAAGCGGAAGGAAACAGGCGATCCACGATACCAATGCAGGAGTGATGCCGAACGGGCGTCGCTTGCGATCCTCATCAAAATCAGTTTGACGCGACCCTTGTTCCTACTCTTCACGGAGCCGATCGTTGCCGCCTTCTCGCTGTGGGTCTCGTTTGCTTGGGGCATCCTGTACCTCACCTTGCGCGCCGTACCCCTCGTCTTCGCGAACGTCTACGGGTTCACGATCGGCCAAGTCGGATTGGTTTTCTACGGCGTTGTGGTAGCGGGACTTCTTGGGTTCGTCTCCAACTTCTACCAGGAGCGACTGTACCAGCGCCATGTCGCCACCCGCGGACCCGAAGCGAGGCTGTACGCCGCGCTGATCGGCGGCATGATTTTTCCGATCGGAACGTTTATTTTCGCCTTCACCCAAGGTCGAACGCACTGGATGGGACCCGTGATCGGTCTGATGCTGTGCTTCTTTGGCATCTTCACCATCTATCTGTCCACGTTCAACTATCTCGCCGACGCCTATACCATTTATGCTAGCTCGGCCTTGTCGGCGCAGTCGCTGTGCCGCAACTTGCTTGGGTTCGCGTTCCCGCTCTTCACCTCGCAGCTCTACTCGTCTTTGGGATACCAGTGGGCTTCGTTCCTTTCGGGGATGTTGGGTCTTGCCCTTGCGGTCACGCCTTGGGTCCTGTTCTTCTTTGGTCCTCGTATTAGAGCGAGCTCGAAATTCGCCAAGGAGTTGGCCAAGATGCGAGCTACCGACAAGTGAGTGGATGAGGACGACTTTTACATCGTCAAGACGTATATCAGTAATGTGCCCGCCGAAACTATGTTGTATTTCTTAGTCAGAGTGTTTCGTCATCCTCGTCGACCTAGTGCGAGCGTCCTTTCAAATTCGCGCTCACGCGCACTGCGCTCAGTATGGTGCTACAACAAATTCACTCTGCACAATGTACTGGAAGTTGGACCGGAAATGCGCGGTCTCCGAGCTTGTTCTTAGCCCTCATCTCCCTCTCCCTCACCCTCCCAGGCCTAACCGATCCCACCCCTCTTGCACGCCCGAGCTCAGCAGGCCGGACCCCACGCTCGATATCCCGTTCCCACTCTGCGACGCTTTCCTCGCCTTCGTCTGAGCCGAGAAGGAGGCCTGGATTGAGTCGATCGAAGTGTCGAGTACGAGTCCGCCGGTGATGATGCAACTGAGGAGGGCGTGGACCTTTCGAGAGTTGGGAGGTGGTGAGGTCAGTTTTTGAACTTTGCGAGGCACGATGCGCACTATTCCGAGAACTGACTTGGTCGAAGTGGAAGATGAGATCGAGTTCGCACACGTTCTCGAAGCACCGGTCGAGAGACTCGACGAAGACCTAGAACGGATGGGAATTAGATAGACTCGTGGGAGTCAGACTTTCTTTACTCATGGCGAGCAATCCGCCCCACACACGAAGACGAACCTGGATGAGGTCGAGGATGCCGAGTTCCGACTCGGATTGATCGACAACGAATACAAAGTAGAGCGTGGCTGCAAGCTTGTCGGTTTCAGTTCGTGTCGTACCTACGAAAGCTTTTGTTCTCGACGGGGCCAGCACGAACCATAGTGACGGTAGATGACCCGTAGATCCTCGGCAGGTTCCTCCCCCTCTTGGCCGTCGTGACTCTGACCGAACGCACTGGCTGAGGGGAGCTCGACAAAGTTGCAGAGTGTATCGCCTCGGACGGATACGAGCGAATAGATGCGCTCGAGAATGGCGGCTCGAGTTGAAGGCGACGACGGCTGAGTGAGAGCGCGACGAGGAGGTCAGGCTCGGGGGAGGAGCACGAGAGAATGTCCAACCAAAGCATTCAACTCACGGAATAGAACTTGCTCAGCCGTGGCTTGCCCGAGTTGTTGAAGATGAGTACTGGGCATGCGAACCCGTTCCCAAGTGCGAGTTGGAGGGACACAGTGGCGGCCGCATAGCCCGTCAGACTGAGCTCGTGCACACCCGATGCACGAGCGAGCACTACTCACCACTGTGGATCATCTCCCGAAGCAGTGCTGCTGGAACGCAAGGGATGACAGAGGCCGCAAGTCAGAAGGGACGATGGATCGCCGCCCGTTCCACGAGTCTCAGTTGAGCGCCGAGTTCACGAATTCACACATATATTTGATTAGAAGAACATAGATCAGCTTAGGTTAGCTTAGATTAGCATATAGATTCACATCCATCACCGAGCGCCTGCCCCAGTCCTTCCCCGTCCTTGCCCCTCTCCTCCAGCCCTTGCCCTCGGTAGCACAACCCCAACGACCACCATGTCCAACTGCAACTGGTTCGAAAAGCAACTCGATCTGCTCTACAAGCGCATGGAGTGCCCCATCGTAAGCTACTCTCCGAGCGAGCCGAGCGTTCGTGGTGCTGCGTGTCCGTTCTCGTGCTGACCGTCGCGTCGCTCTGGCCTTGCATCATGCAGGACTTTGTCGGGCAGGAGAGAACGAACATGTTGATGCAGCAAATGCTCTGGGCTACCGGCGTAAGCTTCAACTCGGCCCTGACCACCACGTCCTGTTCTCTACGCTTTCCGAGCTCTGTCCTGACACGCGCCAACACCTCCTGTTCGACGGGCGGCCACATCAACACCTTCGGTGACTCGTCATTTCTTCTCCCAGGCCATCTCCTTTGTCGTCGGAATCACATTCCAATCTCTCAAATTGACGCTCCTCCTCTTCGCGGCTGGCTACGTTCTCACCCTCTTTGTGAGTCTCCCTCGCCGAACCCCCAAGGGGGAGTCTCATATTCGCGGCGGTGCGCCGCCCCCTCCTCACCTTGACACTGACACTTGACGCTTCACTCTGCGGTCTATGCCTGCGCGACAGACGATCCTGCCCCCCTATCCCGCTTACAACCAGAATCCCGTCAAGTGGCTGGCACCGGCATTGGATGAAAAGGAGGCCCCCGCGACGGGCAAGAAGGCGTCCAAGGGGTCAAGCGAAAGCAAGAAGAAGTGATGATAGCACACTAGCCCGTCGCATGTAGATGTAACAACAGCGCATTACATTTGGGTCCTGGCATCGACAAGATATGTGAGATGTTCTGGTTCGCTCTGAATGTGCACCGTGCGTTGTTGATGGGCTACCACAGCCTGATCAGGAGACGACTGTCAACATGGCCAAGTCGAGCTGTCGGGAATCGAGCATCCGGCCTCCCAGCAGGTCACTATCATATCTGTGGCATTCGTTCAATGCTGGGGTGGAAGGCAGGCAAGACTCAGCACACCTCGTACCCCGCTGCTTGATGTCCGTCCCCGTCGTCCGAGGCTTCCCGGGGCGCTCGGAGTCGTCCCCGATTTTCACTTTCAACTCGGGCTCGCCGGTTCACGATGAAAAGCAAGCTCGAATCCGAAGCGAGGGGAGCCCGATTTGGGTCCGTGCCGACGAGTCTTTTCCCGGGGACACCACGTCGCCTATCCAACACTAAGTTCGTCACACGGGCGACTGAAGTAGAGGTACTGTCCAGTGTCGGAGATCACGAGACTGAGAGGACATCGTGGAACGCTCCGCCAACCGCGGCTGAGCGGACGGCGGGAAAGGGCTTTGCTGTACTCGCGAAGGAAGCGCCGGAGCTGGCTTATGTCCGCGGGGCTTAACTACAGCGGTTTGGAAACTGGTAAGCTATCTCTACAAAAAGCTCGGCACACTTTCAGTCAAAGATGAGCATTGAAATATGGAATATCTTTTTTATTTTCTGGAACCGGAAAAGGCATGTATAGAGTCATATCTGGCTGTCCAAAGCTGGACGCCGAACTCGGATTATCCTCAGCCTTGACAGTATCGTCGGACGAATAACCGTGGCCATCTGCAGATACCGATCTGAAAACCCAGCAGACGATCACCTGAAGAGCGAAGTCTGAACAGGTGGTCCGAACGACAACGCACACCTACACTACCACTGATGTGTAGTTTTGCGCAGAAAGCATCGAACAGAGCTTGGGGACCCGAGCGTGCTTCTGTCTCTTGAATCGTTGAGCCGAGTCAATCCTGCTTGTCCCCCTCACGTGCAAAGTGGAGGTAGTGTTTACATCAAGAATTGTGTTAACATCAGTCGGCTCACCGTGTTGCAAGATTTTATTCGGTGCAGGCTCATCTCGAGCCATGGAATGGGAGAAACTTTGCATGCTTGCAGGTTCTTCATCCCGCTTCTGGTGTTGTCGTATAAGAGCTTTTCCATCGTGTCCGCTATTTGGCGGTTTAATCTGTTAAGTCGAAGACAAAGAATCTGAATGTGTCCGTCTTGTAGAGCAGCTGTCATGAAAGGGCCGTCAATACCGTGGCAAATCGGCTCAGAGCCGCTTGACATTTTCGCGCTCCAAGCCGAATGGTCACGTGCATCCACGAGGAAGTCTGTGTGGCAGCGCTCCGCCCTGGAGGCCGGCTCGGGAAAACGGTAGTCCAAGTCGAGCCCTTGCTGGGTCGATGGTCAAGCGCTACAGTCAAGGCAGCGAATCCAACAGAATCGATGAGCTTTTTTTTCCCCAACCACGGTCTTTTTGAGTGAATAGATGGCATATTGAGGAAGGTCTCACCCGTTTAAAAGGCTCATAGCTACAGGTCCGAATCATAATCCTTGTCTCGAGCTATGAAAGATCTACCGGAAGTCACATGGAGCCACTATTTCTGGAGAAGCACGAGAAGGGACTATACATCATATACTGAGAAGATTGGGGGCCGAGAGCTTCCGGTATTTTTCACTTTTCTCTTTCCCTTTCACCAATTTGGATCCTTCCTTTTCAAGACGGAGCCCGCCAAAATAATCCAACGGCCCCGTAGATCCGAAGTAGAGTCCCCAGGGGAAGAATCATCGATGGGGCCATTGGTCAGCTAGCCTCGTGGCTTGTGGGGTCTCTCCTGAAGTCTTTGCGTGTCTCAGATCACTTGGGCATCATTTGCGCTTTCGGGACCGCCGTGGCCAAAACGGCTTCCGACCCGAAGGCTTCTTTTTCATCGATCACGGAGCGATTGTAGAACTCCGGCCCGGGCCGTTTATGACCGTTTATGACGCTGCTGCCGCGCTGATTCGTGCTGCCTCAAAAGCCAGGAATCTACCTGGGTTTTCCATCTGAGAGAGGCGAATCGTAAAATGAGTAAATCATGGACCCCTGGTGGGTACAGTACTTACTTAAAGCCCTTCATTTTGTGCCTCTCCTTCCACGCTGTCCGAAAACTGGCGCCGGCCCCCAAGCCAAGCAGAACGACATGATTTTGGACGAAAAATAAAGGGCCGTGGCCTGCCGGTTTCCGTCCAGCTGCGGCCTGGCGCCTGGTTGCCTGAGTGAGCCAAAGTGAGCCAGAGTAGTGAGCCCTAGACTAAAGTGAGCCCCCAGGTCGACTCTCGCCTGAATTTTGAAACGCTTCTCGGCCTTCTCGTGCCGACGACGATCGCTGCCCGAGTGAGTCGGTCATTTCATTCAACTCGAGGTTGGGTCCCCACTTGACGACCCACGGACGTGGGATGTATGCGCCGACCTGTTGCTGACGTTGTCGTGCCTTGATGCTGTGTGCCCCTTCCCCCTCGGTCCCCCCCTTCCCCCCCATCCCTGCTCGAATCCAGCCTGCGCCCGCGCCTGCTGCGTCCGTCGTCGCCAGCTCAACTCGACCCGACGGCCCATCCGGTGCCCACCAAAAGGCTCCGCGTCGGACGCGTGCCGACGCGACAAGACGAGGTCATCCTAGCCCGACAGTGGTCAATCGTTCAAGACGGGTCCTTGTGCGATGTGGGTCCGATGGTCATCCCTCCCCTTTCCTGCCCCTTGCCCCCTCCTCCCTTGCTCCCCCCTCCCCTGCCCTCCCCTCTCGACACGCCCGCGAGCCCGCCTTGTCCGTGCTCGCGCTTGTCCGGGCTCGCGCGTGCGTTGGCACGACATCTTGGGCCACTTGCCGCCAGCTCTCCCTCGCCTGTTTGCTCCCGGAATAGCCCTGTCCTAGCATCATTACTGACGTCACGCTTTGTATAGGTACCCGACCACGACTTCTAGCTCGATCGACCCAACCGCCGTGTATGCCTCTCAGGCCATCGGCTCACAACAACCGCTCTGGCAGCAGCAAGTGCACATGCAGCACCAACACCAGCAGCAGCCACAATCACAACAACAGCAGCAGCAGCAGCAGCAGCAAGCCGAACCCAACAACGGCATGTCGAACTATGGGTACAAACCGGGGCCACCAAACTTGTTCCCACCGCAGGGTCACAATCCGGGGAATCCATCGACGACTCTGCTCGCGCAGCAAATGGCTCAGCAACAGCAACAGCAGCAGGCCATGGCCGCCGCTGGTCTTGGACACCTGACGCCGCAGCAGCAACACGCCTACATCCAAGCCAGGCAAGCCCAGATGCAAGCCCAGGCTCAGCAGGCGCAGGCTCAAGGGGCCCAGAACGGTGGATCCGTGGCCCCTCCTCCTTTGCCGGGTCAGCCTCGATTCGACTTTGCGAACCAGCATCAGCCACCGCAGTCTTCGCAACAGATGGGAGGTTTTGTACAGTCACCTTTTGGTGCGTCTCAACAGCAGCAGCAGCAGATGCCCCATCCCGGCTCGGCGACTCAAGCAATCTCGATGGATGTGCAAGCCTTCATGCGAGCGTTCTTGGCCCAAGGACCGATCACTCCCGAGCGATTCGCCGCTTTACCGCCGCAGCAACAGCAAATCGTCTCTCATGTCATGCGCCAACGCCGACTTGCCCAGCAGCAGGCGCAAGCACAAGCTCAAGCTCAAGCGCAAGCGCAGGCTTCCGGGCCCGCTCAAGGGCAGCTTCCATCGCAGCTGGGTAACAGTGGGACCTGTCAACCGAATGGGGTGCCCATCTCTTCAATGCCTCAACCCTCCTCGGGAGCACCGGCAGCTTCAGGCATGAGTCACCCGTCTCCAACACCGACCCTCCCCGGAGTTACAAACGGACAACCCATGGCAACGGCTACGGCAATACCAGCGGCACCAAATCCGAAATCGAGCACCATTTCTGCACCGAGTCCAATGAGTGCTCCATCTCCGATAGCTGCTGCTCAGATGACCGGCGCCAATGCAGCGTCCTCAACGCCTCAGCTGCAGCCAGGGGCCTCTACGAGCTTTCTGCGAGCGATCATGGATTTCTATCAAAAGCGAGGCATGACATGGCCCGGTGCACCGACCATCGAAGACAGGACGGTGGATCTGAGCGCTCTGTATGCTTGTGAGTCGGACATTGCTTGTCGTTGCCCCTTCTCGAGAACGCTGCCCGTTGATCCAGCAATCTTCGTCACCTACCTTCCAGTCGTTATGCGGGGTGGTGGTTTCCAACGTGTGCACACCGCGGGGCAGTGGCGACAGATTGCCCACGTGCTTGGGTTCCCTGCGCCCACGCCTGCGGCCCAACCCGAGTCGCGGTGTCAACAGATCGCAGCAGCCTACCACTCGATCATCCTTCCTTTCGAGACGGCTTTCGTACACATGCGCGCCCAGCAACAACAGCAGCAAGCCGTTCAGGCCATGCGCGCAGCACAGGCAGCTGGTCAAGGTGTACCCGCACCGAATGGAGTACCTTCGTCAGGTCCTCCACCTGTGACACTTGCAAATGGATCGGTTGTGCTCGCGGGGCCAGCTTTTACTGCGCCAGTCCCAATGGTTACCCCCGGCCCCAACCCCACTCCTATTCCCGTCCCCGTATCTACCCCTTTCCCCTTTCCCCAAGCCGCACCTGTCCCTAGCTCCAGCGCCATGCCACCCGCAGGTATGAACCGAGCACCTTTCGCTGGACCGGTCGCATCCCCCATTATGCCTGCACCCGTGGCGCCGATAACTGCCCCGGTGCAGTCTGCGCCAAACCCTGCGCTCGCGGCTGCAATCAATGCTCGAATGGGAACCACGGATCGCAAAGGCAAGGGTAAAGCGAAGGAAGAACCGACGCCAGTGGCTTCTCTTCCTGCTGGGAATGGTACGTTCATGGTGATCCGCCCCCCTCTGGGAAGCGCACGCACGAGCTGACTCTTACTGGGGATGTGCGATGACTTCCTCAGGCAAAGGAGCTGCACCATCACAACAAACCCAGCAGCAGCGGCCGTTCCGAGGTCCGGAAACCTCATTCGCTACCAAGCCAATGTTGCCCCCTCCTGCTCCGGTCGTCCCGCCGCGGCGGAAGCGACAAAAGATAGCATATCATCCCTTGACACGCGTTGTTGATACGCACGCCGGCTGGGATCTTGGCGCAGTCGAGGAAGGGCTGCATACTGTGACAACGCGTAAACGACCTCGTGTCGCTGCGGACCTCAACGTCATCGATGTGCCTTCGCTCGTGATGTCGCTGAAGAGTCGCCTGGCGAGCGAAGTCGCGTTCGCGCTTAATGCGCTGACGTTGGTCTCCTTGTCGATGAGGATCGTACCACAGGACAACCAGTCGATTCCTTTCCCTCTGGCCAACTGTGGTGCCCTTCTCGAGGAGCTGGTCGAACTGCTCGAAGAAGTCGCTTTCGGCCTGCCAGTGGATGAGGACGACCCGGAGGATGCCCTGGGACAAAGCGAAGATGCCACGTTACTCAACGATCAACTGGGCGAACACGTCAGCGCCAGTGCATCCAAACAAGCCCATGTTTTCGGTCTGATGCCTCGAAGCTATCGCGAGCTGTTCAAGCTGGTAGTTCAGGAGGAGAGTGAACTGCGCGACGGGATGCGGATCGGGTCGAGCGACAAGCAGGACCCTATCGCCTTAGCCAACAACGTTGCCGTCCCATTGGGTCGAATCGAAACGGTCTTATCGCTGACAAATCTGCTGCGCAATCTGTCGATTTCGGACGACAATGCGCGCTTCATGGCTTCGGATCGATGGCGCGTGCTCGAGGTGCTACTCCGAATTGCCAAACTCCCACTGCGACGCAACTCCGCGACGCCCGACCCGACTCAATGGCCTCTCCGAATTTCGGCCGGTGACCTCATGGTTGTGCGGAAAGATGTGCTCGAAACGATCAATAATCTCGGACTCGAAGTCAAGCTTGAGGATCTCACCGCGCCCACCGCTCGGGCCTTGTTCGACCTCTTGATGTTCTTTTTGCGCGACGCGGACCACCACGACCAACTCTATTTCGATCTCTCGACATCGCCGTCGATATCCTCTCGTATCGTCCAACCCAATACCGTGCAAGTGTCGCACTACCTCGAGCTCGGCGTCTCGGCATTCGCGAGAACGACGGTCCTGGATGCGAATCGTTACGTCGTCGCTGATCTTGCCGTCGACACGGACCTGTACGCGCTCTTCGAATCCTTGATTCACCTACTCCCGATCACCGAAAGAGATTTCCAACTTGTTACAACCGAAGCGGGCCTCGTCTTTGTCGAAAATCTTGCCATGTCGCTGTACAACCTCGCCTTCCTCGCCCCACTCGAGCTGAAGATGCGGCTGCGCGAGATGCCTGCATTCATCAAAGCCCTTTTGCGCGTCGTTCGTCGACTGGCGGGGACGATGACGAACCCATCCGAGAACGCTTTCCTGACCTTGTCGGATCGGTGTATCTCGACGCTGCAGCTGCTTTCCGACTGCGGCGGCGTCGTCGGTGGCGTGGGCGGAGCGCGCGATCAAAACGATGTCATGTGGTGGGGTCTGAGCATGTCAGGGTCCCAAGAGGACCGGCCGCTGCAAGCGATGCCGACAGAGGCCGACCATGGCACGGTCAAGCCCCGCCTGCCGTCGCAGGGAACGAAGCAGGTGACGATTCCGATCCTGACGGGCGAAACGAGGAGTCTTTTGGAATGGCTTCACTCGGGATCCCTGACGAGTGTATTTGGTCAGCTAGCGGCGATGACTAACACGGTTGGATCGAAGCAGTGATACCCCTTGTGATGGAGTGTTTCGTCTCGGTGTGCTCTTCTTCTTTCTTGCCTTCTTGGTCGCTTGTTTGTAGGAATTTGGGCTGGCTGTAGGACGCATGTTGGCCTCGACTGTCGTCTGTAAGGAACGCCTAAGTCTTTGGACATCGCCCGCATTGTTCGATATCAACAATAGAGAGCCTTGAATGTTCTTGTACTCCGATTGTTCCAAAGTCCGAGACTCTCGAGGCTCGACTCGAGTGAGCAAAAGGGAGGGATACTGGCGCTTCGGAGCGCCTGCTCGCTGAATGTTGAACATCACTGATCCGACGCGGGAAAACTCTGAGCTGGATGTATGCACTTTCTGTGGGCGTGCGTTAGCGCGGGCCAGCCTGGGCCAGTGTTTGCCTCACCCCTCCCATCGAACGCCTTGTTTCCCACAACAACGGACCTACGAATCTGCGCCCATCCGACCGTATCCGCACCAGCTTCGTCTCAACTGTGCATCGAGCACCGAGTTGGACCTCCCAAAATTTGCGCGGCACCCCTGATCGGCGCACTCGGTAGCGCTCAAAGCGGCGGTGGACAGCGGGACGCCTAGCGCCAACCTATAAGCGAGGAATCCTGAACCCCCCCGACTCGAGTCGGTTGCTATCGCTTGCTGCACTTTGCACGACTTGACCGACGATCTCAGGGTGTGGTCGAGACTGTTCTAACCCCAAGGTCAGTCCTTCCCCCTGCTGCACGTGCACCTGGAGATGATATCCCCCTTTCGCTCAAGCAACGACGACCGACGACAACGTCGCGATCGACCACCGCAAGCGGCAGCGGCGGCCCAGCCGCTGTACCACACCGGGTTTCGTCGTTCGGATTGGCTTGACCCCGAAGCCGACGCGGACCGAGACCTGTGCGCGCTACCCTGTGCCATCTCGAGGATCTGCACGTTCACCTATCCCGGCAGTGTTGGCCGATGCTACACAGTTCTACAACAGGATCGACAAGGTCGAGTCGCCCTTGGTGTCGCCGTCGCGGCACCGGCGGCACGCGCGCGACACTCTACAGTTCTGAACACCTCCTTGCTCCAAGCTCGACTGCTCGCCTCGCGCGGTCTGGTGTTCATGCCCGCTGCGCCTGAGGCCGCCGGCCCCGTAGAGCCGAGCGCGACGGCCCCCCTCCGCCAGCCTCAGCCTCGAGACTGATTTGAACCCGCTGCGCCGTTGTGCCTGAAGACGAAAGGCTCAACCCCACGCTCTTTCCACCTCCTACCCATTACAGGGACAGCGACCGCATCCAACACCGCTACCGCACAGCGGTCCCGCTCACCGCGGACCGACTTCCCGGCCTCACCCGAGCACCACCGTACAAGATAAGGGGTAAGTGATCAGCTGGTGCGCTTCTGCCTGCTCGGACTCGGATGGGCGGGGTGAAGATCGCGATTCTGTCGTGTCCGGCTTGTCCGTCCTTCGCATCCATTCCGCGTTCCTTACCATGTGCTCGTGCCTCCCTGTAGTAGCGCATCGCATTGCGCCAACAGGGCTTTGACGTGATTCAGTCGTCATTCGGAAGGTGATCGTCGTCACTGGCACTACCACAGTCCTCCATCGCAACAAATCCCGCTCCAAACGCCGACGAGTGTGACCCGACTGGCCGGGTCTGCGCCGATCCCCCTGCCACACTCGATCGGCCATCGCGCGACATGTCAGACCTCACCGACCAGACCTCGCTGTCATCCGATTCAGATACCGACAGGGCATCCCATGCGGGGCCATCGGGTACACCTAGAACAAGTCGAGGGAGAGGACGAGGGAAAGCCGCCCGAGGTAGGGGGGCTCGGGGGGCTAGAGGGGCAGGAACCCGAGGAGGTTCGGCCCTCACCAAGAGAGCCGGTCGCGGCACTTCGTTGCCTCAGTTCCCACCACGAGAACATTCCTCGCCTTCATCCCAGGGCTCTCGATCCTCCGGGTTCGTCGCTTCACCTTCACCCGAACTTGGCGCCCCTCCGAACGGTCAATCCGCCCATGGCGCCGCGCCGAGCGACAACGAGGAAGGATTGGTCAACCTTACCTCCGGACCCGAAGATGACGATCGACAATCCGACAGCCAGAACCCCGAAGAGGACCAGGAAGAGGAAGACAAAGATGTAGACTTGAAAGATAATGACGACGCCGACGGTTCTCAATCGTCATCGTTGTCCGAGACCTCGAGCCTTTCTTCGACCGGTTCACCTGGACCCCAACCCGCTGGATTGCTCAACGAGTCTTCAACTACCAACGCGTTCCCGATACACAGAGGACTGAAGCGAGGTCGGAGCTCCCCACTCACCGATCTATCGGCCGACGAATCGGAAAAGGAACACGATCGTGCCGAATCCGACGAGGACGAGGCACCCCCCACGGCGACTTCGAAGCGGAGTCGGAAACGCGTCGTCGAGAGTGAGTCGGGCAGTGAGGATGATGCGACGGATGTAATTAGCTCGCGCAGACGTCAGGGCGACGATGACGACGACGGATCGGGGTTCGATGATGACGACGACGACGACGACGCTGCCGCGGAGGCGCGAGCCTTCGATCTGGGCGAGGCAAGTCCTGCTTTGACTGATTCGAATGCACCCACCCGCGACGGAACGCCCAACGACGCGTCACGAGACACCACACCTGTGCCTCGTGGGTCAGCATTCACGGCCAAGAGTCGAGGTCGGGGCAGACCGAGGGGAGCGAAAAAGTCGTTTCCAACGTCGGGCGCAGGAAGAGGTCGAGCATCGCCCAAGAACACCAATACTTCAACTATGGCCCTTCAGAGTTTCCTCACCCCGATGCGGGCTACAAGAGCTACAGTTACATTACCTCCAGGCTATATCGAGGGCATAGGGAGCAGTCGCTGGCCCAAGACCTCTCAGGGCGGTTCTCACGGCAAAACCACGTCGGTCGAGCCCTCAGAACGACACGCAAGCGAGGAGAGTCAGAGCACCGAAATGACCGTGGATGTAGAAGAAGTGTCCGCCACACCAGTTGATGATTCCCCGCCCCCCGTCGCTTCGAGCAGCGGCAGTAAGCGCGAGGAGACGAGCGCTGAGCCGACTTCAACAACAGGCAAGGGCGCAGCACTGACCGCGAAGCCGGCTGAGCTCGAGGACGACACTCAGTGGCCAATGCCAAACATCGCTCTGGCCACGCCAACCGAAGGAGACGAGCTCGTTGCAGAGATTGCAGTCGTTGCACCGTCAGAGAACGAGCTTGTCTTGAAGGAAGAGGAAGACGGCAGTACAGAGCCGGAGGTCGAGGTGCGCGCATCCCCAAAACCCAAACCCAAAGCGACGGGCAAGAAGGGACGGAAAGGTAAGCAAAAGGCTGCTTTGGACTCCGAGGTCATCTCGGATAGGCCAACTCTCTGTAAGTTACGGATTCGCACCATCTTTGTCTCTGACCTGGGCAGAATAAATACTGATCGCTTATTTCCTGTGATTCGTGCATCATTTTAGCAAAACGGAGGCGGTTGTCGGAAGGCGAGATTGAGCGCAATGCCCAGCGAAACACCGCGCGAATGGCCCTGCTCGCACAACTTGCGGCCGAAGAGCAAAATATTATCGACGGAACCCATCCGATGGTCGAGGCCGCGTACGCTAGACTTCGAGAGGAGAAGCGACGACGTATCGCGGGTCTTTCACGGACACAGAGCTGGCGCGAGATTGCCCACGAACGGGAAAGGGACGCATCGATACAGAAAGTCTGGGTGGCCTGGGCCGACGCCAAGGATCAACTCCGGATGAGCATGTTCACCGAGAACCACCAGTCTCTGCGACAACTTGTATACGAGGAGAAGCAACTGCCGTTTCTGCGCGATCATCCGCTGCTGATGGACGAGTGTCAAGTGCCACCGACGCCGCACTTTCGAGCGCCGATCCTGGAGGGGAACCAGGCTTTCGCGCCTCGGAAGGTCATTCATGCGGGGCATTACCTGGAAGCGCCACCCACGAACAAGGCGCTCGACCATTCTGCGGGGCAATTATCGAACGAAGAGATCAATGCAGATCTTGCCGTGCTGATGAACCCCGACGAGGTCTTCGGCCCACCCCGTCCTCAAGCGTCCCCTACCGTACTCGATGTCAGCCCTATCATGACAGCTCCTCGACCTGTCGGTGTGCCTGTATACCCCTACGCCCCTGCATACTACTACGTCCACGCTTCGCAGTATGGGTCGGTACCTGCGGGCCACCCGGCTCCTCCCCATGCATATTATGCAATGCCTCCAACGCCGGCCACGGCGCCCACGCCACCATTCACACACGCCGCCTCAGCTCTAGGGCCTGCACAACACTCGCATCAGCATCCACACCAGCACCAGCATCAACATCATCACCACCACCACCATGCGCATGCTCCAGGTCCCGCTCCTGCCACTCCATCTTACGATCATCACCACTCGCACCCGCGGCCGATGAGTCCGCCGGTCTCGAACACCAAAACAAAGCAAGCTACAGTAGGTACGCTTCCTCAATCGCGAGCGTCTCTGGATGGCACCTCGTCGTCGCCCAAATCGCAAGCGCCGCCCTCGGCGGCCGCTGCGCCTCCAGCGCTTTTCCGGTTCCCCGGCCCCCGCAGCGCATCAGGAAACCCCAGTGCATCTCCCCCAGCTCATGCTCTGCAACATTCCAGGGACAGGGACCCTGGCACAAACACCTACCCGTACCCGTCGATGAGCTTAGGCTCTTATTCCAAGACGGCTTCGGGGACCCATGGGCAAGGCGTCGCTCAGCCCCAAGTGACTTCGTACAGCCCACATCCCTCGGGACCATACGGCTGGGGCGCGCTGGCGCAAAACTCGGCCCGAGCTCCGTCGACCGGCCCTACAGCAAGCAATGCGAACAAGAGCGAAAGTGGTCAACAAGGTGGTACAAATTATGGTGTCCAAGGGAATGGTCAGCAGAGCCATTACGCATATTGGGGATGAACGTTGAGGACGAACAGTTTTGCCCACCGAGTAGGACCTCGTGAGAATTAACGACTGCCTTCGTCCTGTTTCGCGAAGTCCATTTACCATTCACCCTATTTACGCGGTATTTGATCATATTCTTGGGATGTAGCCATGAGCGAAATGAATGTCACAGCATGTCGAATTGCATGTACCTGCGGATATGGGTCCAGATCAAGCCTTGAAATCGGGAGAGCCGTGAACCTGTGCACCTGTTGTGGTTCTATGCAACCCAACGCAAGTCCTGCTGCTCTTCGGGAATTTTTGAGAACACGAGGGTACCATGTCAAGAAAGTCTTCATGTTTGGCTGGCGTCGGAGAACTTGCATCCGTATGGCCCCCACTCTTTGGAAGTGAGCGGCGAGCGGCCTTTGTCCATAGTGAGCGGCCGGCGCAAGGTGGGCTTTGTCCAGCCGGCCGCCGAGGTCCGATTACACGGCAAATGTGCAGGGACCATTTGTGCCGTTGAAGTTGGGGCTTTACTATTTTTCTCTCGTCCTCTTCCATCCATTCGTACAATATCTCGACTTTGGGCCGGTGCCTCAAATACCGGCGCTAGAGCTTAGACTCCAAAGCTCGCTCTTTCTCTTGCTCTGCCCCAGACCCGTCTCAGATTTGCTGTGCATCCCGGCTACCACGCGACCCGACAACCTCGCCAACCATGAATCGTATCTATCACACATTCGGACCGGTCCTTCTCTTAGCCCTCATTGTCCTCCAACTCCTTACGTTACTGTCCCCGACACCTCTGTTTCCTGAAAGGGTGTCGATGTTAAAGGTCACCCTTACCGGAGTTGCAAGTAAGAGTTCGCAGTCCAATTCGACAAACATGATGATCGGGGCTTCTAGCGACTCGATGGAAGGCGCCGTAGCAAATGCAGCAGACTTAAAATCGCCTTCCAGCTCTCTCCGAGCTCATGACCGTTTCTCGAGGCGCAAGAAGAGGGAAGCGAACAGCTCGGAGCTCGGCTCCAACTCGTCCTCGGGCACGAACACGACCACCTCCACCAACTCCTCCTTGAGCACGGCGGCGCAGACTCGTGTGACAGTACATCTGAGCTATGGTTCTCTCGGTGAGAGTTTTTTTCAACTCTAGGTGTCTAAAAACGCCCCGCTTACAAGCCTTTTCGCCATGCAAGCGCCTGTCATCGTGTGGAGTTGTCCACTTCGTCGCTCTTGACCTGCCAGTCACCGACCCTTACACCTATGTTCACCCCGCTCTATTCCTCGCTCACATTGCCGACGTCTACCCAAGTCAACCTCCTTCCTTCCCAATTTCCTGTCGTCCCGATTCTTTTGATGTCGACTTTGGTCCTTCTGACACTTGGGTGGCTTCTCAACATCGCCTCCTCCCTCGGAGCCAAAGCCCCTAAATGGGCACCGCGCTCCCTTTCCAAACGTCAAAGGGATGGCGACGAGCATCCATGTTTTGCGTTGGAGCCGCCTTATTGATTGGTGCTGTGACGACCTTGTCTTGGAGGTTGGACTTGGCCAAGATCGGCAATGCCATCAACGCGCATGATTCGCAAGGGGCTATGGTCGCGTCGTGGGGGACGGGCCAACAAAGCGAGTTTTGCCAAATTTCCCTATTGTTCATCTCGTTAATCCGTGACCAAAGGCTGACCTCTTGATGTCTTACACTTGTTCAGATCTTTGGGTAGGATGGGGAATGACGCTCTTGTCCTTGGCTCTGCTGGTCGGAGAAGGTCTCACTCGTTGAGCCCGACAAGGCGCGACCGCTCTTCAGTCATGTGTACCATTTTTGCACAATAGTCTTGTCCACTTTAGCGCCAAACACACTACTGGAAAAACATATATCCACCTCTGCAATACTGAAGCTTCGGAATCTCTCAAGGTCGCATCGAGTTCACAGACCTACGTCGGAATGCACTTCTCTCGCGATAGCGGTCACGGAACGACGTGGATGTGTTCCAGACGGACGGATATGCATGTGTCAAGAGGAGGAAGAATCTACAGATTGATGATTGAGGCTGTATGCTATACTTCTAAAAATTTAAACACAAACCAGGTGGAGTGCTATGGCACATCAGGCGTGAAAACACAATTGGCGGGCAACAAGGGGGTGAAAAACGAGTAAGACCAAGGACACGTTAAAAACAAAGATGTGGATAGGGTGTATAGACTGGTTACAAAACTGAGCGAGAGGGCCATCACCAAGCAACGTGGGAAGTCGCGGTCGAAGAGGGATGACTCGGGCTGGGCCAATAGAGGCGAGGCATGATCGAGGACCCGCCCGAGGTTTGCACGTTGTCGGCGACGCCACCGAAGCGCTCCAATTCGGCCTCGAGAGAGTCGTCGAAGCCCCATCCAGCGCCAGCACCGCCACCAGTTCCAGGGCTCATGCCCCAAGAGGCACGACTTCGGACTCCAAGAGGGGTCGACAAGAGCGCCGACTGGAACGCTCCACCTGCCGAGGAATGGGCGCGGCCCGAGGGCGAACGAACATGGCGAGCCGAATACGGCGGAGGCGATCGGAAAGCGTGCGAGGCGGCACCATCGGCAAGAGCAGCGACAGCGGGGATGTGTCGCATGCCCGGCAAGCGCTTCTTCTCGGGGTCGGCAGAAAACGCGAACTTGTCCTCTGAGGTTTGGACCGGCGACGTTGGGGCGCGCACGACTCCTCCGCCTCGGATCGAAGAGACGGGGCTATGGGTGTGGACGATCGCAGCGGGAGACATAATTGCAGCCGGCTCGCGCTCTTCCTTGTCAGAGCTGTTGGATCGAGAGCGAGCTCGAACGGTCGCAGCGTGGCTCGAGAACACGTGGGGGCCGGACAAGAACGGGGCGACGTCTTGCTCAGGGTTGGCTAGGAGCGACGAGAGAGCATGGCCGCTCGGACGGACTCGGTCGCGAGTCGAGTGAGAAGGCATGATCCCCGTCGCTTCGGGCGAGGCAAGCAAAGCCAAGGCACGGTGGTCGGTCATCGACTGCGTGTACGAGATGGGCTGGTAAGGCCCAGCGAGGCGGTGGTATACCGAGGTCGGTGGCGAGGCCGTCAACGAGGCAACGAGACTTTGACGGCGTTGCTGCTGCAGGGCGGGAGGTGGGCTCGCTCGGGTCATGGTCGGTCTAGGTGCATAAGGCGCTTCAAGATTCGCGTTGTGTGGCTTGTCCTTGGATAATTCTGCGCAAGGCACTGCCGTGGCGAGAACCTTCGCGTCAATGGAGCTACGTCGGACCAAGAGCGACCTCGATCGTGGTTCAGCGCTACCGATGCCGATGGCGGACTGGGAACGACTCATGGCAATCGAGGGTCGAGGTGGCGCAAGGTTCACAGGCGGGGACAGAGCACGGTCAGGCTCCATCGCCGACAACGATCGGATGGCTTGGGGGCGAGCACTCGACGCCGGGGCGATAGCAACCGTCGAAGGACGGCGCGGGGCCATAGGGCCTGGGGATTCGACTCGCGTTCTTTTTTTGGGCGCCGAAGTGCTGTGGGTCGTGGTAGCATTGGGCGGTGACGAAGCTAGATCCGTAGAAACATCTCCTGACTCTGCCAGGGCGGCCGCGATCGCTTTTGCACTTCGTGGGCGGCGATTGCTCGTCGACCCTCCCTTCTTTGTGAAACCACCATCGGCAAATTGATCCGCGCAACCGGGCACGATGGCCCAAAGACAGCCTTTGCCAGGGTTGTCGGGCTCGCGGGCCGTCTTGACGAAGCACTCGTTGAGACTGAGATTATGTCGGATGGAGTTCTGCCAGCCAGCATCCTCCTTCTTGTAGTACGGGTAGCAAGCCATGATGTACGCATAGATGTCGGCGAGGGAGATCTTGCGATCCTCGGTGGAGAAAATGGCTTGACCTATCAAGGCGGCGTAGGACCAATGGGGCTTGGCGTGTCCATCGGCCGACATGATCGCGGGCATGGTGTCGGCACGATGGATTGGAGTATTGCGGCTGCGAGCTCCAAGATTCAAGTTGGCGGACACCAGAGCATGTGAGGCCCCACTGGAAGCACCACCCTGTTTCGAAAGCATTGTCGGTCCCGGGCTGGAGCGATGGCCACGAGGCTGAGCGGGTTGGTACTCGGATAGCTGCGACGCTTGCGAGGATACCGGTGAGGACGAGGGCAAGCCCCGGAAGAGATGGTCAGGTGCTGAGGTCGGGTGAGGCTGGAGTTGGTAAGACACTGCGAAGCTTGAACCTCCAGCTGCCGATGCTCCGTCAGAGACCGGAGGAGACGAGTCGCAGAACGACGGTGCTCGTAGTGATGCAAGCGATGGCGACGGTGAAAAGGCTTGCTCGGCGCCGTGCTGTGGCCAAGGCGCATTGGCGACGTTGACAGCGCCAGATGAATTGCCTGCCGAGGAGGACAACGGAGTCGACGCGTCGGAGAAGGGGCTCGACAGGTCCGCGACAGTCATCTGGCGATGCACGCGCGAATGAAGTCGCGAGTCAGTCACAACGAGAAGGGAGGCCCAGTGGAACAAATGTCAAGATAATTCCACTCACCATGTCGGCCGCTCGGGCAGCAGCAGCGCGTTGCTTGCGAGGTGTCGGCTTCTTCTCCATCGCTTCGAGCTCATCGAGTTCGCTCCTGAGCAGTTTGGCAATGTCCGGCGAGAAGAGCAAGCTCGGCGCACGGCCTCGAGAAGGCGCAGGAGAGGTCATCAAGCGATCCGGCGAGATATTGGGCAAGCGACGAGGAGGTGACATGGTCGAATCGATCGGTCGAGGTCGAGAGGCGGCCGGGGAAGTAGCCGGGGACGAAACCACTCGACGTCGCGGAGCGCTAGACGGTGCCTTGTCACTCCCTATTGCAGAACTTGGCTCTTCGGGAAGCACGGCCGGCGTGCGATCCGACATGAAGCGCTCCATCATCCCGCGACGCGGAAGAGAAGCGGCGCCAAGTGGTGAGGTGGCATGTTGTGCGTTGCCTCCGATGAAAGAAGGGGACGGGAGCAGCGACGCCCCTGACGGAAGTCGGGAAGTCGAAACCGAAGCCGAAACCAAAGTCGACGTTGCTTGACGTGACTCGGGGAAAGGCTCGTCTTCTTCACTCGACGAATCTTCCTGCGCCCACTTGCGCACCTGTGACTCGCGGGTATCTTCTTCCCGACGTTGACTACGCTGCACGATGTCCTCGAAGCTCGGGTGCGTCTTGAGCTCATGGTTCGAGACCCCGCGCTCTCCCTCGAGGTCCTCGAGGTCCTCGTCGTTCCTGTCAGCCTCGTGGGTCTCGCCGATCGACTCGAAAGCATTCCTGGATCGCTTCGAGCCTGAAGCGGTCATGCTGAGCGTGGCGTGGGAGCGAGAGGCGCGAGCCTGCAATGGCGGCACTTGCGAATGCACAGGGGTCGTCATGAGGTAGTCGATGCCCATCGCCGACGATGCTGCTGCAAGTTGTGCCGAAGCCTGTTCCAACGATGAGGGAGAATGGTGGCTCCCGTCATTCTGTAAGAAGCGCATGACCTGCTGCTTGGCCTCTTCGAACTGGTCCGCGGTGATGCCATGTGCTTGAGCAAGCGCGAGGGTGGTAGACTTAGCAGGCGACGGCACGCCATTGGCTGATTTTGACCGCGCAGAAGTAGCGGTTCTCGCGACCTCTGCCCTCGTGGGCGCCATCTCGACATCTTTGCTCAAGCCCTGGTGCGACGCCGTACGCTGGTTACGGGGACGAGACGGAGGGTTCGAAGGGGCCGCAAAATCGGAGTCGTCATCGTACGCGATCGAGGCGAAACGCGTGTCGAGCCTGGGGGGAGGGGAGGATGTCGGATGGATGCGCACGCTGCGCCGTGTAATGCCCGCCTTGGAGGTGCGGCCGCGTCCAAATCGATGACCATCGGTTGGTGTAGCGATGAGCTCGTTGAGGGGAGAAGAAGAGCAGGGAAACCCGTCGTCGTCATAGAGGCGCTTGCCGGTGTGGGTAAGAGCGGGCGTCTGCTGCCCAAAGGACGAGGAGGGCTGGGTGAGAGGCGAGGTGCGAATCGACATGACGTGACTGTTGACGGTTCAAGCATCACAAAGTGAATAAGATCGGTGGGGAAAGGGTGTCAGGATGGGTGGGGGTTTGGGGGAGCGAGCGGACGGAAGCCAAGCGGGCACGAGTAGCAAGACGCGACGAGCGAGGCGCGAGCGCGGCAAAGGCAAAGGGGTCGATCGCGAGGCGGAGCGTAAGGGGAACGCGGCAAAGTCAGCTCGAGCTGTACAAGCATGCACACACGCCGGAAGCATCAACTACTCACATAATGGTTCACTGGCTGATACGACACGTCGACAAGCGAGTTTGATCCAATGCGATGGCTGTGGGCGTACTGCAGTGCGCTGAACTGGGGCGGTGAGGACCACGGTCACGCCAGCCAGATCGACGACGCGTTGCCACCGAGTCCAAATAGAGGCGCGAGGCGACTACGAGACAAGGCGCTGGCGCTGCGATCAGCGAAGAGGAAGGTGAACGGCAAACAGCGCGACGAATGAGGAGAGCAAGAATTCATGTCAGTGTCATGTTGTGTACAAGGGAGTGAACAAGTAGATGTGGAGACTGCACGACCGGGGTGTCTCATGTGGGTGTATGCACCGCGACAAGGTGCTGATGGGATCGCCGACCTGCGCCCGCGCGGCGCGCAGCAGGGCTGGGACCCCAAGGCGAAGCGCGCCTGACGGCCCGCAGAGGGAAGCGCAACTGCTGCAGGCTCCATCGAGACTCAGCAAAAGCGACTCGTCACTCACCTCGGGAGTGCAGAGGTGGAAGTCAGAATCGTTCGTTCGTTCGTATAACCAGCACTTAGGTTACCGCAGAAAGTCAAGGTCCGGCAGGCGACCGAAAAAAGGAGGAGCGCAGAACGACGCAAGCCGACCACTCGCAGGTGACGAGCGGAGAGATGTGACGACTGGCGGGAGCAAGTTCGACGTCGGTGCTGAAAAGGTGGCGCTGCAGCAGTCGAAAGAAGTCCGGTCCCGAGACCAGAGGGACGTGTAGAAGAAGATACTGGATCAAGGTGTGCTGGAGGTCGTAGTTGAATCCACCGAGTGTGGCAGCGTGGATCCTGGTAAGTCGGGCGTGGTGAACGGCGAAAGGGTAAACGCGTCGAGTGGTGGTGGCCCCGTTTGTGTGTTCCGCATTTGGGCTTGGGGGTCTCACGCTCCATCGCTAATTGCAATTTACGACTCCCGGCTTCAATGAGAGACAAGAAAAAGAAAAAGAAAAGTTCGCCACAGTTTCGACAATCGTGCTCATCGAAACATGCTTAGCAACCTAATCTCCCTCGTATCGAATCTTTTTGCCCAGGCGACTTGAAGCGGGCCGAATTTTCGCACTCGGTTTCCCGTTCCGCGTCTGCGCCGACGCAGAGGACGAGTCGTGTCGCACTACGGGTACGCTTACAGGCAATGTCACATTTTCAGGGGAGCAGGTTTCAAGTCTGTGCTACGTGTGTGGTAGTACAGCCAGCGGCTGAATGCTCAAGTCGAGCAGCCGGCGGGCACTGTAATGCCACCACGGCTGCAGTGGCAGCTGGACGCGCAGGCTCAAGACAATTTTTCGCGACAAGCTCTTCCTCGTCTCATGGTTTACTCTTCTTGAAAATACAGGGATGTACTAGCTTCTCACGCGGAAAATCAGGTCAGCCGAATCGGTTGTAACGCGCCTTTGACGCGCGACTTGAACCGGTCCCTAAAGCAAGCAAAATGGTATTAGAATCACTAAGTAGCGCTGCACCGTAAACGCGGTCGAGCGCCTACTCGCCTGTCTCGCTCGCTCGCTTCATCTCCCCCTGGTGTCCACGTGTCCTGTACTCGACAGCACCTCCTCCGGGCTTGGTCAACATGGCTCCGATCATGTCACGCTTGGGTGGCCGCGCGTCCTCGGCCTTGGATGACTCGCAGCGACCTCGTTTGGGACCTGATCGCTCGCACTCAGCCTCATGGCATCGAGCTGAACCCTATGTACGTCTAGCTCTGCACGCGCTTCCTCGACATCGTCTGGCATGATCGTGTTCCCATGCTATGATTGGCTCGCTCACGCTCTTCCCCTCGGCCCACCTCTCTGTTGACGTTGACCGTCGCCGCCAATGCCTTGCTTGCTCTCGCTGCTGGCGGTCCCATTGTGTCTCGCCGAAAACAACCGACCCCACCACGATTACTACCGCAAAACCCCTTGCATCTGCATAGTCGCAAGCTCGACCTGACCCCAGCACGCTCTCGTCATGGAAGCACGACGGCGTTCGCGCCGACCTGTTCGACGAGGGCTCGTCGCGATACAACATCCGCCTGAACCAAGGGCTGTTCCCTCACGCCGATCCACCAGCGCCTGAGGTGCTTAGACGAGTCGAACACGTACCCGAAGACGTCGCACCCGCCGCCATCGCCGGACCTGTGGCCGTCAACACTTCCTCCACCGCGGCGGATTTGGCAGATCGATTCCTTTCCGGATCCACCGGCGCCGCTCGACCCTCCTCCGCGCCTGCGGCCCCTCACCACGACCCCGCCTACGAACAGAGGGCACGTAAAGCTCAGCAGCACACGGAACACGAGGAGAGGAGGTTAAGGAAGCTCACTGAGGATGAGGCCAAGAAGACCTTGCAACAGCAGCAGGAGAATGCCCGCTTGCAGAAGAAGATCGCCGACTTTGAAGGCAAGGGCTTTGTGATTCAAGTCGAGGGGTTGGTCTATGGTACGAGCGCGGATGACGTGCAGGTAAGATTTGACCTGCTCCTTAACACTTATCTTCTGTTTCATGGTCGCTGACGTGTTGCTGGCGGCGGACGCAACCTTGCCTATCTTGTAGACCGCTTTTGGCGCGTATGGCGAGACGACTTTTTGCTTCATCGTCAACGAGGCCACGGCAAGAGAAGACGATCCTCTCATCGCACGACTGACGTTCAAACGATTCGAAGATGCCGCCGACGCTTGCGCTAAGCTACAGTTCGTCCATTCTTGCCCCTCGTGACCTCAATGGAAAGTACCGAGAGAACTGATTTTCCGAAGCCCCTTCTCAGCGGCGCGATTGCTGACGGTCGTGAATTGACGGTCAAACAAGTCGAACGTACACCTCCCCCCGCCACCTCTACCGACATCCTCGGAACCGCTCCGTCATCTTCGATCTCTGTCTCCACTTCATACTCTGCACCGGTGTCGCACAACCAGCCACTGAGGTCCGTTGCCCATGGCCGCCCAATGGTGTCTGAACCCATAATGCAGTATCAAATTCAGTTTGTTCTGATGCCTTTACTCTCTCCCACTCCTCACAGGTCTAAACCCGATCCACCGACTCGATTCGCCGACACGCGATACGCGAAGCACGGCCGTTCCATGCACGACGACAACGGCATGGACGTCGACATGTCGGAGCCTACACCGGCTCATTCTTCGACTGTACCACCAGCACGCAACCAATCAGGACCCTCTCGAGGACCCAGGGGAGGAGGCAGTGGTGGAGGACGGCATGGACCGATGTACGCTGCCCAGAACTCACGCTCGGATCAACATACTCATGTGGGCCCCAAGGCTTACGGCCAGGCGCAGATACAGACACAGACCCCCGTCTCGCTACTTGATAGGCTTGGTGGAGGGAGAGGGAACATTCGTGGGGGCCATCCGGCTGGGAAGCAAGGGGATTCAGGAAGGGGGGGAGGGAACGCCCCGCGGCAGCCACAGAAGAACTCGGGTGGCCTCCAATCGCTTGTTGCTAGGATGTCGTAGATAGTCGAACCGCAATGACACGGTTCTTCTTCGTAGTTGTCGCCTGCAGGTGTGTGTATCTTAGAGAGGCCGTGCCAACCGTAATGTGCGGGCCGACTGCGCTCGCTGAAGCGCCTAATGAGAGTTCGAGGTCTTGGTCTCTACTCCCCACCACAACTTTACTTTCAGATGTTCTGAGGACAGGACAGGACAGTCTCAAATCTCGTTCTCAGTGGACGTTACTCCGAGGCTCGACAATCAGTCATCTATTTGCCCGACTAGGTTGGCGCTCTGACCAGCCCGCCCAGGAGTTGATCGGCGGCAAGTGGCTGCCCTCTGAGTGCCGATTCAGCCGCCGCTGTCGCCTGGCCGCTTTCGCAAGCAACGATCCGCTCTCAAAGTCTCACTTTCACGCGCCAGAGTCCCAAGTCCGTGCGTCGCTTCGTCCCCAACATACCCTTTGACTCTTCGTGGGCGTGTGTAGGAGAGCATGTCGATGCTGATCCCCACCGCAGCTGGAGCGGTGTCCAAGGTGTTCCTCAAGCAATGGTGTAACGAGGTGCGCGTCACAGGCTTGCCGACCTTCTTGGACAAGCTAAATTCGGATCGAGGCGTTCTGACCAGTGAGTGGCTGCTCCTGAGAGTGGGTTTCTTTATGGGGTAAAGTGGAAAGCTGATACTTTGCTGTGGTCTGTTCCATTTCAGTCGCCAATCATATCTCGGTGTACGAACCTATTCAAGCTACCCGTCCAACACTCGTGGCGCGCTCTTGCTCGATCCTCTGACATCCGCTGCCCGAGGTCTTGGTCGAAAGGGAAGCTGATCTGGTCCTCTTGGCCCGATTGCACAGCGTTGATGAGCCTTTCATGTGGGGTTGTCTACCCATATCTCTTTTTACGGACACTCGAACCACTCGATGGACACTAGGCGCAAGCGACATGATGTTCACCGGAAAGTTCGTCAGCCTTTCTTCCACTTCCGCCGATATACACTCTGCGTGATCTGACGATGCTCTCGGCGGCGCAACAGGTGGGATAGTTGGTTCTTCTCGAGAGGCCAGGTCATGGAGACTTTGCGCGGGAAAGGCATCTACCAAAAAGCGATCGATCGTGCGGCCAAGAAGCTCAACGACGGGCAGTGGGTGAGTGGTGGTGAAAGTCCTTACCCTGTTCTTCCCAATGCGACCTCTCTCTTTCCAATCTCAAGCCTGAGTTCAATCCTTCTGTCTGGATCTAATTTTCTTGTTCTCGACTGCAACAGGTGCACGTCTTTCCGGAAGGAATGATCAAGCAAGACACCTTGAACGAACTTCGGAGGTTCAAGTGGGGGATATCGAGATTATTGTTCGAGACGGATCCGGAAAGAATGCCCCATGTGGTGCCGATATGGATCAAAGGTGAGAAGAAACAGATATCTCGGCAACCTAGGAGCGCTCCTAAAACCTCTCGACCACTTCCCGCCGACCAGGTTTCGAAGAGGTGATGGATGAGCGACGAGGGTGGCCCCGAATGCTCCCTCGGCCGGGGAAGAACGTCTCCATCATGTTCGGCAATTCGATCAACTCGGCGATCGATCCTCTCATGGCCAAATATAGGACCAATTTTCCCAATCCTTGGCGACCGGCGACATATGGGAACGACGTCAAGGAGGATCTTCGAGTCGAACCTGAGGGTTTGGCGGCGATGAGGAGTGAGCTGGCGGCGCGGATTAGGGACGAGCTGATGAAGTTGGGCAACGATGGGAGGCTGGAGAAGATGTTGGAACAAAAACCGAATCGGATAAGATGGAATCGACTGGAATGATGAGATAGTTTGATGTTCGCCATTTTTCGGGGTGGCGTCGGATTTCCTACAAAGACATCGCGGGTGAAATTGGGCAGATTTAGTGGAGTGTAGCTTAGTGGAATATAATACGTGTGAATCATAGAGTTGCGCTTAAACAGTATTTCCGGCTTCTTTTCTCCTCGGATAAGCTCGAAATTGTGATTACCGGATTGACCTCCTGTTCGAAAGTCTCGGTGCGGCGGTCGAAAGCGATTGAATAGACAAGCGCCGCCGTTTTTTCGATCGGCTCGCTGGTTCACGCGTTCACGAGTCGCACTCAGCCCAAACCACGGCTCGCACGCCCGGTCCAGTCCAGCGCCATTCAGCCGAGTCGAACGATGCCCGACCCCACCTCTATGCGACAGGGCTCGCCTTCAATGCCTCTGCACGCCTCTGCTGCTGGTGCTGCTCCCTCTGAGACGACCGCGGCATCGAACCCGACGACGACGAGCGGCTCCATCTCGACCGCCGCCGCCGCGACGAAACCGAATGGCGGGGGCGCCGCCGCTACGTCAGGCACGTCCGCCACGAGCACGAATACACTCTCGGCGCCCTCCTCAAACCCCGCGAGGCCCTACAGTTCCCTCGCAGGTGAGTGGCATCCTCTGATGGGGTGGAAGCTGTTGTTGCGTTGCTGTGTGACGTCGGCTATCCGGCGCCGAGTAGCACTGATGAACCGGGGTTCTCTCCGGACTTCAAACTGCGCGTGCCGACTCATGTCGAACTCGCTGCTGGGTGCGGTAACTGGGAAACGCTCGGTGCTGAGCGCTGATCGATGGACTGTCTCCCCTCTTTGTCGCTTGGAACCCCCTTTCCCCGCTCGGATATCACAATCAGTCATCCCTCCGTTCAACGGCACCGGTGGCACTTCGGCTCGATCCTCTTCAGCCGAAGGCTCGACCTCGCACTCGTACTCGCATTCGACCTCGTTGGCGGCGGCGGCGTCGTCGTCACACGCACACGCGCAGGCCGGGTCGCCAGCGCCGGGACCCGCGATCGCCCACTCGAGACCGCATACATCCAGCTCTTCGAGTACGTCCCACCACCCGGCCTTCTACGGCTCAGCGAGCGCGCACCACGACAGCGGCACCGGCCACAGCAGCAGTGGCAGCAACAGCCCCGCCAACTACCACACCGACCACCACAGTAGTAGTCACACCAACAACACCAATCTTAACAATAACAAGCCACAGACTGCTGCATCGAGACCCGCGGCCGCCTCCCCACCATATCGTGCCAACCCGATGAGCGTGTCATCGATGTTGTCGGGCCCGCCGCGAGATCGACCCAGTGGTAGCAGCTCCACGCCCCCGTCCGTCATCGCGCCCGCGCCTCCGACGCTGCCGGCCTCGACACCTCATCCGCCGACACTGCCTCCGCTCATTTCGTCAACGTCTTCGGGCTCGAACGGCAAGGGAGCCAACGCGTCGAGGTCGTCCGCTCCCTCCTACCATCGAGCACCGGCGCTGAGCCCCATGGCGCCCTCCACGTCTTCGCCCTCGGCGTCATCTGCTGGCATGAGCTCAACCGTCAGCAAAGCCCAGTCCCCTGAAATCTACCCCAAGATCGAATCGGGACGCTCTCCGTCGTTGACCTCGGCGACCTCGCCTAGCTTTGCGAATGCCTCCTCCTCCTCTGCATCGGCCTCGTCGTCGTCGGCCAAAATCGAACGCGCCTACCCTCCGCTGCCGTCCGCGTATGCCCGCGAGTCGCCGTACTCGAAATCTGCTTGGTCAACGGGGCCGAATACACCAGCCGGCTATGGGTCCAGTAATTCGAACATGTCCTCGTCGGCCGGACCATCTGGCGCTCAGCAGCGTCAGCAGCAGCAGCAGCAGCAGCAGCAACAGCAGGCCCAGCAGCAGCAGCAAGACAAGGCGTTCTTCCCCAACATGCACTCCTTCGGTCGACCTGCCAGCGCCAACCCGAATGCAAACCTGAGTAATTCTTCATCGTCTTCGTCTTCGACACATCGGCAGCTGAACTCGAACACGACGTCGTACCCGCCCACATTCCCTTCGTGGTCGAACGCCGGCGCGAGCTCGGGCTCGTCTTCGCAGCCGCCCGCCAGCGCGCCCAGGCAGAGTTCCGCCCCTCAGCAGCCCTTGTCGCGACCGTATCCTGATTACTACAGCGCAAGCGGCGATCATGGTCGACCTGAAGAGAGCACGAGAGCAAAACCCACCTCGGATCACCATTATGCATCATTCTCGTCGACATCAGCTAATGCGACGGGCACAACGACTGGCTCGCGGATATCGGCCGAGAGCTACAAGCCGGCACCGCTTGGATCGACCTCGGCTCGACCTACGAATGGCAAAAGCAGTCATATTCGATACCCTGGGTCCGACTACACGTCTTTGGGCCGGAATGGCACGAATGGAGCCCCCGCACCGCCGACTCTGCCTCCGCTGTCGAATGCACCGTTGAGTACGCCCGCGTGGGCCTCGGTCGAGCCTTCGCCCGCGACTTTATCTACATCGACGACAACGGGTCAGAAACGACGGAGATCAGAAGGGCAGTCGTCAAAGAGCCGGATCATCGAGAAGGCCAAACTGGTAGAAATCTTCATCCCTCCCTTCTCCGTCGTCGACCTGAGGAAAGCCTACGTCCGGCCCCCTTTGGTCGATGTACAATCCAACGCGGTCTATGAAGCCGTCTCGGCGATCCGATCAGCAGCACAAGCCAACGAGGCCGAATGGGGTCATCCGACACTCTTTCTCGGTCGGATCATCTACGATCCGACGCTCAACGCCGCTGAAATGATCGACGGGCAACTCCTGCGGCGCAATATCGGTGGTCGTCTCGAAGTCGTCGTTGCAACAGGCTACCTCGCACCTTGTATGGCAGAAGGGGAGTCAACGTGCCGATTCGAAGTAGGTAACCCTCTCGAGTACGATGGCCACGCCCTGCCCGGCACGAACGCTCTCGAAACCCAGGCTCTGCCCTCGTGCATTTGGGACTTGGACGCGGTACGGAAGCGATGCGTATGGGGAACAGACGTTTACACCGACGACTCGGACGTGGTCGCCATTTCGCTGCATTCGGGGTGGTTGCGGCTGTCGGACTCGAGCTCGCCAAAAGCCGGCGACCCTACGGCGGCTCAAGAGGCGTTGCTGAGAGCCCGGACACCCTTGTTGGAACGCGCGAAGTCTTATGCTTGCAAGAAGGGGCGGTCTTTGATCGTCAAGCTCGTCGTCGCACCGGCGTTGGTACGATACGAGGGGTCTCCTCGGCAGGGCATCAAAAGTCGGTCTTGGGGCAATGGCCACGATGGAGTCAGTCTCATAATTGAAGGGATCGAAGTCTGCGATGTGAGTTTTGGTGATGTCGTCTGAGTGTGGCACGCGAGAAGTGTGTTCTGACTTCCCCTCGGACTTCATCACAGTCCGACGTAGCTGCAAAGGGACACCGCTTCGTTAAACGTAGCGTTCGCGAGAGCGCAATCGAACTGGCGCAATCCTTCTCATCGACCAAACAGCGAAACCAGAATGGAGACGCTGAATCTGTAGGGGAAGAAGGCAACGGTTTGGCCTTTGAGACTTTTGTCATTGGGTTTGACCATCGGTCGTCTCGGTTCTTGAGCGACTTGACGAACGGCGAGGAAAGTTCGTCGGCGACGAGTGGGGGAAAAGCTATGGAGACGGACTGAAAGATGGGTGAGAAGGAGTGAAGTAGTAGCAGGGTAGTGCGCACATTGGATGTCTAGATCAGGTGCTGTATAGGCCGTGTGCCGGAAACAAGCTAAGCGTGTGGGCACTCGGCAATAACCTGTGCGGTAACGCCTCGACCCTGCGAGACTTGCTTGTCTCCGTCGGTTTAGCATGCTCGCTGAGTGTATGGACACTGCGATGTACATGTCTCAAAATTCACCTCACCGGGAAATCCGGAAAGCACGGAAGCGGAGCCGGAACATGGAACACGATTCGCAAGTGGGGCATCGCTTGGCTCCCGATGTGCATATCCACTCGGGCAAGCCCCCACCAAGAAACTCGTAAACGTCAACGGTCAACAGCTCAAATTATCCCTCCTTCCACATACTCGTTCTTCACTCCACGATCGATTAACTATCGTATTTTCACCATGGACGGTTACTCTTTTGACACGTAAGTCACTAGTCTGTCCAACGGAGTTGCTCGGCGCGGCTCGTCACGTATCGCCCCACTTGAGGCTCTGCGCGAGCCCACTGGACCGTGATCATTGTTCTGTAAGGGCCAGCTAGCCAAGACCTTCCCTTCAGCGCTATGTCCCTTCCTTCCCATTCAATCTCTGGCTCAAAAAGGTTACTTACACCCTCCATACGTCCCACAGGCAAGCCATTCACGCCGGGATCGACATCGAGAACCGCCCCTTCAACACGGTAGCCCCGCCCCTGTTTCCCTCGGCGCCCTTCTCGTTCACCGATGCCCAGCATATCAAAGACATCATGGCGCAAAAAACCAAGGCTTTCATCTAGTCGCGCGTCAACAATCCGACCGTCGACCCCCTCGAGAAACGTTTGACCGCTTTGAAAGGAGGCATCGCGGCGATTGCGACTAGTTCAGGAAGCTCGGCGATTTTGACCCACGCTTTGTCCTTGTGCAAGAGGGGGGACGAGGTTGTGTTGCCTTACAAGCTCTACGGCGGGACGAATCATGCGTTCAGGATTGGTACCCACGATTGGGCATCAAAGGTGGGTTACATCAGATATTTGAATTATCGGTATGATTTTCTGACCTTCGACTCCTCACTCTGCAAAATTTCGTCTACCACAGGGGTGTTCGTCGACTCAGCAGACCCAAAGGACTTCGAATCCGAACTCAAAGACAGCAGTAAGTCCCGATTGTTCCTTTTAGCTTCGTTCGCAACGCTCAATGTTTGCTGGCAAAGTTAGCTTTCGCTCAGCTGATTCTGGGTGGAGCCTTTACAGCACTGCGGGCCAATGGCTGCGAGTTTGCTCGCCATCGTGCGCCAGAGTTGAAGCGTTCGCTCAGAGACTGCTCGGTAGAGCTGTGTGTGCCTACTAGCTTGTGGTCAAGCTGCGCATGGAGACCGTGAGTCTGGTCGTGTTTGAGGCCTAAAAATATGGTGAACCAGACGGTGTATATTGCTCTTGACAGATACGAGAATCGGGGGCTTGTCTCTCCCCGTTTGCTGCTTGGCAGATCCTTCAAGGCATCGAAACCCTGGGCGTCCGCATGGAACGCCACACCAGGAATGCTCTTGCTCTCGCGCAGTGGCTCCAGCAGCAGGACACGGTCGAATCGGTACCCCATCCAGGTTTTTCTCACCACCCGACCTACGAAGTCGCTCAACTTCTCATGCCCAAGGGTTCTGGCGGTATGGTCTTGTTTGCGATGAAGTATGACTTGAAGGGTGACCGGACGAGCCATCGTTGATACCACCAAGCTTGCCTACCATTGCGGTACGTGAGGTTTATTTACTGGTTTTCGGGTATCACATCTACGCTCACGTGCCTCACGTTTACAGGCAATGTGGGATGTGCGCACGCTCGTTATCAACCCAGCGTTTTCCATTCAAAGCCAGTGAGTGGAAATCGTCAGAATTGGATCGTCCAGAGGCCCAAGCTGAGCGCCGAACTTTCTTCGCACAGACTTTCGAAAGACACGTTGATCCAGAACGGGTCTCCGGACAATGTTGTCCGAGTGAGTGTCGGATTGAAAGACATCCAGTACATCATTCACGGTAGGTGGCACGGTATAAAATTCGTCGCACCTCTGAAGCTGAGTGAGTCCCTGTCCCTCTTGCGGTGGCAGACTTTGCACAAGCCATAGAGAGCGTGCTCGCTCACAAATCGTCAAAGCTGGCGTCCCTGCGTTCATATGTTTCATTTGTTTTTATGGGATCCGAGCAAATGTAATGTCACCGATGATTGTACCAAGAGCGTGAGATTACAATTAGATGCCCACAGTTCGAGTAGCGCAACTGACTCTAGTCGGCGAGCCCCCGTCAAGAGGGAAGCGTATACAAGAAAGTGGTTGATAAGCTAAGTACGAAAGCGCGTTACCATAGATGTATTTACTGAAGTATACAGTCAGAGTCACTCGACGTCTTGCTCCTGCTGGGCTGGGCCGACTTGACCCTCCGATGACCCAGTCTTCGTAGCCCCGATTGACCGCGGGAAGCGTCGGTTCTCTCGACTTGGTCGATAATGATCGGACCTCTTGGCTCGGCGAGTGTTGGCATCACGCTCACGTCTTTGATCGCGTTCGTCACCGTATTTCCAGTGTTTGTGGGAATCAAACCCACGAATGACCGCAGTGCTGGAGTCGTCTTCATCGGAGAGAGAGGTGTCGTCGCAGCGAGAGGTAGGCTCGAGCTTGAGGACATGGCTCCCGCAGTCGGCCGCTTGGAGCACCTGATGAAAGGCAGCTTCTCGCCCAAGTTAAACGCCATCGAAGGGCTTTCCGGGCGGACAACGCTGTAGGTTGAGGTTCTTGGACCACGAGGCTTCGGAGCTTGATATTCCAGCAAGCTGCGTAGATCGCATTCTGGAGCAAACTCAGCGCAGCGGATGTGGGCTACGAGTCCGCACTGCGAGCAAAGTACTGCTTGACGCTTCGTTCGTTCATCGCAGAGGCGGCAGTCGATCGCTGCAGTGTAAGGAGATCTTATCAGCGATTAAAGACACGGGATATTCTCGAGTTACTGCTCATTAAACGTACCTTTGCTGAAGGTGGTCTTGACGAATAAATGCGTTCGAATTGCCACATCATTGTGAACACTTGTGGTGGTGGTCTCTCGCTTCTGTTGACGCAGTGATCAATTAGACCCTCCGTGCAGTACTTCCGGAATTACCTTTCGGCGCTTACAAGTATAGGAAGGGGCGTGTCTCCATCGATAAAAGTCGTTGCACGAGGAGATTGAACGAGAGGAATTGATTTATTTTCTCTCTCCGGTAATGGGGCTGGTAGATCGAATGGCAGGTCTGTTCCGAGGGGAGACGGCGCATGATCCTTCATAGTGTTTCGACGACGAAACGGAATCGAGTCGTAAACTTGCGTGTTCTGGAAGGAGTTGAAGAGCACTGTGTCAGTCAAACCCACTAAGGAGCTCAATTCCAAGAATCACTGACATGGCTGTCACTCCAGTTCTTCTGCAGCCAAATGTGTTCGAGAAGCTCCTTTGCGGCCGCCCGGTCTGCAGGTTCCTTCGCGAAGCAGAAATGCAGGAAATCGCACAGTTCCGCCGAGCACCGGTCAGGGATAGGTGGGTGCTCGTCTGTCACGATGTGAAACATTGCGCTCATAGAGTTATGGTCGTAATAGGGTGGTCTTCCGCAGTCGATGAGCTCGATGACTGTGTGCGCGAGACGATCGTGAATGGCAAGATTGCGAGAGGATTTGCGCAGCTCACTCACTCGTGCACCCAAGCGACCAAATGTCCGAAGCGGTCGTAGCACCTCTGAGTTCGATCTGAGGCAGAGTTCAAGTCTTAGTAATCGAAACCCACTGCACGATTTTAAATGTCACCTACCACTTCCGGTGCCACTAGGAAGCAGGATATCACCTTCGATCAGTGCAAGGCACGGGTGACGTGTTGACAACCTTACTCACTCCAATTTGGGGTTCCATACGCTTCGTGGTCATCTTTACGCATGGTCGTCGTGACCAGACTCGTTCCGAAGTCCGATAACTTGATGTTGCCGTGTTTGGTACTCAGGATGTTGGCAGCTGGAAGGCGAATGACGTGACTCTCCGAGGTCAGCACAATCATCTCCGACCAGGATCCCGTCCACGACTCCCACCTTTCAGATCACAATGCACGACATGCATCGAATGCAGGTATTCGAGCCCCGCGAGAATCTTGACGACGTAACTCGCTACCAGCGGCTCGGGTAGCTCGCCAAAGTGCTTGATCGTTTTCTGCAGCGATCCATTCTCGACGTATTCCAGTACGAGGTTCAAATAATGCTCGGTCTTCACCAAGCCTTCGTATTTGACGACGCTCGGATGCTCGAGCCGCTGGAGCACTGCAACTTCGCTCGAGAGTTGCTCAATCTCCTCGTCCGTCTTTCCCGCCAGCGAAATTCGTTTTACCGCGACGACCCGTCCCGAGTTAAGATTCAACGCTCGATACACGCTGCCGAACTGACCCTTTCCAATACATTCGCCCAATTGCTGATGAAAGGAGGGAGTGTGGTCAGCTTCATCGAGAGTATAGGACCGCGATAGCAATTTTCCTACATAAGTCAGGGCAGGACGACCGTTCTCGCGGAGCACGAGTTTGGTCCGAGCGATGCGCGTCGGTCTGCCGTCCATCGATTCGTCGCTGCTGAAGCGAGTCGAGGCGGCTGCAAGACTCCCCTCACTCGAGAGGGTGCTGCCTCGGCTCCAGTGTGGGTTCAGAGAGTTCCCGTCCACCTTTTCCAGTACCACCTCCGATCTCCAGCGCTGGTGTTGACGTGGTCGAACCGGTGAGGTATTGCTCGCTTGAGCGCATACGCCTTGAGTTGGTGCGGTCAGGGGCTGGAGCTTCGATAATGACACGCCGCGTGGGATACCGACCCGCCCTCCGAGATGATGAACCGAGGTAATGTTGGGTGCGGAGTGTGAGGAGGAGTCATCGTCTTCTTGTATGCTTTCGTCGATGGAGCTGGCTGAGAGTGAACGATACATCGCAAACGATGGTCTCACTGCAGTCGCCTCGTCGAACGAGCGGCGGCCAGGATAAACGGCGCCAGCGAGGACATTTCTGGAAAGCGCCTCCAGGCTCGACGAAGCGTAGGCCGCCTCCGAGCTCAGCCGTTTTGAGGATCTTCGATTGCTGCGAGCATCGGAATGCAGCTGAGGATGGATGTTCGTTGCGTCGTCTTCTTCAACAACGCTTAAAAAGTCGACCGCCGATTCTGCCCCACGTCGAAGGCTGTACAGCGGGTGGGGTCCGGGAGTGCCTCGGTCCTTATCGCCACTGGCAGCAGAGAGTCGTGGTCGGTCGCTGAACGTGACGGAAGGTCCGCGTGAGTCATTCCTACTCTCGAGGGATGGTTGACTGGCCCTTGTGAAGTCTTCGGTGAATCGCGAAACCGGCACTTCAAGCGAGCTTTTGGGTCCACCAGCACTCGCGCTCGGGGGTGGGATGCTCTTGGGCCTCAACTGACGACCGCGCGCATTGATCTCAAAGGCGATGATCGCCGAAGGACTTGCCGAAGCTGTCGAGCTTTGCCACGAGCCGGCCTTAAGTTGATCCACGGAATTGGATCGCAGAGAGTTAATCTCAGCATCGGAGATCGAGCGTGTGTATCGATGGGCGAGACGATGCGCCGACGCTGCGGTGTCTTGCGGTGCAGCTGTCAGCTTGGCAAGCGCTTCGGCAACAGCTACATCGCGATGTGCGTCAGCCGAGGTTGCTGGCGACGAATCCGAAATATCGAGTGAGAAACGCGAGTGCAGTGACGTGCCGGCTAGGGCTGAGCTCGTAGATGCTTTGGACGAGACGGATGTTTGTGCGCAGCTAGTAGGGGCTTTGATCGGAAACGGGGAGACGGTCACCTCGCAGAGCTGTTGTAAAGAGGGATTGAAGATGGAACGCAGTTCAGGAGATGACCTCGAGAAGCTAGCTGACCGTTCGCGATAGTCGTCGAGCGCTTCTGTTCGATGTGGCAAGTCACCGTGCAGATTTTGCTCCTTGGGCTTGACGACGGCTAATCCCCAGGATGTTCACACCCAATCAGCATCGAAATTCGGCTCAGCGTAGACCGGATAAGCGACGATAATATCACCCTACCTAAAGCGTCCGATTGATTCCGAATGTTCTCCTTGCCAGACGCGGGTTGATGAGATCGCCGAGTGACTGCTTTACTGGCCCGCGTTCCCGAGTTCATGGAAGCACGACGAGAGACTCCGTTGAGGGACGACGAGATGCGTGTGGAGACGGAGGAAAGTATTGATAGAGCCCTAGTCTTTTTTGAAGAGGCGGTCGAAGTTGTCCGGGCCCGGCTAGTGGATTCGTCCGCGCCACTTGATCCGCCCGCAGCGACAGAGACGTCCGGTGTGAACGAAGCTGACCCGAACATCATGCTGGGTATGAGCACGGCAGACACAAGCCTGGAGCCCCTTCGTGGAGCGGGAGTACAGTATTTGATCGATGTTTGGTGAAGAAACAACGAGAACGAAAATCAGGCAGCGCAGCAATTTATTGACAAGAACACAGATCGGCGGGCTTGATGGGCAGAGAAGGCCCCTGCGGGGAGCCGTGCGATCCAGCGCCGTGCCCGGGCGTCGTCTGTCAACGCGACACCACGAGCTCGAGGTCGAATGCTGGCCTGTGAACTGCAGGATTGGTTGTAATACGCCAAGGTCACCGCTCGAAGAAATGGGTTGTCAAGATACAATGAAAGAGTTTCCCAAGTGTACCGAGTGCACCTATCTCCGGAGTGCGTTGCTTGATCGGCTTGTCGAGTCTTGGATCCGGAGTTGTCCGAGTCCTCCGGATGGTGGCACCGTGCAGTTTGATGACCAGTTGAAGCACGAGTTCCGGTCCAGGGCAGTTGGCGAAAAGAGTCGAGGCAGAAGACTGCCGAATTTGGGTGTGGGTGAAGAAGAAGGACAGGTAGTACAGCCACACGGCTACTGAGAAGTAGCGTGAAACAGGTCTTGTGACGCGGGTGGTCCGACGAGTGAAGCCAGGGACGAACTTGAAGGAGCGATAGCGGGGGCGACGTTCGTCAAACCAGTCGGCGCTAAGGTTAAGGTCCACGCGCCGCCGCCGAAAACCGAGGAGCAATTCGGCACCTTCCAGAAATTGGCGTCTTCATTAAAGGCGAACACTGTTATAACAGAAGCAACCATTTGAAAGTCCACCAACCGGACGCACGGGACGCGCGGCGATCATCGATCAACGGTTCCGGGTCGCACAAGTGATTTGGAGCCAAAAGAAGTCTACGTGTACTTCCTTCGCGATAACCGATTGGCCTGCATCGGGCTGTTTATTTTGAGTTTTCCGAATTCCATTGAGATCGCCGCGCCTGTTGGTGAATCACAGCAATCCATTGTCCGTCGGCGGCGCTCTCGGACAGGTCAAAAGAAAGTGAACGGCTCCCTCTTGGAACCTCCCGACCGCCGAGACCTTTCGGCACCGGCAGACGAACTTATGCATCACGTGAAGGCGCTTGGCCTCAGTGAGTGCACCCGATGGCTCCCTGCTGTCGCAAATCGAGTAAATGGACCCATATAAGCTGTGCGATCGGGAATTTAGGTCGTCACAGGACGTTCCCAACCTAGTCGCGGGCTGATTTTCCTATCTGTCGTTGCACCTCGAGCTGCGAGCAAGGGGCGACGAGAACGGGTCTCGACTGATCTTGGCAGTGGCAATAGACTAGGCCTCGGATCGCTATTCCCTGCGAGGAAACGAGGTTGCCTGATGTGAGGATAGGGCTGGCAACAGAGACTCCACCTGACCTATTCCAGAGTCGAAAGGCATGCGAGACTGACCAGGAGGTGATGTGCATGCCATTGTGTCCGTGCGCAGGAGTGCTTTGTGCCAGTCGGGCCATTACTTCATCCTGAGAAGCCCACACCACATGGTGTGTCGCTGCTACACCTAGCAAAAAGTTGTCCTATATGAATATCACGAAGCATTTTCTGAGAAGGGTAGGCCTTTCCTGTCATATCCTCTAGCTACCCGCGGCCTCCGAGTCGGCGCCAGCCTGCCAGTGGCAGAGGGGTCGACTGAACCCGGCTAGCCAGCGCAACTCAGCAATGCCGAGGCTCAGTGAGAGTCGCGCAGGGATCAATCACCCACTGATGTTCATTCTCCCTCAGGATTGACCAAAATGCTAGAGGGACTGCTTCGAGCCTCTGGTGTACTTTGAACTCATCAAGTCGACTCGCTCCTCTGCATGGCACCCACTGCAAACCCCCCGGATGAACCGACTCGCGACGGGTAATTGCAGTAGTCACTAGTCAGCAGTGACTTGATCACAATTAGAACGACCTAGTTATGAACTTTGGGCTTCTATCTAGAGAGCAAGGTCGGATCAAGCTGTTCCACCCTACCGAACAGTGAACACCGGCCGCCGATCGGCCGAACTCGACGCGCTCGCGCTCGGACCCACCAAGGCGATGGGCCTTCGTCGCGCCCTCCTCCGACACGTTTCTGCTCTACATCCTTCACTCTGGCCAGCCTCGGCGCGCCCATTCGTCCCCACTGACACCACTCTCTTCCAGTTGGACAAAAGTGAGTCAATATGTCGACGACTCGTCTGCAAGCCCCATGTCGCTGACTGTGCTACTCCGTCATCCTGCGCGTCGGCGGTCGTGCGGTGGCAGTGTCGGGCTTCAGCAGCAGATTCAAGGACCTCAAGTCGTCGATCGACACAAGCAAGTTCAAAGACATCGCCTCGTCGGTCGAAAAGCTGACGTCATCCATGGAGAAAATGGTGAGTGCGCGACACCGCAACGACAGCTCGTGGACGTGCTCGGGCTCGTGCTCACGCTCACGCTCATTGCAATGCTGTTGCACTTCTCAGCCTGGCCGATTGGAACGCCTTGGGGAATCGGTCAGGTGTAGGTTCATACGAGCTCTTGCTTATACTTGAAACCTGCGTACTGATCCCTCCTCGTCACTCGATAGTCGCCTACAACCCCAACCATCGACACGACGAGGAACACGAGGTCAGTGATCCGTCGATCGTTAAAGTCGGCTTCGGGACGTTTCACTTGGCGAACCGACGACCTTTGGACGCGAAGGCTGAGATTGACACGCGCCGTGTGGCATCCGTGATTCCGGACAGCGAGAAGAGGATCGTATCAGGGCCGAGATCTGTGCAGCACATCGATTCGGGTCGTTTGCGGCAGTCAGCAACGATAACCTCGTCAAGTGGTATATCGATGGCCACGACTTCTGTGAGTTTCACGATCGAGTTCTCCGCGGGCGGGATGCTGATCCGAACCGCTTTTCGCTGACTCGACGCTTTGTTGGTTTTGTGATTGTGGCGCTCTATCGCACCTCGAAATAGTTCATACCGTTTCAGAGATCCTTGAGGGTGCACAGGATTCTATCTTCATTGTCGATTGGTGGCTCTCTCCCGAGCTCCACCTCAGGAGACCGCCGGCCGAGAACGACGACTGGCGAATCGACCGCCTCTTGCGGAGGAAAGCCCAGGCCGGGGTGCGAATCTTCATTATCGTCTATAAAGAAGTCACGCAGTCGATGGCGCTGAGCAGTGCGCATACGATGCATTATCTCATGGACTTGCACGAGAATATTTCTGTGATGCGCCATCCGGATCACTTGGGAGGTGAAATGTGTGAGTCTACGCGAGCTCAAAGCACCGGCGTCAGTAACGAAGTGTAAAGTGATGGTGACTCGACCTCTCGCTGTCGTACAGCCCTAATTTATTCGCACCACGAGAAAATCATCGTTGTCGATGCAGCCATTGTGCGTCCTTTTCAACAACGGAAACCAAGGGACTGCCACCCTAACCTGACCCGCAACGATTTGTCCGACCCCGAACCCAGGCGACGATCGGAGGACTCGACTTGTGTTTCGGACGCTACGACACCAACGCGTACCCCCTTGCGGATGTGCACCTCACAGACTTCAAACGCACGCTTTTCGCTGGCCAAGACTACAACAACGCTCGTATCCAGGATTTTGCCCAGGTCGATCATTGGCTGTCGAACTCGGTCTCTCGTCTCGACACGGCCCGTATGCCCTGGCACGATTGTCACTCATGCCTCGTTGGACCGGCCGTACTCGATGTCGCGCAGCATTTCATCGAGCGATGGAATTTCATCCGCGATCTTAAGTACTCCAAGAACAAGCGATACGCCATGCTCTCGTTCCCACACGTGATCGTCGAGGGGCAAGAACCCGAACCCGCGATCGTTCGACACCCCCACATGGAACGCTTCAAGCGGTTCGGCGAGAATATCGTGCGCAACCCCATCACCCCTGATGCGGAGGCCACGGCCGCGTTGAATATGCGTGTGCAAGTGCTCAGATCCTCGGCGGATTGGTCCCATGGTATTCTGCCCGAATCGTCAATTCAAACTGCATATCTCCAAATGATTGCTGAAGCCAACAACTCGTGAGTGGCTCTCATGGTGAATGCCTGATGCACAGGCTAAGCTGACCATAATTCTCTGCTCCCGAACCTGACAGGATTCACATTGAGAATCAATTCTTCATCACTTCGACGACGGATAAAGGCCCGATCAAGAACCTGATCGGCAAAGCCCTCGTCGAGCGAATCCTCAGTGCTGCGCGCTCCGGCCGCAAGTTCAAGGTCACGGTCATCATCCCCTCGATCCCCGGTTTCGCCGGCGACCTCAACGGCAACTCAGGTCTGCTCGCAATCATGCACTCGCAGTACAGCTCGATCTGTCGCGGTGGTAACTCGATCATGGAGCTCATCGCCAAGGAGGGCTTTGATCCGCACGAGTACATTGGTTTCTACGCTTTGCGTGTGTACGATCGCTTGCCTGACGCCGAACGTGTCAAGCAGATGGAACAACGATCCGGCGTCGACTTCAACACGGCCCAGGCGGCTTTGGCACGCATCTTCATGGGCCGTGAGCCACCCAAAGATGAGCTGAGGGACAACCAAGAACTGTCGTTCGCGCCTGCCGAGGAAGGTGGTGAGGTCAAGGCGCTGGACCCGAGGGAGAAGAAGAAGCCCGAGACCGGTCCCCCTGTCGACAAGAGGCCGTTGCCCCAGTCGTACCAAGAGGCGTTGGAGACGATTCAGCAGTTCGAGCAAGGAGACGTCGTACGTGAAGAGCTTGCAGATTCGATTTCGCACCACGTCTTCCAGGGGACCGGTTCGTTGCTCGACGAGCCCTGGTTCGGTACGGAGGAGAGCGAACGCAAGGCCTACGTCTCGGAACTGGTCTACTCGCATCTCAAGCTCATGATCGTCGACGATCGTCGAGTCATCATGGGTTCGGCCAACATCAACGAACGCTCGATGCGCGGCGATCGAGATTCGGAGATCGCGATCGTCATAGAGGACACGGATATGATCCCTTCGCGCATGGATGGGCAACCTTACATGGCCGCTCGGTTTGCCGCGACGTTGCGTCGTCGATTGTGGCGCCAACACCTCGGATTGGCCGAGCCGACGTTGTTCCCCAAGGACAGCGCGGCTACACCCGAGACCGTCACTGCGGCGATGTTACCTCCCGATGTTCCACACGACGACGAGACCGAATCTACCGAGGATGCGCTCGTTGCGGACCCCTTGAGCGGCGAGACGATCGCTCTGTGGCAGGGCACCGCAAAACGCAACGCCGAGATCTTTGAAGAGGTATTCCACTGCGTCCCTTCGGACCGAGTCCACACGTGGAACGAGTACAAGGCGTTCGTCCCTCAAGCACCGGTTAAACCAGGCCATGTCGCGGATCCCAACATGTCCGCGCACGAGATCAAAACCAAGTTGGATCAGGTCAGGGGACATCTGGTGCCCTTACCTTTGGAGTTCCTTGATCAGGAAAAGTTGTTGGCAATGGATGCGGCGGTGAATCCGATGACGCTCGACATTTATGTCTGAGTTTTCGAGCGGGTTGTACATAGCGTGGATGCTATCTGTGCTTGAAGTGTCTGTCCCTAGCTTCTCTGTCCAATGACCGTATATAAAGGCAGTCGGAACTTGCAATTTGCAATTGCACGTACATATATCCTCGAAAGTATTACAACATGATCTCTTGCGACAATCCACTCTTTTCACGGGGTCTTTTGGGCCATATCGATCTGGACGCCTGCCGTCACAAGGGTCGAATCGATCAGACGTGAACTCAAAAGGATGAGCGTACCTACTGAGAGGAAACCCACCCGAGGCCATCTGGGACATGGCACCCCCTTGCCGTTCCTGACGATGGCGTTCGCGCTTCTTCTTGTCGTTGCTTCGTTTGGAGGAGATGAAATACGGGAGAGCGACTTGAGGAAAGAGAAGACCGGATCAGAGTGGATGCTAGTACCAGAGAGCGCGGAGAGTGAGTACTGACGGGCCAATACAGCGGCGAAACTGAGCAGCGTACCCTCTGCGAATCAGGGCAAGCCAGTTGTAGAGACGGAAGAGGCTACAACAGACCAATGACACGCTGGACTGACTGGGTGTGGATCTTGCGGCGGGGACTCTCGATGGTTCGCGAGGGATAGACTGCGAGGCGGATCGGACATCTCGCGCTCTCCGGGTGGAGCTGAATGACCGGGGACGATCTCTCGCCGTGGCCACGATAATTGGGTTACGGAAAGGACGGGTGGCTCTGATTGGAACCGACATGGCTGCGGAGGCGTGTGGTTGTCAGGAGCTGAACCTTGGCGGAAGAATCTCGGACGCTGAACCGTTGCGCGAGAACCCGACTCGATCACCGATGGCGCGCCGTAGCCCTCCTTATATAATTAGCGTGCCGTTGTTGCCTGCCGGTCCGCCCCTCGGTCTCCCCCACATCGCCGGCGGCTTTTATGCCCAAGCGCTCATGGCGGAGCAGGGCAGTCTGGCAGAGCGTGGCGGGCTATGGCGCGCACTCGTCCGGCCGCGCGTCGCTGCCTCAGGCTGCCTCAGGCGCTCAGGCTCGCTCAGGCTGTTGCCGATCGGATCATCGCACGGTATACGTAACCACTCGGAGTCGCTCGATCGACTGCGCCTCATACAGCGCGTTCGCTCGCTCGACAACGATGCAAATCCCACGCAGCCGTCCTCTGCGAGTGCTCGTCATCGGCGCTGGTCCAGCCGGGCTGACGACATGCAAGACGTTGCTGCACTTCCCCTCCGACTCGGCCGCCGATCGCGACTCGGAGCGAGTGTTCGACCCCGTCATCGTAGAGGCCGATGACAAGCTTGGCGGCACGTTCGCCCAGAGGAGTTATGAGAACGGCACGCTCGTGTCGAGCAAGCAGTTGACCAGCTTCACCGATTGTCAGTCCACACGCGCTCCGTTGCATGGGTCTATCGGCAGTGTGGGCGATCTGATCCCACCGCGGTCCGCGCCCACACCGCCGTGATCATGAATGCATGAGCACCGAGCTCACCCTCGTTTCTTCTCGCCAGACCGCTTTCCCTTGGCACAACACGACCACGTCGCCATGGATGAATACGTCGCCTACCTCAAACGTTACGTCGATCGCTTCGGCCTCGCCTCCACCTCGGGTCACGCGTGGCAGGGCTCCGTGTTTGAACACAAGTCGAGGTTGCGACTCAACACGAGGGTCCTCAGGATGGACAAGGATGGCAAAGGCGGCCACGATGTTACGATTCGGGATGCAGATGGTGAGCTGGATAGCGAGCGGGTTCTGGAGCCGAGAGCCGGAGAATTTTGCTTGCTAAGTTTGCTCTCCGTCACTTCGGACACAGGCAAGGAGACCATCGTCAACGTGCAAGCGGTCGCAGTGTGCACAGGGCTCCACGTTCTTCCCGCCGTTCCGACCATCCCAGGCCTCCCCCAGAACCTCGTTCCGCAATCACCCCCCATCACGACCCCTTCCTCCCTCCCAATCCACCCACCCACAAGCGACTACCCCAAGTCCTCGCAGCGTGAGGGCGTCCGGGTCATCCATTCCTCGCAATACAAGTCCCAATCCGAGTTCAAGGACCGCAAAGTTCTCATCCTCGGAGTTGGAGAGACTTCGATGGATCTTTCATACGCCGCTATTCAAGGGGGTGCGACTGAGGTCACCGTTGCCCATCGGGGAGGGTTCCTCAGTTTTCCTAAAGTTCTCAATGACTTTAGTGTCTTTGGATTCAAGTTTGAAGGCAACCTGCCTATCGATGGTCTGGTCAGTTTGCACGAGTCGCAGAAACTTGTGGGCGCATCGATGCTCACTCTCATTCCTTTTCGACGTCCCTGCTAGATTACGAATCGTAGGTACTGAACCCCGACTATCGCATAAGAATATCCCGTGAACTAACTGATACCCTGTTCTTTCGCACCCGCTACTGACCACCAGTGTTTGAAGTCAGTGTGATTCAGCTTCTCACCCCAGGAATCGCGTTCCGACGCTGACTCCTTGACCTCGCACGCAGACGGCCTATGTACACCCCTGGATCGCCTCCTCCCGCATGCGCTGGCACATCTCGGACTTTTTCGTGAAGCGAGTCATGGCGTTCCTCACAGGTACCTCGGCCGGATGTGGGCAATGGGTCGGCTCCTTGCCTCCTTCTCGACACGGCCGTGCTTTTGTCTTCTTGAAGTGAGACCAATTGAACCTTCGTAGCTTGAGCGCATTTCCAAAGCTGATCACCGCATCCTAAACACCACTGCAGCAAAAGCTCGAAAGCGATGCCTTACATCAACCGACCTCACAAACCGCGTTTCCGCATCTTGGCCAACATCCTACGCACCGATTACCTCGATCCTCAACTCCCCGACACGCCGTGCAAAGAAATCGAACTCGCCATGTGGCCTTCCCACATCGACGAAACAGGCAGAGTGCACTTCACTCCTGCCCGGGACTTACCCCAATCGAATGGGATTGAAAGGATCGAGGAGAAGAGGATGAAGGGGAAGGTCATTCGACCTGATTTGGTCGTGTTTTGTTCGGGGTATAGGCAGGATTGGAGCTGGTTGGGGGAGGGGTATCCTAAGGGACCGGGAGAGGTCGATGTGAGGGAGATCGCGGATAGTCATGATCTCACTGTTGGGTGGATCGGCTTTGTTCGAGTAAGTCATTCGATCCTGTGTGATTACGAGTCTGGGTTAGCTGAAGATGTGATCGCCGAACCTCGACTTCCGCAGCCCGGTGTGGGTGCGATTCCTTGCATTGCCGAGCAGCAAGCGATGCTTTGGTCCCTTTTACTCGCGCAGAAGGTCCCCGTTCCTACCACAGAACCTCACTACCGGTTATTAGCGAGCAAGACGGCCCGAATTCAATATGGGTCAGGGTATTAAACTTACGTTCGGCGCGGGAGGGGTTGTGCTGATCTTTGGTCTATCGTCGGCCCGACCTTACGCAGTGTCGATCATTCGGCCTACATGTCGACCCTGGCCAAGGACATGGGTGCCGCACCTTCGTTGCTCGAGCTTTACAACAAGTACGGATGTCACGTCACGCTCTGCTATGCGTAAGTCCCTCATTCAACTCGTTTTTGCGCTGCACGAATGCTCACAAACCACGCATCTCACACGTGACGCAGGTTCGGCGCCGCCTTCGGCCCCTTCTATCGACTCGTCGGACCTTTCGCAGCTCCTGAACAAATGCGAGAAGTCGTGACGACCGAGATTTGGGAAACCATCACCCGTCGAGGCTTGTTGGGCAACTTGTTCATGGGGGTGGTGAGCCCACTCCACTGATGATTTGAAGTCCTAGGGAGCTTGCTCGACTGACTGTATGGCTGCTTTCCAACTAGATTCCTATGATATTTTATGGCATCGTCAATTCACTTGCGTTTGCGGTGGAGTTGATTTGGATTGGGTTGGGGAAACCTTTGGTTGATGAGAATGGGCATAGGAGGAAGAACGGCTCGATGAAGGGCGAGATGGCGAATGGGAGGGTCAAGGCGATGTGAAGGGGGTATGACGATTGTTTATGTTCCTATAGGGGTTTTTATCGGCGGAACGAGGATCTGTATCTATTCTTCGACAAGCTCGTATCTCCTTTGCGGATTATTCCTGCTACCCAGATGTGGGTAGATGGATCGAGATCAAACGCTGGATCTATCGAAACCATACCCATTTCATATTCCTGAAGTTCCTAGAGAGACTTATTGTTGTTGTGGTTTGTACGTAAAGAAAACAGAAAGAAACGAAACTACTGCCATGCTGCTATATCACACTAGGAGCTGCCCCACCAAGATCCTAGACCTTTTCTCCAACACGTTTTCCTCGACGACACTTCATCTTCGGAGCCCCTTCCGTTCCCTCCTCCTCCTCCTCTTCCTCGTGGCGCTTCAACGGAATCACTGCCTCCGCCCTTACTCCTTTCTCCGAGGGCTTGACCCGTTCTCAATCCAACTCTTCCACCTGAATCTCATCCTCCTCGTCCGAATCGGCATCCCCATCAATATCCATCTTGAGCGGTTCGTGGTTGCCCAACACGACGATCCGGCTGGCCTGCGCATCGAACTCGACCCTTGCGATCTCTCCATCGCGAATCGATTCATCAATGATGAGTTTCGAAAGCGGGTTCAACAGCTCGGTCTGAATAGCGCGATTCAAAGGTCGAGCACCGTACGAAGGGTGATAACCGATCGAACCGAGGAAGTCCAATGCCGCGGGTGAGATTTGTAGAGTGATGTCGCGACCGTTGGTGCGTAGTCGTTTTTGGACTTCGGCGATGCGGATGTCGACGATCGAGCGGACTTGGTCCTTCGAGAGGCGGGCGAAGATGATGGTCGAGTCGATGCGGTTGATGAACTCGGGTGGAAAGTGGGCCCGAATCGCCCCTTGGACGAGCTCTTGGGTCGCAGGGGGGATGGTGTCCGCTTCGGGAAGGTCGGAGAGGTAGGCGGCACCCAGGTTCGAAGTCATGATGATGACGGCATTCCTGAACGAGACGACGCGTCCCTGAGAGTCCGTCAAGCGCTGTGAGCGGATGTGCAAGGGGAAGCGAAGTCAGTACATGCGCTGAAGAATGAATCATGGCGCGAAAACGACTCACCCCATCGTCAAGGACCTGAAGAAGCAAGAGAATGGCTTCGCGCGACGCCTTTTCGATTTCGTCGATGAGAATGACGCAGTACGGTCGACGCCTAACGTACTCGGTCAAAGTACCTCCTTCCTCGTGACCGACATAGCCAGGTGGAGATCCAATCAAGCGCGAGATGGAATGCTTCTCGCTGTATTCGGATCCGTCGATTCGGATCATCGCGTCGGGCGAGTCGAACAAGAAGCGTGCCAGAGCCTTGGACAGGAGCGTCTTGCCCGTTCCCGAAGGACCGACGAACAGGAACGAGGCAATCGGTCGTTCTTGATTCGAGAGACCGGATCGAGAAAGGCGAATGGCGTTGGCGACTGCGGCGACGGCGTCATTCTGCCCCACGACCTCTTTGCGCAGGATCGACTCCATCTTCATCAGCTTCGCCTTTTCGGTGAGACGCAGCTGCTGCAGAGGAATGCCGCTCCATTGCGACACCACCGCTTGAACGTGTTCCGGCAGCACGACGTCGCCGGCGAGCATCTCAACCCCCGATGCCCTGGCCTGAGCATCCTCCTCCTTCTTCTGGGTCTCGAGGCTTGCCAAACGAGTTTGCAGGTCAGGAATCGCGTAGTGACGAAGATCGGCGGCTGTTGCAAGGTCATAGCGTCGTTCGGCGTCCGCGGCCTTGGCTTGGAGCTCGTCAATTTTGCGCTTGATGGTATTGATCTCTTCGCCCTTGCTCCGTTCAGCGGACAGACGTGCCATGATGGGCTTGAGTTGATCGTCGAGGTGTGCCACTTGCTGTTGGAGTTCGGAGATCTTGGCCTTCGCAACTTCGTCGTTCTTGTTCTTGGAAAGCTCATTGCGGATTGCGTGCAATTCGATTTCGAGTTGCAGTTTGGCGCGTTCAATCTGTGGGAAGGTCGAGGTTAGCATCTGGTGTGCACATTGAGCACGACGCTTCGGACTGGACTCACCTTATCAACCTCCTCTGGTACAGATTCGCGAGCGACGCGAACGGCGGAGGCCGCCTCGTCGATGAGGTCGATGGCGGCATCGGGTAGCTTTCGTGAGGTGAGGTAACGATGGGCGAGCGTGGCGGCCGAGATGAGCGTCGCATCGGCGATGCTGACCTCGTGGTGCAGCTCGTACTTTTCCTTGATACCTCGCAGGATCGAAATCGTTTCCGGGACCGACGGCTCGTTGACTGCGGTAGGAAGCAAAGAAGGCCAAAAGGTCAGTGAAAGTTCGAAACACTTTACTAGGCCAATCAGACTTACCTTGCACGGTCTGGAATCGCCGTTCGAAAGCGGCATCTTTCTCGATGTATTTGCGGTACTCGGAAAGAGTGGTCGCACCAATGCAGCGGATCTTGCCTCGACTGAGCGAGGGCTTGAGAATGTTGGCGGCGTCCAGCCCACCGCCCGAGGCTCCTTGACCGGCCATGAGCAGATGCATCTGTCATCGTATAAAGGAGAGGAGATAGTCAGTTTCGATAGAAGGAGGTCAGCCTAGCTCGTGGTGAACTCACCTCATCGATAAAGAGAATGACGGGCGCTTCAGACTTTTCAACCTCGGTGATGACGGACGTGAGTCGCTCTTCGAATTGACCCTTGTACGAAGCACCAGCGGTCAAAGCACCAACGTCGAGCGCCCACAATCGACCGAGCAAGGACGGTGGAACATCGCGATTCGTAATTCGTTGGGCCAACCCTTCCGCGACGGCAGTCTTGCCGACACCGGGCTCACCGATCAGGACGGCGTTGTTCTTGGTCCGCCTCGAGAGGATGCGGATGCAGCGTCGGATCTCGTTGTCTCGTCCAATGACAGGGTCGAGCCGACCTTGCTCAGCTTCGGCGGTGAGATCGCGAGCGTACTTGGACAGTGCTTCGAAGCCGTCCTCGGCGCCTCGCGAGTTGACCTGCTTGCCGCCTCGAACTTGATCGGCGGCCTTCTTGACGGCCTCAACGTTAGAACCGGCCTCCTTGAGCATGTTGGTGATGGCCGAGTCCTGTACGAGCGCGAGGATGAGGTGGTCCTGGGCGACAAAGGTGTCGTTCTTCTCCTTGGCGATCTTGTTGGCGGTGGTGATGACCTTGCCCATCCCGGGCGAGAGCGAGACATCATCGGGTGCGGGCTCTTGTGCGGGAAGGCGTACGATGAATTTGGCCAGGGACCGTGCAAAGACTTCGGGTTGTGCGCCAGCCTGGGAGAAAGAAGCAAATGGAAGAAATGGTCAGTTGTGGCTCACGAGGTGGGGTGGTGAAGGTGGAGGCGGGGGAAACTTGCCTTGTTGAGAATGGAGTGGAACAAGGTCTGTCCTGGTTGAGCTCCCTCTGCTGTCGAAGGCGTCAGCAGGGCCGAGGCGAGATGGGCTGGGGCGACCTATGTGGAAGAGGAGACGAGGTCAGCTCGTGTCCGGTTGACGTCACGAATGCAGCGATGGTCGTTCTGGGGGAAGAGTGACTGCCTGCAGCTTACCTGTGAGTTGGAATGCTCCTTGGCGAGGGAGAGAGCAGCCTCGAGTGACCTCTGAGCGGCTTCGGTAAAGTTATTGGCAGAGGCCATGATGGTTGTCGTTCGGGGGCCTGTTTCGTCAAGTGGGGGCGGTGGTAGGAAGCTGAGTGAGGTGTGTGGTGCTAGATGAGGATGCTTGGGCGTGGGGTACCTTTGGATGCACCTAGTTCTTGTGCAAGTATGTGTCGCGCGGTGTGCGTATACGTGCGTGTATGTGTGTGTGTGTGTGGTGAGGAGAGGGAGAAAGGCAAGAAGGAGCCACGCGCGCGTCTCGCACCACCACCCTCGGCCAGCCTCGGCCTCGGGCGTCGGCGGGTCGGGGCAAGGAACGTCCGAGAATCCTCTCGAACATGCTCGAAGAATAAGAATCGGGGCCGCTCCACAGTCGACTGCATTCCTCGTGGATGTAGAATGGAAGCATTTCCACCAGATGATATCACTATTCCCAGCAACGTCGGAGCAATTTTTTTTTCGACGGGCCAAGGGCATACTATCATTAGTACACTGGCGGGTGTCGCACCACTGCAGTGGCTGCCAAAATCATGATAGATCGATATCATGATCAGCCCGACTCGCACCCAAGGCGGTCCGAGCGCAAGGCTCCCCCTCTCAACCTCATCGCTCCGAATCCGTCCTCATGGCCAGCACAAGCACGCGCACGCGCACGCGCACGACAATGTCACCACCAGAACAAGAGCGAGTCAAGATCTACGTTTCGAACCAACGTGGCTACATCTGGGATGTACGAGGTACGACATGGGACACCCCCACTCTTCGAGTCTTCGCAGGCACCGCCGGGATCACAAGCTGACTGGACCCGCCCGTCCCAGCAGACTTGCAAACCCTTCGAGTGAATCATCATATCTGTGGTGTGCTTTCCGGCACTCTGCCCCAGGTCGGACAACAAAACGTGTTTCTAGGGATTCCGTTGCTGCTGCTGCCGGACGAGATCGTCTTGCTCGTTCGCACCAGTCAGTTCTCGCCCTGTTGCCACGACCGGAATCACGAGACAGAATTCAACTCATACCCCGCTTTCATCAGACCTTGCTGTCCTCATCGACGACCGAGCAGCGCATCACCCCCCAACGACCGAACAAGCGACCCACTACGACTCCCAACGCCAATCTGCGATCCAAGCCCAGCAGAAACACATCCGTCACTTCGAGCAAGAGAAGAAACTCAAGATGGCCCACCTCTTCAAAGACAAGATTGAGAAGAAGCGTTTGCTCAAATTAGAGAAGAATCAACACGTCGAGACACGAGCGAATGATGAGGAAGGCGCGTCTGCAGAGACAGAGGCAGAAACAAGGGTTTGGCAACTCAATGTCCCCGACTTGGAACCGAATGGGAGATCGAAGTCACCCGTCGCGTCGACATCGTCGGCACCTACAAGAGAAGCCGACGAGGACCTCAGCGGTGTGCCGTATACGATCATGATTCAGGGCTCCTCGACCGACGCACCCTGGCACGATCCTGCTTCGGCGTCGTATTCGACTCTGGAAGCTGCCAAAGAGGCTGGCGTGTGGGATTACCCGACGAATCAGCTGCAACAGAGTCGGTCCAAGGTTTTTGAGGACCTGTGGAGGAAAGGTCATTTCATGGGAGGTGGATTGAGGTTTGGCGGCGATTTCTTGGTTTACCCCGGTTCGTTCTTCTCGAAAAGATTTCAGTACGACGCGGTTTGGAAAGCCAACCGAGACGTTTGTCATTATCTCCCTAGGCGACCCCTTACGATACCATTCGCATTTCACCTTAACCGTGCTCTCTTCGTTGGACCAAAAGATCATGCCATTGGATCTCATCTCGTACGGTCGACTGGCGACGGCGGTGAAAAAGGCTCACCTCTTGGCCAGCTGGGACGAGAAAGAGGACAAAGTCGAGTATTTCTCGTTGGAATGGGCTGCAATGGGCTAGGACGTTGCAGGCGAAACTACTGAGGAGCCGATGCTCGTCAGGGTCGCATTCGCATTTCTCTGCCGTTCGCGAGTTTCGGCGGTTGAGTTTGCCGACCGAATCCCGTGACTACCCGGATCATCTCTGCCTGAAGATTGATTATCGTATTATCGTTCGATCGTTGATACCTGATATTCATTATGTCTTCACCTTGTTGTAAAAAGTGTGCACCACAAAGAGTTCGTGCTGCTGGCTGAGCTCGGACCCGCCTGACTTGGGCCCGATTCGACGCGAGGGCGACGAGTCAAGCGGTGGTCTCCGGGTGGTGCCTTCGCTTTTACCCCATACAAATCTATACAAATCCTCCCCAGCAGTCCCCAGCGGTCTATCGCCCTTGGCACCTCGACCGTCACTCTTTACTTGGCGTTTTGATCGGTCAGCTTATCGGCCACTCCACTCATTACACCCGACTTGCAAGGGTCCCCCTTCGTCGTTCTCGGACCAAGTCGGACGTCGGCCGTCGGACGGTCGGTCGGGGTACGGCTCACCACTCGCACTCGCGTGCACTCGCGTGACACTGGACGCAGTCGACGGGCCACGGCGGTGATTGGCACGTGAACACGTCCTCAGCAGAGCCACGTGCTCTCGCGTGGTCCCCCCAATGGGAACATGGCCCACTTTGCTGATCCGACCACAACCACCAGCGATCCGACCGGCTCGAGCTCGTGCTTATGGGCACATGTTTCTGAGCGAGCCGGGACGACTGGGAGCTTCGCCGGCGCGACGTCGGGTACGAGTGGTGCTCGCACGGCGGCAGCGCCATCAGCACTCGCCTCCAACTCGAACCGGTCAATCGGGACCAGCAATACAGCAGCAGCAGCAACGAACCCACCGGCTTCGCACCCGATCCCACCCAACCCTACCTCCCCCAACTTTGTCATCTCATGGTCCAGGGAATCCAAACTACCCTTGTTCCCCCTACCACCCGCATCGGCTTTCATAGGTCAGTTTTCCCGAGTTCCCCATCCCAATCCCCATCGCGAGCTGCTCCTTCCGGGCTACGTCGGATCACTGACGCCTCCTCCCTGGGTTCGTCGTTTTCAGCTGGAGCCGCTGCGGGTGCTGCATCAAGAACGGTCGTATCCCCCTTGGAACGGTTAAAGGTACGTATGGCATGCACTCACTCGCTCGAACGTTGTCGACCGAACAGAACTGGGGGGCTCAAATTCGGCGAGCTGATCGTCGCGAAACCCCTCCCCCCCGGCTACCCCACAGATCATTTTACAAGTCCAAGGTACAAGAGGAGAGTACCAAGGCATCATTCCTAGTTTGGCCAAGATGTGGAAGGAGGAAGGCTTCAAAGGTTCGTGATGTCTGCGCCCAGGGACGAACCTCGTCAGCAGTTTCTAACTCTTCTGTTGTGCCGCCTTCGCAGGGTACATGAAAGGGAACGGCATCAACTGTCTCCGCATCATGCCCTATTCAGCCGTCCAGTTCTCGTCTTACGAACTCGTCAAAGGATTCCTCGCATCAAATGGAAGCGAAATCGATACGCCTCGTCGCCTACTCGCCGGCTCACTCGCCGGGATCGCCTCGGTCGTCTCGACCTATCCACTCGACCTCGTTCGATCACGTCTATCCATCGAATCGGCCTCGTTGGGGCTGTCGTCGGACTCACCGAGAAAGAGCACAGGAATATGGAAGATGACGGTCAGAGTATTTCGGGAGGAGAACGGTTTCAAAGGCCTCTATCGAGGGTTGACCCCCACAGCCGCCGGTGTAGCCCCTTACGTGGCGATCAATTTCGCCGCTTACGAATCCTTCAAGATATACCTCTCCAACGCCGAAGGACATCCACCGGGGACAGTGGAGAAATTGTGTTGCGGGGCCTTGGCGGGGAGCATCTCGCAGACGTTGACGTACCCTTTGGATGTGTTGAGGAGGAGGATGCAGGTTGTTGGAGTGAAGGGCCTGGGCTATGAGTATTCTGGGGCTTGGAATGCGGTATTTACGATTATCAGGAAGGAGGGGCTCAAGGGGTTGTACAAGGGTGAGTTTTGCGGGAGTCATTATACGAGATTCAGGCTTGCGCGAAGTGTGCTGATGGAGCTACGTTCCCTCACTGATGGACCAAACGCAGGTATTATTCCGTGAGTGACACGTCCAGTGAAGAACGCATATAATATTTACTGACCGTCTCAATTATCTCGCCGTGCAGTAACCTACTCAAGGTCGGCCCGTCGATAGGGACCAGTTTCGCCGTCTACGAAGCCACCAGGGATGCGATCGACCATTGGCGGGATCCTGAACCCGAGGATGGTCATGATGAGGAGTGAGGTCATTCAAAGGACTTTTCTTCGTCCCCACATGCCGTGCACCACTCGATAGACGCTCCCCTCGTCCGCTAGCAGTCAATATGTCCCCATCTCGGCCCTTCTTTCGCACCATCTCTCTTGTTTTGTTCATGAAAATTTCTCTAGATTTTGCGCAAGGAACACTTTTGATGTTTTGTACTGAATAGAATTTACGTGTATGCTATACAGTTCGTAAGCCGAATGCCACTCGACGCACCCAAACTCCAATTCGATCACGTGATGTTGGCGATCGCCCTCGAGATCGACAGATTGGCTTGGCGGGGATCTTCTCTTTGATTGCCAATGGGAAGTACTTCCAGACGCACTACTTCAGGCGTCCCAGTCTGTTTTTCTTGAACACAGGAAGCAGAAACTCTTTGTCGAAAAAAGATCAAGTCCTACGTAGAAACGCTGGTTCAAAGTCCTTTTGAGCCCCCGTTCGGCGCTAGCCTCGCTCGGACCCGCTTCCGCGGCCGAGGGGATCTAATCAGGCTTGATACAAAAAAAAAAGAAGACAGCTCCGCGCCTCGGGAGTCGGATGGAACTGGATGGAAACGATCGGATCCAGCCAAGTTGGGCGTCGACCTAGCTTTTGATTGGTTCTCCTCCATCTTCCCCAGAATCAGTCATCACCGCTGTCGACGCGCACACACAACGGGACCGTACTCCCTAACTTGAAGCTTCAAGCCGCTGCGCCTCGCGTCCGACGGAAGTCATTGATTGGCCCGTCGCGACGCGCGGCTGAGCGGGGTAATATTCGCACCCGCACCAGCCCGCACCCGCGAGCTGCTGCGAGTCTCTCAACCGTGAACACTGCAGCTCAACTCGGACTCGAACTTGCTCCACAGTCCACACGCATTGTCACGCCGCCGCTTCCCCCACTCCGACCAAGCCACCATGAGCAGTGGGGCGAACCCTCCCAACTCGTCGTCGTCCTCATCGGGAACGAACGTGTTTGGCTCGTTGCCCAAGGCCGGTTTCCTGCGCCGCGGATCGAACAAGCTCGCTCTCAAAACTCCGACGCCCTCGCTTCATCAGGCCGAGAGCGAGCAGGCGGGACCGTTAGCGAATGGTTCGTATCGCTTCGAGTCGAGCAAGCATCCGACCCTGACCTTGACCAACGAGAATGAGGATTCCCTTTACGGGATCAACCCCGTCAGTCCACCGTGGACGCTCCTCGGCGACGATGACGTGCAGTGAGCTCAGGGCCCTCCCTCGGCTGTTCGCTGACCCAACGACAACTCCGCATACACGCAGCTCACGAGCATCGCCCATTCCAACTCGTCCGGATCGCTCGCACCTTTTGGCGACTCTCGAGCCGTGTCCGTCGTGTCATCCTCAATCGTTGAACATAACCCCACTCGAAGAGGGTCGATCGTATCGAATGCATCGTCATCGCTGCAGCCGAACGGCGGATTGGCCCACGCGTTCGGGGGTGCAGCTCCCGGCGGCTCGTCGACGAGCGCTCATTTACGCAACCCGAATCGCAACTCCTTATCCTCCTTCGCCTCATCGTCCGGTGGTAGTCCAAGAGGGACAGCATCCCTTTTCTCCAACTCGACGACAATCGGCGATCTCTCCACCGCGTCGATGCCGCTCCTCCCTCAAGGTGGAGCGCCACCTCTGAACCACTCCAACCGCACCGCCAACTCGTTCCTGACGGGATCTCAATCGTCCTTCCCAGGTCGACGCGATTCAATCTCAGCCACCTCGGATTCATCGTCGGTTCATTCCTACCCGCCTCGGCCACGAACGGGAGCGTCCTCGGAATCCGATCATGCGCGATCGAGCTTTGGGCAGTGGCCATCAACGAATTCGATCGACCTAGGGCCAAATGATCGAATACGTCACACAAGCTCATCCGATACATGGTCCAATGGATCCTCGTTGTACAACCCAGTCGTCGGAAGAAGAGGATCCGTCAACTCTTTAGGTGCGGGAAGCACCTATGGCGGTCATGGGGTGAACAGTTCGGGTTGGCCAGGTGCCTCCTCGTCGAGTAAAATTCACTCACCTCCGTCCATCATCAACTATGCGCTTAGTTCGAATAGGGCCACAGTACCCTCGAACTCTCAATCCTCTTACATCAACCCGCTCGCACCTCTGAGGAAACGATTAGCGAGAGCTTTGGCCTTCCCTCGCCGAGGGAACGGGTTCGAGGTTCAACTCGTGCTCGAACTGATCGACGCGTTGGAACATTGCGTCGAAGAAGGATCACGACGACGGAGGCTTTCCTTCCCTACTCTGAACCTTGTCGGTATCGAGACCGAGATCGCTCCACACGAGACCGTAATTGTCGATTCTGACGATCTCGAACAGGCCGACAACGACTCCACCGACACTCCAACAACAGGGACGACAACGACCCCACCGGCCCTTTCGACGTCCCTCGAAGCCTTGTTCGAAGAGGTGCAAGTCCTGATCAAGGAACTGGTCGAGATCGCCCCCGATGCGAGGAAATGTCTCGTCGCGGGGAGGTATGGACCTTTATCTCTTCCCGCAGGCGCTTCGACGGCTTCAAAGTTATCAACATTCGACCCTTCTACACTTGCGAACGCTCTCATCGATCCGGGGACATTGGACTGGTGGCCCCGACGCCTTTCAAGGGACCTTCGAGCTCTCCTAGACGACGTTGGCTTCGCAGCCGTCCTACGTCGAAGGCGCCAAGGAAGTAGACGAGGACTCGACGAGGACGGAACAACTTCGGGAACCTCAGCCTCTTCTCGCCTTGGATTTCGAGGTCGATCGACATTCGGGTTCGACGATCTTCGAGAAACCGGGGAAGAGGATTGGGAGACGGACGAGTCGCTGAATCAGGCTTTGACGGTTGTGGTGGAAAGTTTACAGAACAGACAGGATGGGGCATCGGTCGTAGGGCACAAGAATGGGGTGTGGGAGGGGGAGGGGGCTAATACTCCTGGGCGAATAGGCTTGGGCGTCGGGATGCTCGAACCGGGGTTGGCGGGTGAGGATATTGAACGTAAGGAGAAGCTCCTGGTCGAGGGGCAGAGGAGGTGGGATAGTTGGAAGAGATCGCAAGGGGTGGAATGAGGGTTTCATTGTCGACAGCGGCGGTCGAATCCGGAGACAAGCTGTCATGCGACGTTTGTGTAATATGTCATTGTACAAGTTTGGACTCAAATGATGGTTGATGTGCAATCCTAACGTCTGTCCAAATACTCGAGGGTGTGGCTGTCACTCTAGTAGCAGAAAGCAGCTCGTTTTGTCGCCGACCTCCCGGCAAGAAAGGCTCGTACGACCAGGGGTAAGATTTCACAACAAAAATTCGAGTCATCTTGGCAAGACCATGACTACGAACGGCGGAGGTGGTGGATTTCCAATCGCATCATCTAGGCGATCCCCGCCTCTCGCGGCTCTCAAATCCTCTTCCATCAGCACCTGGGCCGGATCCTTGATCTCGTGCACAGTCGTCTTGGCGACGACCTTCAGTTCACGAGCCCTGCGTGCCGATTCCCTCGGTGCGGAGGGATCGAGACGTGCTTCCCTCTCGTTTAGTTGATCTTCGGGTGCAAGGGGCACGCGTTCGTGGTGGAAGACTCGCATCCTCGGAAGGGCACACGGTCCGACCACAAGGGGTACGACGACCATGTCGAGGGTCCTCTCTTCGTCGGGTGCGAGAACGAGGGACGGGTATTTGCGCGGTCCAGCAAAGGTGAACGTCCCGGGTTCGGCTCCCTCGACGGTGAACGAAAGCGTGGTGACGCGATTGGTCGGGTTAGAGAACTTGTACCGCATTGTTGTCAGCTCGTGGAGACGCAGAGTAGCTGGGAACGAGAGCGTCACAGCCGGCTCGAGCATGACGGGTTCCAATGGTGGCAGAGGAAGAAGAGTTCGGCTGACGGCGGCTGCACTTCTCCGCCGGCGCCAGTACGCCTCGATGAAAGGCGCTGACGATGCATGGGGTGTATGTGAAGACGCCACCTCGAGTTGGAAAAGGCAGTTGAACAGATCACTCGCGTTCCAATCGAGTGAGACATTCTTGTCCAAATGTGTGAGCGACGAATGGACGACCCGAACACCGCCAGTCCGCTGACGAATGTAGCAGAAGCGGTTCAGTCTCCGATCGTGATCATCAGTCTTGCCCCACAAGACTCACCTCCGAAACGAGCTTCAAACTCGTCATCTCCAAATCCCACGGTCCAGCGGCGTGTATGGTCCCTACAACGGTCACATCGCTAGCCGCATCCCATTCGCTCGGCGGTGCCAAATCCAACAAGGGCTTCAGGGCCTTTCGCTCCTGATGGACCATGACTTGGAATGCGCTGCGCAGGGGGGCGACGGCGGGGATGATGATGCTCCGCAGCAGCTCGGTGAAGTTGTTTGAGGGGGGAGCAGGCTCGATGATGCCATTCTCTGGTGCGCTCGGGACCTCAGCCACCGGTGGCGTCTTCAAGCTAGATGCAATGGACCGGACAGACAGATCTAGTAGCCGGTCACCTACTGCGCCGACACATTCGAGGTGCATGGTTTTTCGCAGACGAGTCTTTGGCGTAATGGTACCGAGTGAGATACCTTTGATGAACGAGAGAGACCATTCTTCGTCAACGAGGATGCGGTTGGCTGGAGTTGCGGAACAATGTCCCGTTAGCTTTATGTGCACATCTGAGAGGATTGCGGCGAGAGGGGGACACCTACGAGATTCATCTTCACCCGGTTGCAATAGTATGTCGAGGTAGACATCGATATCAAACTCGTCTTCGTTCACGAATTCGATGTGCACGGGATACACTTCGCCGACGTAGGCTGGTGAGTGATGTTCGATTGAAAAGTCGAGACGAAGCTTGCGCGCCGACACCCTGGGAGAACGTTACGAGTATCAGCGTCCTTGAACTTCACAAGTGGAAAGAGTCGACTTACGAGCATACACCAGACTGAAGATGCGAGAGCGACACCCTTTGCGTGGAGCTGAGAAACCACTCTGCCGAGGTCGTCGGGGGCACTTCTGGCTGGAGGGCAAACGAGAGATCCCATTCGCCAATTTTGGTCTTCAAGACAACGTCAGACACCTAGGACGACCACGACCATCTCTCGTCAGTGACCAGCAAGCCTCGAAAGCCACGTATACAACTCACTGTGAGTTCACATGATTCATTCGCCGTGACCACGCCTTCAAATGTCTTCGTGCTTCCATCTCGCCAACACAGATCAGCTTCCAGGCGAGCATCGCCCTCGTCGAGCAACCGAATGACTTCAGTCGATGATTTTGAGGGAGTCTCCACGCCTGAATGAGAGACAATGATGGGTCCCACGCCGCCGGTGAAGCTGATGACCAACTCGGAGAAGATAAAGGCCGAGGATCTTGAGCTTGTTGGCGCTTCGAGCACGAGCTGGAACGGTGCAGCATCCCGAATGTCGACGGAAGCTCTCCAAAAAGCGAGGCGACAATGAACTGAGAAAGTAGGTGAATGATCAGCCAAATCAAGGCAACACCTGTGCGAATTGGGCTTACACAGAGGAGCTGAGTCGGCGGGTCCGAAGCTGAGCGCCGACTTCCCCGGCGATGCAGGGGCACGTGTCTACGTGGGACCCACATAATCAGCCAACTGAAGCTTTAAGTACAGAGACACCATTCGGCCGTATCTCACCTGCATCATCTCCAAAGCCAAGGCTGAGTACCGATCGCGTTCATCGACCGTGATATGCGACGCTGTGGGAAAGATGCAGAAGCTCAGTACGCAGATCATGTCAATGCGCGGCTGCCCGCCCAGGAACTGACTCGGAGCCATCAACTCCAAGCAACACCGGATCGCGGACTCCCAGTCTCCTATTCGCTGCGCCGAATACAGCGAAAGCTGCAGGATCGAATCGAGCATACCGGACCATCGGTCTTTCCTGTAGTTCTTGGCGATCCGGTCGTTGAATCTAGTTGCGGAACGAAAGGGTCAGCACATTGACTTGGAAGAGTGACCTGAGTCCCGGTGTAAAGGCTTACTTGAGCGCCATCTCGTGGTTCCCAGCTTCATAGTGCGTCAAGGCGATCTGCGAGGCGACGTAGAACGTCATATTCTTCGTCTTGTGGGCTTTGAAGAACTCGTATGCCTTCGTGTACAGCTGTACGCATGAGCGGCTCGTGACATTCGTCAGAGAACAGATTTCAGTGAATGAGGCAAGAATCGTGCGCACCTCAATAATAACATCAGCATGATCCACCTTCGATTCATGCGTTAAGGCCGGCCCCATCGCCAGCGGTGGCGGTCTTTTCCCCCCTTCCGGTATCGGGGCGACGGCACCGGCATCCCGAGCAGCTTCATAAGCCGTTTTCACGGCCTTAAACCGTTCCCAACGTTCGATGGCGCACCCTGCGGCCAAGAAGAAGTAGTGCCCTGGGTGTTGGAGTGCGTTGGATGGCATCATCACCGAAGTAGGTGGTGGGGGAGCACCTGGAGGCAGCACGCGTGAGGATGGTACCGGTCGCAAGAGGGGTAGACGGAACCCGTTTCTGATGCCGATGGCAACGAGGTCGCCAAACAGGCGATATCTAGACGTCGAGGAGCAGAGTTATGAGCCAGACATTTCCAAGGGTGGGCCTAGGGGTGAACGAGCTTACTGCTTCGACTGCCAGCTCCAAAATTCGAAGGTCTTGTCCCCAATGCCCCAAGTATTGCTCAGTTCGCGGAAGGTTGCGACATGCCTGTTCAGCTGAGCAACGGCCAGAGAAGTTTCATTGAGATACATGTGCATCTTGGCCACCTGCTCACGGACGAGTAACGGTCAGCTCTGCAAGTCGAGACAGTAGCGCGACTCTAGCTCACCTTCACACTTGTGCAATCTGCCAACACTTTTGCTTCGGCCCATCGTTTTGTTCGTGGAGGGAGTAATGTGCTGTTTGCAAACATTCCGATCAGAGTATTGTAACAGTCTTCGTAGTGCCTGTGTGGATCCCATCTCAGCTCAAGTCCTGACATCTGTGAGGGCCCTAGCCTGTCTAGGAGACTCACTTGAGAGCAACCTCGGTCTCGCCTCGCATCTCGGAGAAGAAGGCCATTTTGTAGTCGTACCGCACGCTCCAACCCTTGTCGCTCAGACCGCCTTTGGGCATCTGCCTCGCTCGCTTTCTCCGGACCCTCCTCCCATGCTCGCGATAGTAGTCCAATGCGGCGGGGAACAGTTCTTCGCGCAGACTTTGAACAAAATTGGTCACCTCGGCTTGAGGAACGGGCGAGATGACGAATAAGGACGCCCTCGAGTCGAGGCCCGACTGCCTCCGAATGAGCGAGAGCCGTTGATCGAGCGCAGGATCGTCGAGCAATCGTCGAGAGCACAGTAGCACGACGGCAAGCTTGATGCCTCGTTCGCTTGTAAGTCGTTTGCGGTCCAGGATCTCTTTGACGAGCTCCGTATCGTGGGGACGCTCCTCGTCGTCCTTGGCCTTGGCAGCATCGAGGGGGCCAGCGTCTTGGGCATAATCGTATTCGTGAATGCGCAGTACGAGGATAAAGACGGCGGGGATCATCTCGCGGTGCTTTCGGATCCATATCGGAGCCATGATGCCGTCGGGAAACAAGGGAGACGAAGGGGACAGCGGTGAGATGGGCGAATGCAGCGGAGGGATCGGTGTGCCCGGAGGTACCGAGACCGGTCGAGCCTTGATGGGAGGAAAACGAACGTTCTGTACAAACACAAGCGAACAGATCCGAGTTCAATCATATGCAGGGCAATCAGAATGCACTTTGACGTTTATCGCAACTGACCTTGTCGACCAATACGGCGTGAAAGTCGTGATGAGCTCCCCGAGTGTTGTCCCAGATTCCCCAGCCCTTCCTTGCCTGAAACGCCTTCCTCAACGACGCCACGAGCCTCACAAACGGATCTGACGATGCTAAAGATGTTTCGTCTCCATTCGAAAGTGATGGTGAGGCCACCGAGGGTGCAGTGGATCCTGCGACGCCATTCGTTGGCGGGGCAGCTGCGGCTGACGGTCCCGGTGGATGGGTCGGAGCAGTCGCTGGTACGGCCGGTCCCAGTCCAGCAGCGAATAGCAGCGGATGAAGATGGCTGATGAACTCGCTCGGGTATGTATCCACTGCGCGGTGGACGGGACGGCGAACGTCATACGGAGGGCCAGCCGGGGCACATGGTGGGTCGGGCACGTCAGCAGCGCACACTTGACCGGTACACGAGTGGTCACAGTCACTCACTGTCGGAGGTGCGCACAGTGCGATCGATAGATGTGACTCAGTCGACCGCGTCGTCTGCCGATCTGGATGGCGCGTAGGCAGCCTCAGTCGACCGCGGTCGAACTGGCGTGGATGTGGGGTAAGCGAAGCCAGCAGGCAGCATACAGCGCCGCTGCTGGGGCCCACCCCCGAGCTCGCCTCCAGCTAGCTTCAGCTGCCTCCAGCTGCCTCCAGTGCAGTTTGTCTTTCGAACAGCTCGATCGGTCATTCCGGTGGGAACTCTCCCGCACACCACAGCAAGTGGTAGAAATCAGTGTGCCAGGTGGTACGAGGAGTTGTGAGAGTGTGAATTCCGATGTTCAGGGGCAGGATCTGAGCAGCGAGCACATCGGGAGGAGATGGGTGAACGAGTGTCTTGGGGTGACCATGCAGGAGAGTACAAGAGCAAGAAAGGAGCAAAAGACGAGAAACCAGTAGTTAAAGAAAACTACTCCCCAGAATTCTGTTTTCAAATGAGGCTGAAGAAAATTGTCGGCAGAGAGGGCACTGGCCAAGAGGACAAACCGGACAAACTGGACAGAGGTAGGCGCGAACCATGAAGTGAAGCCCCAGACGAACCCAAGAAAAAGGGGGTTATAGATATCTACCGAAAGTGGGAAAGCGAAAAGACCCGAGAAAGTGGACGAGAACGCGAAAACAAACGCGGGGAGAGTGAGAAGGGGAATTCGCCACGGGCTTATGGGAGAGAGGAAGGAGAAACTTGCGAGCTGACGAACGACCGAGCGAACAGATGCGTGTGTGCGAACCAACAACGAAGGGAACCGAAAGGACAGGCTTATGCGACGGCGACGGACTGATTCGCGCCATCCTCGAGCATGAGACCCGACGAGTGAGGCATCGCCGAGGTGTCGAAACCGTCGTGGCCTGCGCCGACCGAAGGCGAGCCTACGCCTGGCAGTGGAGCTTGCTGAGGGTGGTAGTGGTGGTGGTGATGGTGCCGAACGCGACTTTGCGTCGACGGGTACGAACGAGGCAGTCCACCGCACCGATCCTTGCCGAAGCTGATCTTGATCCCGGCGTACTCGGGGTTCGCCTTGATGCCCTCGATGGCCTTGATGGCGTTGGCGATGTTGGTGAAGTTGACAAAGCAGCATTGCTTCTCACGCAAAAAGTTGACGAGCTCAATATCGCCGTACTCGCCAAAGTCCTTCCGCAGTCGCTCCTCAGAGAAGCGCTCAAAGTCCTCGATATTGCCGACGTAGACGTTGCGCGATCCACCCGACTGCACGACCATGGCGATTCCAGGCGGCGTCGTCCCCGAGTTCTTGCCCCAGCCGATCTTAAGGCGACGGTTGTGCAGAGCGAGGCCCTGGTACGACGCATGCTGGTAGAATGCGAGTGCGCACTGCGGCTCGACAAAGGTGATGAAGCAAATGTGCTTCTCGGGGATGTAGCGCACTTGTTGCAGGATGCCTCCCCGGATCGTGTTGCAGATTTCCTCCGTCGTCGAATCGGGGTGGATGTTGCCGAGGTAGATGGTGCGGTTGCCAGGGACGCCGTTGGGGTCACTGCCTAGCGTTTGAGAGCCAACACCATCGGGGAAGTGAGGCGAGCCAAAGGCACTGTACATACCATAGTTGGCCGCCATCTGGCCCATAGCTGCGGCTGCGAGGTTATGCTGCGCCTGTTGTTGTTGACTCCTCGGAACGTACGCCGTGCGATCCTTGCCGAAAGAGACTCGCTTACCCGCGTACTCGGGCTCGGCGATCAAAGCCTGGATGACCTTGATGGCGGTACCGATCGACAGGAAATGGACAAAGGCGATATTCTTGTCACGGACGATCTTGACCTGGTCGATGGGGCCGAACCGCGACAGGTCGTCGCGCAGGCTCTCCTCCGTTGTCGACTCGTCGAGGTTGCCGAGGTAGACGTTCCTGGTCGCACCAGATTGCTGCACCGCCTGAGCAACGATGGCCGGGACGACAGTAGGCTTGCCCCATCCGATTCTGAGGTCATTCTCGTGAAGTCGCAGCTTACGCAAGACAGCGTCCGAGTGAAATGCGGCGGCGGTGAGTTGGTCGAGGAAGGAGATGAATGCGCAGCTTTTCTCGGGAATGATCTTGACGGCCTCGATGGGGCCAAACCGAATGAGGCTGAGCAGTTCGTCGACCGAAGCATCCGAGGGCAAATTTCCGACATAGACCGTACGTCCCTTTGGGCTCAGGCGAAACGAGGCACGTCAGCTTTGCGGATCATAGGGTCGGAGATTCGATGAATATTTCGGGCAGGACACTTACTGTTGGCGTAGGGTTGAGATTGCTGTGGCCCAGACTGGCGAGGTTGTTGGCCGTAGGCATCATCGGGAAGTTGTTAGGCTGGCCCGAGTTGAAGCCGCCCTGGTTCGCAATGGGAGCGCCAAGCTGAGGCGAGGTCATGCTCATCATCGGCGACATCATCCCCATCATCGAGGGCGAGCCGTAGCCATTCAAGCCAGTCGCGTTGAAGCCAGGCTGGCCATTGTTCGGCGTTGGCCCGTTCGCATGGGCCGGCGATCCGAACGTGGCATAGGGGCTAGTCGACTGCGCCACACCTCGGCGGTTTTGATTCTGCTGCTGCTGCGGTGTAGAGTGGCCCTCGAACGTTGCCTGACCGGGTTGGCCGAGGAAGGGGCTCGAGAAGCCGTTCGACGAGAGTGCAGGAGACCCACCAAAGCTGCCGACTTGTGGTGGCGGTGGAAGAGTCGCGGCACCGAAGAATGGCGAAGCTGGACCGAAAGCGCCCAACGGCTGCTGCTGCATCTCGGGCACGTTGGGCGAAATGAACGACGCCGCGGCACCGCCAAAGCCACCAGGACCGTAGTTGGAAGGATCATTCGCGTTGATGGGTCCACCAGTCATCGCATCGTTCATCATCATTGAGCCGGGTATGCTGCTGGCGCGACCTCCGCCGTTCATGAGCATCGCCTGCGACGGAGAACTCTGCAGCGACGCGGATCCAGATCCGAGCACGATGTCACCACCGGGCGTCGGCGCATTGGTCGCGAAGCGCATCTTGTCGACACTGGCGTCAAAGTCCTGCTTGAGAGCTTGTGGATCGATGGGCATCTTTATTGTTGTCGAAGTAGATAGGGGTAACGAGAGTGAGGAAAGACTGGCTGCGATGGGTTTCGAGATGGTTCTGAAGCTGGAGCTAGAGCCCGAAGTCGAGGCAGCAGCGGCAGCGGCGAATGAAGGGTAGATGGCCGGCTGAATCACCTCGGTGATGGACATGCAACAAGCAATGCAACACGGTCAAAACAAACGAGGACCGACACCGACGGAGCTTGAGGTTCGGAACAACAGGGTGGTGCACAGGAAAGGAGTGGGTCCGAAGGCGGAGTAAACTGCTTCTTCCCAATTGAGTTTGGAGGTTTCGCCGCGTCGACAACGGAGGAGGCACGGAAGGGAAGCGACGTTGGGCGTGGGGATCGAAGGGTGTGAGTGAGGTGCTGATACCGAAGACGACAGAACGGAGTGGACAAGGATATGGTTGAAGACGTGAACGCGTTGATGGAGTCAATCGTACGGTACGAGACAGCCGGCGTAAAGGCGATTTACCCTGGGGCGGTGTTGACTGAGGAAGCACGGAGCACGCGGCGCGACGTGCGTACTAATAGGCGGGCTGTGAATGTGAGAAGGCGGAGTGAGCCATGATTACATTCGCAACGATCACTCAAGCCCACTAGTAAGTACCATCTTACCCTTAGCACCAGAAGCAGCGGGTACAGTAGCTGGTGTACGATGCTGGATACACGAACGATGTGCTTCGGAACAGCACACTCACCAGAAACGTCGCGCGAGAAATGGATTCGGCCTTCTGAGCGCGTTGACGAGAGGAAAGGAGGCGCGGTGCGGCCGAGGGGAGGCGGAGGGTCGGATGCGGGAGGACGAAAAAAGCGGGCGCGAAGAAAGGCGCTGCGAGCCGCACGCTGAGAAGAGGAGAGGGTGGGGAGCCTAGGAGGGTCTGAGCAGTTGAGGAGGTGCCAGGACAGGGCAGGGATGCGATGGGGAAGCGATCAAATCGAAAAGAAAATGAGGTCGAATCGAACCAAATGCAGGGCCGGCGACGGGAGGCGACCGGCGGTAAATCATCCCGAGAGGCGTAAACAGGTCGCGACGCGCACCGAATTGTCAATCAGGGCCATGAAAGACGTGGCCGTCGGAAGAATTCGACCGCCGGAGCAGAAAAGGTAATACAGACAAGTAGGGAGAGCAATGTCGTAACATAGCTAAGGTCAGCAACCCGGCCACGATATCTGAGGTCCTTGATGAGATCAAGTTGACGTCACGAAACTCGCTCGCTCCGAACTTCAAGCTGAGGCGCCAACGTCCGAATCTGAGCCTGCTCCGACAGCGAAACGGTGGATGTAGCCGGCGCTGTCGCACTCACCTTGACAAGGAGCTGCTCGAGACGAAACCGAACGCGAAGGCGACTTGCGAGTTTGAAAGGGAAGCAAAGGCGAAAGGGGCGCAACCTTACGAAAGTGACAAGGTGGCACAGAGAAAGAACAACTCCCGTGAACGGATAAGCAACTAATGAAAGGCTGAATCCGCGCACGCAGGTGAACCGTCGAAAGCGAACAGAAGGCGTGCGAGAGGGAGGGGTGGGGTAACGAACATGGCAGAGCATCTAACGGAAAAAAGGGCACCTCCCTCTCATTACCGCCTCCGGGACCGGTTCTACCTATCTCCCCCCGCCCACGGACACGCACACAGACACAGCATGACAGCTGCAAAGCGAGCTAGTCACGAATTGCGCTGAGACTTCCGGGTCTGTCTGCGCCCCCAACGTCGAACTTCCACGCCTAAAGATGAGGTCAGCCGGCCTGGGTCGCGCTTTGACCTCACAGAGTCGGGCGCACAAGCGATGCTCACGACTGCACGGCCACGGCTTGCACACAGTCAGGAGACAGTCGATGCTCACAATGCGTTGGGTCGCGACGCGTTTCCCATCGGGAATCAAGCAACCCCGGATGAGGTGCGCTGCTCCAGCTGGACATTTCCGGTCCCGACGGGTCCAGGGACGGTGAAATCGGTGAATTCGCAATCGAAACCTCACCGAATGCGACGGGAATGAGGGCTTAGGGATGTGGGTATGCGATATACTCAATTGGGCCGAGATATAGGGGGAAACTACGGCCATTGCAAGCGGTCTTTGCCCCATCACTAAGGTGTCGCGCGCCCGGTCCAGCTGCCGAAGGATGACGATCCCGAGTCGGAAAGGCCCCTGTCAGTTCGGTCACTAGCGCGCTAAAAAGACGCCGAGTTTACGACGCGGACTTACCGCGGGTACAAGGAGCAATCACGGACGGTGTATCGGTTGCACAGCCAGGCGAGCAGTCGCTATGAGACGGATGTACCGGCGGCAATGGGTAATCAGCCGACGGGCCAAGAGAATCCATTTCCGCTCGGACCAATGTGGACTGGAGACTTACTTCAAGACCGAGGCCATAACCTCCATGGGGGGACGTGCCGTACTTGCGCTGGTCGGTGTACCAGTAGCTATTGTCTCGGAGAACGATTGTTGGTGTCGCCATGCACAGGAGAGATGGCGGTTTTCAGGCGCGGACACGGTCAGTGGGGGCTGATCAGAATCAGAAAAAGCCATTGGGAAGAGCCGGGACTGACTAGGGGGCGGGATCAATCCCCTCGTGCTTGAGGGCGCTCATCAGCTCTTCAAGATTGTCCATCCTCATCGAGCCACCGACGATCTCTCCGACGTTGGGCATGAGCAAGTCGACGGATTCGGTGTACCCCTCGTCGCCCTTGATGCGCTGCATATAGAACGACTTGATCTCCTTCGGAAACCCGACGAGGAAGATGGGCTTGCCGATCTGATCTGTCATCTTGCGCTCGGCGGCTTCGGCAATGTCGTCGCCGACTTGATGCGGGCCATCAACACCGTCAGGGCCGGGTCGGAAGATGTTGTGATCGTTGAGGTACTTGATCGCGTCGCGGTAGTCCATGCGCATGAAGGGACGCTGCGGCGCCTGGAACGACTCGCCGGCAGGCCAGAGCGAATCGATCATGGCCTTCAACTTGGGGTCGGCCAAGACTCGGTCGACGGTTTGGCAGATCTGTGGTGTGTTCCGAAGGCGGATGAGAGAAATTGTCGGTCAGCACTATTGCTGCTCGACGGATTGCATTCACGCAAGAGGGGTGGGAACTGACCACCTCCTCGAGATGATCCAGGAGTTCGTTGAAAGTGAGGAACGCCAGCTCGGCCTCGACGTGGGTGTATTCACTCAAGTGTCGTCGAGTGTGGCTCTTCTCGGCACGAAAGGACTCGGCGACGCAGAAGACGTCACCCAGACTGGGCAAGCACGTCTCGAGGTAGAGTTGCGAACTCTGGGTCAGGTAAGCCGGTGCTCCGTAGTAGTCGAAGCTGAATAAGGTCGAGCCGCCTTCGACTTGGGTTTGGACCATGCACGGGGGTGTGACCTCAAGCAGACCCAAGTTGGCGTACGAGTCGCGGAACGATTGCAAGAGAGCGGCTCGGACCTTGAGCACAGTCGACGCCGTTTCACCTCGGAGCACGAGGTGACGAGCATCGGCGAGCAGACTCGGGTCTCGGTCCTGGAAATAGGAGTTTGAAGTGGAATTATGAGCTTGCTGTGGCCACGTTGCTGGACATGCAAATCCAGACTCACCTCGGAAACCTTGTTGAGGAAGGCCTCGTCGCCTCCAGGGGCTTTGCCGACGACGGAGAACCAGTCGGGCGTCAACTCGTGGTTGTCAGGAGCGGTCTTGCCCGCCGGAAGCTCGTTGATGGTGCCCGTGATTTCGATTGTCGATTCCAAGGTGAGCGTCAACGCATCGTAGGTCAAGGGCTGTGGATGCCGAAAGAGTCGGAGGGAGAAATTGAGTCGACAGCCACACGGATCGAGTCAAGACCGTTGAACCCAAATAATTCTAGTCCCTCGTAGCTCTCTGCGGCCACTTACCAACTTTCCGGTCAATACGCATTGGAGGTAGCCTGTACCGTCCCTGAGCACGATAAAGATCATGGCACCCTGCTGGCGCAGTCGGTGGACCCAACCGAATATTCGGACGCGCTCTCCGCGCTTGGCGATGGCAGACCTGATCTTGATCTTGGTTGCGGCGGTGGTCGGTTGCTCAATGACGATAGCACGAGCATCGTCGAGCTTCTTTTGCTCGGCCGCGCGCTTGGCCGCTCCCTCGAGCTCGTCCTTCTTCCTGAGCTCCTCCTGGCGAGCGAGCTTGGTCTGGTGTTGGAGGTAGAGCTTCTTGGCCTTCTTGATCGCCGAGGCGGTGACGGGTTCGTAGGTCGGTTCGGTCACACTTTCCTTGGTCTGACGGGTCAGCGCGGCGACGTTGTCCCCCCTGGCGATATAGGTTCCGAGCAAGGTCTTGAAAGGGGCGCGGGTCGATCCGTCACCGGTCGAGTCGTCGCCGGCGGCCTCGTCGATGTGGACCGCGGCTGTGAGGTGATGAATGCGAACACCACCTCAAGTTCAGCCACTGCCTCGAGCAAAGTACTGCGCCCTACGAGCAGGCCATACGGCTGGTGCGGTGGGAGGGAACTCACACGTCGAGTCAAGTGAGACGGCGGCGGTGGCCTGCGAGAGCGCGTCGACGATCTGGTCCTTGCCCTTTTGCAGCAGTTCAGCCATGCTAGATGGGTTCCCTGGGTAGATTGGGTGTGAAATGAGGTGAGGATGCTAAGAAGCGGGTTCCGGAACTTCGTGGCGAAGGGAGGGGAGAAGGAGAAGGAGGAAAGACTCACAACACCCCCACCCACGCTCGGCCGACCTTGTGCAAGCTCTCCGTGCGCAGCCAGGCTAGGCCAGGCTCAGCCATGCTCAGCCGCTCAGCCGCTCAGCCGTTTTTGGCACGGGCTGGCACGCGGGAGCTGACGGCTGCTGACGGGAGCTGACGCGCTGACGGGAGCGCGCGAAGTCGTCAGAGTGCACTTGCGAGCCGACAGGAATCCGTTTTGACTCTGACCTCTCATCCTCGGCCTGACTCGATTTAACCACGGGGCAGCAGACTCGCTCTCGACTCGAACCAAACTCCGCACCTTGGCGCATAGACGACCAAGGCTCCTCACACGCCCCTCCTCGAGGTTTGATCGTGAGAGTGACTTTTCCTCCGCGCGCTCTCTCGTCGCACCTCCGTTCCCTTCAACCGAGCGACCGTCTACCCACAACATGCAAGCTACACTTCGTACCGCCTTCAAGAGGCTGCAGATTAGCTCGTCCAGTGCGATTGCCTCGACCTCGTCCACGAGCATGATCATGCCGCGCTGCAGATCGTTGGCCACCGTCGTTAGCTCGTCCTACGACGCCCCTACGATCCGCCAACCCCAACGACCGACCTCAACAGTGCTCAATACTGCGACCGTGTCCAAGAAGAAGAACAAGAATCCTTACGTTGTCCCGCCCAAGGTCCGACAACCGCCCGCACCGCGCTACTCGAAGCACTCATCCCGCGTGAAGGGTCGCACCCCGCTCAAGGTGCGCAAGTCGTTGAACCCGACCCGGGATGGTGTCGAGTTCGCCGAACAGGGCGAGGTCAAGATCTACCTCCCGAGCGTCTTCATCCGCCTGGTGCGCAACACAGGCGCGCACGCCAACGATCCTTACACCGCGACCTTCCGCACCGATCTGCGGTTGTCCAAACCGGACATCTCAAACTACCTGCGCAACGTCTACGGCCTGACTATCACCTCGTTGCGCACGATCAATTATCTGTCCAAGATGAAGCGCAACCCGATCGGCGGCGGCTACTCGAGGGGCGGCGGGGCCAAGAATTACAAGAAGGTGATCGTCACCATGACCGAGCCCTTTTGGTACCCCGAGGAACGCAGCCGCGCGTGGTTGAACGAGCACTTTGAGCGCGACCGAATGGAAGAGATGAGGGATCGCAAAATGCTCAAGATCGGTGACGGGCAAAAGTACGGCGTTTCGTCGCCGAGGTACCGCGGTGCGTCGCGCTCCAAGGCGGAACTCGAGAAGCTCAAGAAGCTCGTCGACGAAGGTGGGGCCAATGCGGAGGATTTGGAGACGCCGGGCGATGGTCGATCGGCGGACAGGTTACCGACAGGCTTGAAGATCAGGAAGAACGTCATGAAGAGTCGCGAGGAGAGGAAGAGCGACAAGGCCAGTCTGGTCGAGCAAGAGATGGAGAGATTACGCGCCGCGGGATGGTAGGTAGTCAGTTAACCGAATGTGTTGCAACTTGTATACTCTTGGGACTTTTGGACCCAAGTAATTGAAAACTTCCGAGCTGGTCCGCCGGAGAGAGCCAGGATGCCCGTTATTTGCTGCTGAACGTGATTCAGGGGCCTGTGCTGAATTCCGCTCGGGCCGCTGGGTGAACGACCGACGACGACTGTGGTCAGTGTCTAGTGCCAGCGAGCCTGGTTCCCTTTGTCCTCTGTCCTGCCCATCACCCACCACCATCCCTTCCACTTGAACTACCGTACGATCGTAATCGTTTTTTCCCCCGGCTCGACTTGACTCGTTCGTCCATCCCATCCGCACGAAGCGACGCCGAGGCTGAGGCGGTCCAAGCACGGCCGGCCCGAATTCGTCGGGGAAACGTGAGTTTTGGCAGCCTCGAACGGGGTTGCTCCATAGTATCGAGCTCTGACCTCATGTTTCTCAGTCTAGGCCGAGATTTTTGTTTTGTTTTGAGAACATGGTCGTAAGTCACGGTTCACGGTGTGGTGGTGAGGCCGGCGGGCTTCGTCTTGGCTCGAAAAGCGCCGCGCCACTTCGGCTGCTACGTCGAGTTTTCTACCTCCTTTCCTCCTCATCCAACTGGGTCTCATCGACTCGGGACATCAATGACTTGACTCGCTGTGTCTCTACTTGCATTCCTTTTTGACAGCAAACGCCTCTTCGCGACAATCGTGCTGCAGCTGCTACACCTGTGAGTCCCCTCCCGAGTGACAGTGTTGCTTCTCTTCTTTCGCCCCCACCCCCACTGCCACCAGCAGCGCCGCGTCGTGGGCTCGTGGATGGGTTGGCGAAACACGCGCTCGAGGTCACGCGCTCACGCGCCGCGCCGCTCCAGTTCATTGATCTCGTTTACCGACACCACCACCACCACCCCCCGAGCCTCACCCAGAGGCGAAACGCACCTCTATGCCGTCTCAAAATCGAACCAGATCTTGTGCCTAATCACAACTTCTCGCCTCACGCCCTTGTGCGCCTACAGAACCGTCGCAGCGCAGCCGAGCTGATGGACCAAATCGCCAACCTGTTTGCGACGTATTCGTCCGCGTCCGATGAGCCCCATGACGGCGCCGAGGTCGATCCGATGCAAAGGACGATACCCCTCGCGGTCCTACCCCAACTGATCGATACCTTCGAGGAACAACGTGGCACGGTCTTATTGCAGGAGGATGAGAAGGACAAGCTGAGGGCATTCGCGGCGCAGATGCCGGAGCAACGCGTCGGCGTCGACATGCTCATCTCGTTCATCGCTGCTTCCGCCGCCAACGCTTCGACGACACCGGCAGACGATGGCACGAACGACGGACACCACAGCGACAACGTTACTTCTGCGACCGAAGCCCAGCTCGATTTGGACAGCGGTGACAATGCACCTCGACCGAGCTCACCCACTTCGTCAGCCGTCGCCCTCGGTTTGCTCCAGCCGGATCCGTTCGACTCGATCGCCGATGGCAGTCCTGCACCTCGACGCAGAGCCGATTCGACCCGCACCCAGTCCGATACCCCATCACTGCCCAGCTCGCCCCTCAATCGATCCGTGATCAAGAAGAAGCGCTCCTTCCTTGCTGGCAAACTGTCGTTCGGCGCCTCTCCCGCTCGCTCATCGACTCCGAGTGGACTTGACGTCTCAAGAGCCTCGGCGGCAACGTTAACGGCGCAGCAGCATGATTTAGCCGATTTGGTCGCGTCAAGAGGTGGGACATACCTCGGTGTACCTCTCGATGGAGCGGTTGGGTCGCTCGACGTCAGTGGCAAAGTCGAATCGATCCGGACGGCGATTCGCTCACAGGCCATCGTCAGTCATGCTCCGTCCTAGTTGGAACTCATCAGTTCGAGATCAGTAGCTCATTCATGTCTCGTATCACGCAGGGCCGGGACAAGGAGCTGGCAACAACATTGTCCAGCTTGACCTGGCCGCAGATCAGAGCGATCGACCGAGCTTATGAGAAAAAGTTCGGCGCCACCCTGCTGGACTACGTATCGACCTCAAAAGGGCTCAAGGGGGAGCGTAAGTTCGGGCCTCGTTCCAAAGGACTCGATTCGGAGCTGACCCTAGTTGGTGTCAACCGAACTTGCAGTCGAGTACGCCTTGCGAGGTTTGATCATGGGACCACTCAACTTTGACGTTCATCTGCTCAGTCGGGCCCTGGAGGGTAGTACCACCAACACCGTCAGTTTGCAGCACAGCCTCATGCTACCCTCGCACGCTTTGCTTATGGCATTCATTATGTATCTCAGTCCCTGCTCATCGATCTACTAGTGGCTCGACCACCTTCGGATGTCGCTTTGCTCCGAGCCGCGTACCGTTTTCGCTCTTCGGCCGCCAACGCGATACCGGCGACAACGGCTTCGATCGGATCTCGACACAAGACGCTCGATGCTGCGGTCTTGGCCTCGGCGACGTCCAACACCAAGCTCAAGAAGGCGTGGGAGATCGTCCTCCAGGCCAAATGGGAGGATACCGACGAAGAGGGCAACAGCGTCCTTAGCCCCGAGCAACGCAAGGAACTGCTCAACAACGACCTCGACATGCTCAAAGTCGGCTTGCGTAAGGGGGGCAATAGCGATTTCGTAACCAAGATTATTCTTGCGCGCTCACCGGCGCATGTCCATGCTCTGGCACTTGAGTACCGGAGTCATCCCCAGTCGTTGTCGCAGTCGATCAAGCAGGTTTACTCAACGGCTGCACCTGCCCTCGCAAAGCTCCTGCTTCACGCCGTTGAGAATGGCAAGAACGATGATGAAGGCCCAGGGGTGTGGCGCGATGCAAAGTCGCTCGAAGCGGCGATCAAGGGGCCCGGCGCAAGGAACGACATGTTCGCCTGGCGCCTCGTTCGACTGCATTGGAATCGACCGAGATTTGCGCTCGTGCAAAAGGCGTACACCAAGAAGTACAAGAAGCCCTTGCTAGAACGTGTGCTCGCCGAGACGACGCCGGCTTCGGCGTTCCGAGATGCCGTCCGAGGCGTCATCAATTCTGCCTCGCTTGCTGAACCGGCGTTGACGGCTGAGGACGAGCGACGACTTGCGGCCCTGGCTTCGAAGCACAACTCGAATTCGCTACCGGAGGACGTCAGCAAGGCTCTGGGAGGGGCCGAGTCATCTGGTGCCAGCTCATCTTCACCGACCGAACTGGAAGGCACTGGTGAGTTGTCGAATCCGCCTTCCCCCCGTGCCAACTCGCCCGAAGCAGAGCGAATCTTAAGTCCCGACGGAGCCTTGTCGCGCTCGTCCTCACCCACCGCCCCGCGCGGTTTCAAAATCCCACCTTCGGCGTCCGAGCCTATCCTGAGTCTGGTGGCAGAAGGCCACTCGACCTCTTCCCTTTCGTACATTCAACGCACGACCCCACTCGAGCCCTTGGGACATCGACCCGGTTCGTCTGCTCGAGGAAGCCTCGACAGCTCGACTAATTCGGTCCGGCATGCTCGACCCATCGCTCCCTCGCGTCGTCGTCGGCCCAGTGAGGATCTCAACAAGAGCACATCGTCTTCAGGTTCTCTGGAAGCTAGGAGCCCTGATGAATCAGGTCTTCGATCCGGATCCTTGAGCCCCGCCTCCTTCGCTCGCAGTCCGACCCCGACGACGATGTTGGAAGGAGCCTCCTTCGTCCGTTCGAGGAATCGCAGCTCGACGCCAACGGATGGGTCCGAACGACCTTCGAGTCGACGCTCCTCGACCACACCGAGCGAACGGCCTCTATCCCCTTCGATGACTTCCCCTCCCGTCTCGACGATCGACACGACGAGCTACTACTCGGCTCCGATCTCATCGATCAGGCACGAAGACGAGCACGAGCCCTCGGTCATTTCCATGCGCTTCTTCGGTGAAGCTCCGGGCAGTCCCGAGACGCCGATTTCGTATCGCATGCAACGCGATGCATCATCGGCCTCGTCTAGTTCGGGCCCCAGTCGTCCGGGAAGCATCTTCCAAGTGGAAGGCATGGGTTTGGGAGGTGATTTCCAACTCGCGGATTTGCACGACGCATCACCTTTCACCGGTCGCAACGATCCCGAGACGACGCAGGGCATGTGGCGATATGCGACGGAGTGAGTCCCCAAACCCAGGTCTAGAGTTTGACGAGGCTGATATTCCCAACCTTCTGCTGTGACAGACTGAGCAAGAAGCATAAAGAGTTGGAAGATCGACTCTCGACGAGCGCCTCCTCGTACGAAGAACAAATCAACGAGCTCGAAGGTCGCCTTGAAGAGATGCGCGCCGAACTTGTCGCCAAACGACGTGAAGAGAAGGACCTGCGCTCAAACGAACGCCAGCACCTGCAGCAGATCTCGGCGCTCGAAGGGGAAGTGGCCAAGATGACCAAGGCGTTGGAGAAGGCGCGCGAGTCGTACGACTCGATGAAACGCAATTACCTCGATCAGTGCGAAGAGGCGGAGAAGCTCAGGTCGCTCGTGGCTGAGACGCGAAGGGTGCGTTCAAGGGCAACTTCAGGTGTTGTCCCGTCTAACACACAGCTGACGACCAACTGAGCGTACACAGGAGAATCGAGCGGCCGAGGAAGCGGCTCATGCGCAATCTTTGCAGGCCCAGCAACTCGAGCGAGATCGCGAGATCTTGCAAGGGGCCATTTCGAGGCTCGAAGCGGACCTTAGGCTCGCCAGTCAAGCTCAGGACACCCTCGATGCGCAGAAACAAGAGAACGTGAGTCGATCATTTCCAAGAAGCTACCATGTGTTTTGGGCCCTGACCCTGAAGCTCCTGCTTTCCTCCTCAGCTCGTCTTGAAAGAGACGATCGATCGCTTACGCTTCGATCTCGAAGAGATGCAATCTTCGAATCGCAAGAGTGGATTCCTCGAAGGAGGCATGTCAGGCTCGCCCGATCGCGGGGGCATGAACTCGATGAGTCGAAGTTTAGGCAAGGAGCTGGCGCGCAATCTCGCGCAAGAAGCGATGGCTGCAAGGATAGAAGCAGAGGAGGAGAGTGGGGAGAGTGACGAGGCTGAGGATAGCGATGAGGTCAACGAGACGGTCGTGACGACTCATCGAACGATTGTGGGTCAGCTTCCTGATCTGAAAATCTCCAAGGTCTCTGGCACTGACGTACAAAGCTGGGCGTTCCTATAGCACAAGAAGAAGACGAAGAAACGCAGTGGCACCTTGACGGGCCCCGGACCATTTGTGCAACGCCTCCAGCAATCGATCGTTCTAGCCGAAATCGAAACACAGACGGATGTTCCGGAACTGCGAGCCATGAACGTTCAGACCGACCTGTCGGGCGCTCAAGTTCGACTCGTCGCCGCACCCCTAATTGACGAGGAGGTTTCGGTCACCCCGCCACCACGTGCCGCCTCTCCACCACTCACGGATGGAGAATTGCGTGCCAAATTTGCGGAGGAGCTTGGAATCGATCTGCTCGACTTCGATCGTGCGCTCGAATCGACCAAGAAGGGCACGGTCACAACCTCCTCGCCTCGACAGGCCGTGACCCTGCTCGCGCGCGAACACTTTGGCCCAAGGCGAGCAGGGAGATACTTGTCTCGCATGGGTACCAAAGCTGCCACTCAAGCACCTCAGCTCTTCATCAATGTACGTGCTTCAGAACTAATTTGACCTTGCTTCGCAACTTGACTGTGTTGTCATTCTTTTCCACAACTCGCAGGTGTTCCCGGGCTTCGCCAAGCCTTACGTGGCCCAAATTCTCGAGTCGTCCCTGACGTTCTGCCTCTACTCGGTTGCCGTCTTCCTCACGGGTTTCATTGTGAGTTCAGAAACCGGTAAAATGCGAGGATTTATGTTCCACTGAGCCTCATGTCTGCTCGTGTGGAATTGTAGAGCGGTACGCTGCTCACTCCGATCAGCCATCACCACTACTTCACGCCTTTCCAAGTCCAGTTTGGCGCCAGCGACGTCACGCACAACACGCTGTGGGGTGAGGGAATGGTACTCGGGAGTAGTTCAGGAGGTCATGCTAGTGAGGGGCTAGCGTTCTGGCTTGAACGGTCAGTTGCTTATCGACATGCGTGGTCTGATGGGACTGCCGAACTTACTGACCATGGTCGCAAAATCCGTTCTCGCGAACAGCATGGTCTGGAATGGCGTTTCGAGCGTTCGTCGTGTACCAACTTGAATTGTCTTTTCTCTTTCGTCGCCATTCCTTGTACAATGCGCTCTCGTTTGTGTGTCGTTGTAAAAAAGGTAAACCCCCTCGTTTTTTCGCTGGCCGGTTTTGCGCTTGCGCCGATGGTTGATCTATCGTTCACCAGTAGTGGACACTTTTCTGTCTTGTGATCACTTAAGCCAGCCGGCATTGTGAATACAACTTTTCCATTCTCAAGGGTGAGGAAGCCGTTAAAGTCAAACGTGATTGATGTAGTCGGAAAGTGTGTCATTCCAACCCACTTCAAAACAGCTCAAGTCGGGACCCGAGCACCCACCGATTTCTTCACCCTCACTGGCAGGCGGGTGCACGTGATTGCTCGGCAAGGGTCTGGTGGCGGGGGCAGCTGAAGGGCAGGTGATGCTATTTCCGACGAAGTTGAAACGTGAGATCGTGAGACGACGGTCAGAAATCGGAGATGGAACAGAGCACGGTGGATCACGTGGCGAGAATTATCCCAAGACTAGCGTGAAGAGAGGCCGCTGGCGCGTGAAAGTGCTGGGTGGACGAGCCGACCCGACCGTCCGGATCGCGAATACTAATAAATAGCTTTACAAATCGACCGGCCGAGAATGACGCGATTACCATAGCCGGGGGGGCTCTTCTTTCTCCCACCTCGAATATAGCCAGCAACCGCCGCGACATTCGTCGTCGCCGCTCGGTTGAAGGCACATCATGTCAACATCCACGTCTGCTCGAACAAAGAAGGCACCGACACGGGTCAGGAACACCAGTGCGGGTCATTGCCACGGAGCACCTCCGCCGGCTTCGACTTGGTCCTCATCCTCGGCAACGGCAACGGCATTGGCGACCGCATCCGCATCCGCATCCGCATCCGCATCAGCTTCGGCTTCGCCCGCACCGTCAACGCAAGGCGCAGAAGAGGACTGGCAACTCGACTCGATCGAGGATGCGCTGGCCGACATCAAGCGCGGCGAGTTTGTCGTCGTCGTCGATGACATGGACCGCGAGAACGAAGGCGACCTCATCATCGCCGCGCACAACATCTCGACCGAGCAAATGGCCTGGCTCATTCGTCATTCGTCGTCAGTCTGGTAGCTGCTTCAGCAAGGAAGAGACCGCGAAAGGCTTACACGACGCGATCTGACTTTACAGAGGGTACATCTGCATCTGCCTGCCCGCGCAACGGCTCGAGGAACTTGACATCAAGATGATGGTCGAGGACAACCAGGACAAGAACAAGACCGCCTACGCCGTGACCGTGGACTACCGACATGGTCAGTGTGCACCACAGTAGTAGCAATGGCGTCTTTGTCTGTCTCGGCCCTGACGCTCACCCCGGCTCCCCACTCTGGCAGGAACGACGACCGGCATTTCGGCCCACGATCGAGCCTTGACGGCCGTCAAACTGACCGACCCGAGCTCGACCGCTGCCGACTTTTCAAGACCGGGTCATCTGGTGCCTCTTCGCGCCGCAGATGGAGGTGTTTTGGCACGCAAGGGGCATACAGAAGCTTCGATCGGTAAGTCTTGCGCTCTTGCGACCAGGAGAGAGTGGTGGAGAAGATTCCCCGCCCCGGACTGTGGCTGAGAACGTGCTTTTGCCTCCCTCACAGACCTTTGCCGTCTCGCCGGTCTACCACCAGCAGGCATCATCTGCGAGCTCGTCAAGGCCGACGACCCGATGGGATCCATGGCCCGTCGCGACGACTGCTTCAAGTTTGCGCGTGATTGGGGGCTCAAGATGATCAGTATCGAGCAGATCGAGCAGTACCGGAAACAAAAGGGGCTGTAGCACAAATGAAGAAAACAAGGTAGCAAAAATGACTGTACATCGTTCAGGTGCAATATGTGCTTATCTGTAATGTCGCACGGATGATATATCAAAGCGATCCGGATGGCCCGACGGCAAGCAACTGGGCCGGGGCCGTGACGGAGATGAGTCGAGCCAAGAGAAGGACGATTGCAAATATATTGGGAGGGACAAGCATTCCCGTCAAGAAAAAAGAAGGATTCTCGAGAACTTGGCGAAACATAAAGCCTTGACGAGTTCGAAGAGACGGGAGACCATGCTAAACAAAGAGCTGATGATGATGAGGGGGAGTCAATGCTAAACAAAAGAGGGGCGAGAGAGGTGTGCTAAACAAGGTGCTAAACAAAAGAAGAAGAGTTCGTGAGTGTGGGAGAAAACCCCTACAGCAAGATTCGAAAGGCGGAGAACAAAACCGGAGAACGACGAGAATCAAATCGGGTATCGCTCTCGTAACCTGGTTACGATCGGTGGTGGCAGATGCGCCAGTTGGGCCTCCCACGCCGGCGGGTCGGACATGTTTTTGAAAGCGACCAAGATAGTCTTGAACATGTCGTGCAACGTTTCGGACGGTCGTTGCCACCGCGCGATCGCGTTGAGGAAGTACCCAAACGCAGCCGAGATACCATTCGGGTTCAGCTGGATCGCGGCGCAGATCCCCCGGAACGCCGAATCCTTCTCTTCGTTGTCCTTGATATCCGCCAAGGCTTGACACCAAGCACTGACGAAGACTTCGAGGTGAGGTGCGACGAGGTCGGGGCAGACGATCGCCAACCTCCCAATCGTGACGGCCGAGTTCTCCGTCAGACTTCGAGCCGATCGATTCGACAAGAGCACGGGTACGATCCGTTCCATCAAGGGTTGGACCCACGGCTTCATGTCGGCTCCGGCCTGTAGGGCGATCTCACCCGCTGCCCAAGCGGCATTGTTGCATACGCTCACTTCGGCAGGTCTCGGTTCGACGTCGATGCTCGCGATCACGCCCGGCATGAATTGGGCCAAGACGGGGTGCAAGATCGGGAAACATGAGATGGCGGTATCGCCCAAGAGGGCGTACGACGATTGTCTCACGGGCGGGTCGGGGTGCTGCAGACACAGCGCGAGCAAAGACAGGACGGGCGGGTCCGACGATCGATACAATTCGGTGATGGCCGTGTTGAGACCCTGGGTCAGGCCCGACAAGAGATCGAGCGAAACGATGAGGAACGTCTTGTCCGGTTCCTCGACCTGGGCCGGGTTCGCCTTGTACTGCTCGAAATCGATCAACGACTGTTTGACGATGGCGATGCAGCGTTCGAATACGGGTTGCGCGTAGGTGAGGAACCCTTGCCCGATTGCAATCACGACCGACGACAGGCACTCGAGTAGCGGGATCAGATCCGGGTCGTTGTCGCTCAGGTTCTGCCATCGCCGGATGAGTGGCGGCATCAGGACGTTGACGTGTTCGGGTCGATTCAAGGCACCTGCCACCGAGTCGGCGAGTGTTCCAATCGCGTCGTACAGGATCAACAAGTTCTTTTGCTGGTATTTCTCGAAGGCGAAAACGAGGTTGCCGAGGATCGAGCCGAGGTACGGCTCGAGCTCGGGTCCGGCTTCTTCTTCGAGTGTCGCAAAGGCCGAACATCCCGCTTCCTGTACCCGCTTGTTGTTGTCGAGGCACATTTTCAGGAGCTACAGGAGAAAAATGTGGAGCGACGTCAGTCTGAGTATTGGCACATCCGAGACCATGATGGAACGGTAGGACTCACGCCTTCCATGGCCGGAATAAAAAACTGCTGCTTGTGCTCGGGTGTGGCGTCCTCCTTGATCGTCCAGCTCGAATACCGCCCTATTGTCCAACATGTGATGGACCTGACGAGCGGTTTCGGGTCGTTAAGCGAGCTGATGAGCAAGGGCATCAACACGGGCAAGTGTTGCTCGATGCCGGTGATGCAGCCCTCCGCGATTGCACCCAGGGCCAAGATGGCGGACTCGCGATCGGTCCATTCGGTCGAAAACAGCTTTTCCCTCAAGTAGGGGAGCAGGATCTCGAGCATCTCGGTCTCGAATGCGACGGCCATCACGTCCAGAGCCGCGGCCGAGCATTTCCTCAAGTTCCACTCCGTGTATGGATCATCGTCCTCGTCGTCCTCGTAATCACTCTCATCCTCCTCCTCGTCGTCGTCCAGTGCGTCGCGCGGCTTGTTGCTCGATGGCGTCGATGTCCCTGTACCGTTGGGGTCCTCGATCCGCTCGTTGGTGTGCGCCTTTGACGACAAGAGATGGGGTCGGATGTCTTCGGCCTTGTCGGGCACGGCGGCGTCGTCTTCGGCGCCGTCCAAGATGGCGATGTCGTCCTCGGAGTAGACCATGCACGACAAGAGCACGGGGATGACGCGGGGCAAGAAGGGTCGCAGGTGTTCGATCAGTTCGGGGTCCTCGGCAAAGGTGAGCCAAAACTCGCACGCCTCGAGCGCAACCTCCTCGTCCTCGATCGTCTGGGTCGCGTAGAGCATAAAGTCGACGACGTTGGGCATGTGGGGGATCAGACTGTCGGGCCGGTTCGCGAGCAGTTGGACCAAGGCCTGGCAGACGAGCTTCTTGACCTCGGTCGAGTCGTCCGAGGCGTGGCGGAAGAGCGCGTTGATAAAATTGACGATGTGGGTCGAGAGCGCGTTGTTCTCGGTCGTGATGAAATGCGACGCGGCGGAGAGGGCGTAAGCGCGGATCTTGGGGTTGCCCGCGTCGATGTGCTGGATGAATTTCGGGATCATGAACTCGAGCGGCTTGTTTCCCTGCACCTCCATCTGCTCGAGCTGGCGCGGGATGTCTTCGCACAATTTGTCGAGGGCCGAGAAGGCGCCCTGCGGACGACGAGAGCGGGCTAATTCAGTGATGGAACTGTTTCCGATAGGACTACCTGTGGTGACCCACCTCCTGGGCATACTGGTCGGTCGATTCAATGAGCTGCATCAACTGCGCCAACGCTTCGGGCCAGTTCTGGGGTCCGAGGCCGATGAGGAGCGTGTCGACGACGGTCGAGACGGTGTTGCGGATCATCGGGGTCGGGTCGGCGATGGCCTCGAAGACGTGCTCCTTGACGTAGGCCAACACGTCGGCGGGGATCGCGTCGAGTCGCAGTCGGATGTTGTTCTTGAGCAAGAGACCGGCCATGGAGCGCACGGTCATATCCTCCGCGGGGAGCTGGGTCAGGATGAAGACCAGATACGAGTTGTAGTCGGGCACCTCATTGAACGACTCGAGGCGCTGGAAGGGAAAGCCAAGCCAAGGAATGGTCAGTACGGTACGGTTTCAGCATGGGAGCGGGTGCCGCGCGACGTAGAACCGCGGAGGTCGTCGGTGGTCGGTGGTCGGTGGTCGGTGGTCGGGGTCTGATTCTTTGGCTCGCAGCAGCCGGGGAGGCGGCAGCCCGACCAGACCACGACATGCGCGACCACGCACGCGCCACGACGAGCAACTACGACCACCACCACCACCACCACCACCACCACCGCCAGCGACGCCACCGTCCTCACAGCGACTCACGACTTGGATCTGCTCCTGAACTTTGGTGTCGGGCGATCCCGAGTTGCGCAGGCATTGCAGCAATTCGTCGAGCCCCTGCGCCTGCGGTTGCCAACTCATCGCGGGAAACGGGAACGGAAACCAACCGGGCGGCCGGGATGGTTTGTGGCACACACACACACACACGCGCGCGCGCGAGAAATCTGGTTGGTGGGAGGTGTAAACAGAGTTTACGGCCAGTCGCGTAGGTTCAAGGAAGTAGGTTGTCGTGTGTGCCGAGTCGTGAGCTGAGCGCAGAGAAGGCAAGCTCGAGCTAAAGCAACGAAACCCCCCCCCCCCCCCCCCGCGAGACCCGACCCCGCGCGTCTGGACCCGCACCACCTCACTCGCACGGGCCACGTATGCCCCAGCAACCAGTGCAGTGGGCCGTGGCGGGCTCGATCATCCCCGTTGCGGAACATGACAAGACTTCTCACCATACGGAAGCTGAAATTATTTCTGTGGTGAGTAACAACGCGTTTCGAAAGCTTGATCACCACGGCTACTGTGGTGTACCAATTTCCATCCGCAGACTCCCCAGCCTAGTACGCAGGAAGAGATCGCCGTTCATCGCTCCACTTGCTCATCTCCCTCTTCTTCCTCTTGCTTTCTCTCTGCCTCCTCCGCTTCGACCCTCTCCTCTTCCAGTACATCCTCGACATCCAAAGGGTACGTTAATAATGCCGCAATACCCGTCAACTGATTCAATTCTGCGGCAAAAGAAACACCCCGAGACAAAATCAGTCCCAGGCTTCTTTGGATCCGACTCTCGAGCGACGACACGACTTGCGTTGTCCCGACTCGTGCATACTCGAAAAGATCAGTACTTCGCCCCCATAGGCCTTGACGCTTTCGACCAAGCGAACGAACCGTTTCCTTCGAGCGGGGATAGGAGACCTGTCACTCGGAGGAGAGATCGATTCCTCTGAATGATCAGTTTGTCCACTACAACAGGTCGGATTCGGTCGGAACGCACCTGAAAATCTCATCCGAGATCAACAGCTTCCCAATCGCGCCCCGATCTGCGGCCTTGAAGACGTGGTCCTCGCCATACCAAGCCCTCAGCGGGTTCTCATCAAGCATTTTGAAGAATCTGTGAGACAAACGTTTTGTCGTCAGTCCTAGCCCTGCACTCTGCGTGGGTCATGGTAAGGTCGACCTGTCCGCTCACTTTTCGAGCATCAGACCCTCCTGAGCGAACTTGGTGTCTTTAAGTTGTGAGGAGATCTGAAGAGGGGGTGCACAGGAGACAAAGATACGTCATCAAATGCAGCACTCCTGCACGTAAAAGAGAGCCCTAATACCAAACTGACCTCGGGACTGGACAGGATGTGCGCAAGCGAGTGGACGTGGTGCGAGGGCGAATGCAGGAGCAGAAATTTCGATTTGGCCTGCAGCAGTGTCTTGTTCCCTTGCCGCTGGTAAAGAGAGCCAATTACAATGCAATCAAAACACTTTGATTCGTTGACGCGTGCACCTTTTAATGACTGACCACAGCCTCTTCCATAATATAAGCGTAGACGGACTCCTTGGTAAAGCCGGGCGAGGCGAGGATGAGCACCTTGATGGTGTCGAAATCGAAATGCCGTACGACGGCGGCGTAGACTTGTTGATTGAAGCGATTGTGGGCCTAAGAATTACAAACTCAGTCCTTGGAATTGTTTCTCCATATAGAGCGGCTCTCACACACCTTGTCTGCTCCCAGGGCGGTCCCCCCACCTTTCCGTTTCCTCGGCACGGCGACGTCGATTCGTTGTCGGATGATGGTCGTGTGGTTCGTTATGACGCAAATGTTGGCAATACCTAGGGGCATCACCAACACTTCAATTTTATTACATTCACCGCCCAACCTCGGATCTGACGCCGAAGTTGCCTCTCACCTTCACCGCAAACGATCGCGCCGACCTCGGCTCCTCTCCCCGGCTCGGTTACTTCGGCCACCCTATCCCTTGCGACCGAATCCCATTCCCCCTGTTGTTTAATGATGGTGAAATCGCGACCGATCTCCAGATCCAACGTATGGAACGCGCCCTTTTTGACATGAGGGTTCTCGGACGAGACCTTGCCCGAGACGTGCAGCGTCGCTGAATGTGAGCCACCGCCTGTGCCCGTCGTAGCTGCCGTCGTCAGCTGTTCAGGTGATGGTGCTCCACGCGTCGATGTGCCAGCTGCACTCGACGAGTCGGCGGCTGCACTGCCACTCTCGCCTCCCGCAGCCAGAGCCGAATAGAGCACCTTCTCGACGACGATGGTCAGCTTGAGGTGCACGCGCTGCGACGTCGTCGATCCCGTCGAGGATTCGGTGGTGACCCTTCGGACGGCCGAGGCGCATAATTCGTCGCCGTGTTGTATGAGGTTGTAGGCGTGCCACATGTCCTCGTCCTCTTGCGGGCGCAGAGTGACGTAACCAGACAGGTCCCGCTCGACGTGTTGCTTCACCAGCAGCATTGCGGTGAGTGTGTGACTTGGCTGACGAGTGCCTGGTGTGTGTCCGTTCGACCCCAAAGTGATTTGGGGTTCGTGCTGCAGTCGGGCTGCAGGATCGAAGAGCTGTCGAGAGGTGCGATGCGCATCGAGTGCCCGGCCGCGCTCGGACCCATCCCCGAGTCGAACCCGTCGATCGATCTCACTCTGAGTACCACCTCGGTCGATGTCTTGCACGTGAAAAGCATCGCTTCCATGAATCTGAGCACCCCGCTCTATTTCTGACCATCCTCGTCGCACTTGGCACAGCGTCCCGTCATTCGGTGCACGTTGTACTCGGCTCTCGAAAACTACGGTTCGACACCACATTGAATCAACTCTGCATATGTTACTACACCCGTCGTACCAAGTACATCTCAAAGCTTTGAAGCTGCCTCCTGCCCATCCTTCGTGTTCACTGTAGTAGTATCTGGAACGCGACGACCGTCAACGCCAATGCCACGTATGGACTCAGTCGTTCCCCTACGGAGAGCACAGAAACCAAGCTCAGTGGCCATGTTGAGCACGATAGAGCCGCAAGGACGTGTGCTCACCTATCCGTGCACATTTGTAAAAGACGCCGAGGAAACTGCCACCCGACAAAGCGAGTCCACATAGATCAGCTTGCGGACGAATCCTCCTCTGGCGCCCCCCGAGTGCTTGTACAAGGCTTGCTCACCCATCCTTGTTGCGATCGACCAAGCCAGGCGCGCTCGCTCGTACGTAGGTGCACGTGCAGATGATGAGCAGGATCACGAGCAGCAGCGATTCGAAGTTGAAGAGAGCCGTCTGGATCGTCCGAGGAGGCGGGTTCAGCGTGTTCCAGAGAATTAGATGAGAGCTGTCGACTGACCATGGTTGGTTATCCGAATGCGCTCTCTTCTCTTGTTCCGTTCCGAGACCTCTGCGCCTCTTGAATGAAGTGTGGGTCGGGTCGTCCGCTCGTGGGGTTCGCTGTCTTGAAATCGTGCGGGAAGCCAGAGCGTGACGTGCCGCCGGTGACGTGGTGACGCTCCGCGGTCGGTCTCCATGGCAAAGCATGGCAAGCGGCAAGCGACTGGCAAGCGTCCGAATGCATACATCCAAGCAGTCATCCATAAAGAAGCACACAAATACCTATACATAACCACTTTAAACATGAGACATCTGTTTGAATCCCGAAGAAACAATCAGAGCCTCATTTTGAGTACAGCAGGACTACTCAAACAAGTCAGTGCAAGCCCCAAGTGTACCCGGACATGCATTATCGGAACACCACACAGCCTACAGCGCCCTTTGCAGTCAGTCGCGTCGGCCGGAGACCGCACAACCCCTCGGCCCAACACAGACTTCCAGCATTCAGACGGTGACACAGAGCATCCGAAAACAAAAATCAGATGCAAAAATTACCCTTTCCAATGCCCAAGAGACTATATCATGTTCTCACAGTTTGCCTCTCGACAACTAGCCCGGTCATGAATAAGGAGTTGCAAATCTTGTCGATGTCCCCGCTGCGCGTGCTTGAGCACAACTCGGAGTACGCGTGGCGCGGTGTTGGTCCTCATCATCGAGTACTCAAAGACGTAGGAGACCTCGTGTGTAGACTAGCTGGGATTCGAGCATTTCCAACCATTTGGTCATTTTCATCTCGACGCGCATACTGGAACCGCAGGAATCGAAAAGTGGTCGTCAACAGCTTATTTGTTGCTTCGTTACTGGAGAGAAACCCCCGATGCGGAATGCCCTACATTTTCGTCAAGTCAGTCGCCGGGCTGCCGGGGCCCGCCGCGCTCGGACTCGGAATGATTATCTTGGCTTCTAATCAGATGGCTCAAGCATGGTGCTCTACCGTGACAAAGAAAATCTGGTAGGATGGCAAGAAGCAAAACACGTTTTTGTGATAATCGACAACTTTGCAACACGGAGAATCAAAGAATCGGCGCCCGAAAAGCGAACCAACGCGCGAAGCTTTGAGCGCCGGTTGCCGAAGAAGGATCAAGACAGGGGTGGAGCTTATGGTGCGGCCGGTTGCGGGTCCCGCATAAAAAGCTGCAGGCCTCAGGATGCTCGAACTATTTCAGAAAGCTCGAGCTCACAAACGGACCCCTGACGACGTCTAGAGCGCCAGAAGGCAGATGAATCTAAGGGAATTGAAAGTGGGAGTGCTCAGTCACGTGACTCTATCAGGAAGACCATGTTCTATAAAGGACTATGCCGCAGGTTCAAGGTCCCAGGTACTGGATCGAATTATTTTAGCCCCTTTTACAGCTACAAGAACCCTCCTCTCTGATGGTGTGCAAACTTGCAAAGGCACTAGAAAACGGGGTTTTTTTTTTCGAAAATAGGATAACCGCGCAAATGCTGGGAACTCCGGTCTTCGGGAAGCCCACTCTGGTCCCACGTCCAAGGGAACTCCGGTCCTACGTCTCGCGCAACTTTGTGACCACGTCGGAGGTCATTGTGATCCCACTTCAAGAAACCCTTTGGTCCCACGTTGTCGGCCACATTGATCTCACGTTGTTGGTCACGTTGGTAACACGTTATTCAAACGGCTGTATCTCTTGCAACAGTCGATGTATCGCATCTGGCATAGCGTTCAGATGTTTGTACAGCCCCATAGTATCTCTCGCTGGCAGCTTAAAGTCCTGCATGCAGTATTCAATACATTCACCGTTGAGGTCACGTGACGTCTCTGTGGCCCTGCGTCGCGGCTCCCGTCCTCCGTCTGTTGCTGAGCTGCCTATATATATACTTCGCGTCGTTCAGTCGGGGTCAGCGTCGGCGCATAAACAGAAGTGCAGCTCCCTGTAGGACTCTTATCCACACAACCGTTTCTAAAGCATTTTCATAAAACTGGGTTACGAAATTCTGACCAGATGTTGTATGTGGTAATTACATCTATTTTCAGTGACGCTCATGGATCGTAGTCACAAATCGAAATCTTCGTCGAGCCCTCGCCTCTCCTCTTCTTGCGGCAGCTGCTCAAATCAACATTGCAGATTTAAACGCATGCTTCAGTCTCGGCTCTTTGTTTTCGCTTTGTTACAATTGACCGCACTTACTTTGAACATGGACGCTCCCGATCACACTTCAATTTCTGGCTTCGACATCGCAAGCAAGATTTTCGCCGACTCCTGCTCGGTGTGGCGCTTTCTCCTTCTGACTGCTCATGACGCCGTTTGCTGGGGGTAGACAGAGTAGTATGTCCTTGGTTTTTGCTTGCCGGATGGAGTTCGGATGTTGGTGGCAATTCACGGCGATCCGAGACAACCACGAGTTGTGGCATAGCTTCTGTGTTGGCATCTTTGGCTCTCAAGCCCAATGCTTCGTAAGGGCGTGTGCGTCGGATGATGACTGTATCAGCAGATGACGAAACATTGCTTGGAAGTCTTGAGCCCTCGAAATTCACGAATCTACTGGAGTCGGGGCTGGGGACTACTGAGTTCAATTTTAAAGGCGTAGAAAGTCAGAATGAGCGAAAACCAGGCGGGTTATCTCAGGGTTAGAGATCATACAAACTGCAGTAGTTGAACTCACTAAGAAGTTGGGAGACTTCTTCTGTATCGTCACTACTGTCGTCTGCCTCATCTTTTGGAACAACAACCGAGTTCCGATAGTATATTTGAGACGGTTGTAATACGATAAGCAACAACTTCGGAACGACTCAGAATGACTTGTCAACTCACCAATCTGCTCTTCCGGAATTGCGTCATATTCGTTAGGCCATGTCTCCAGGTCCATGGCGTCTTCCAGTCGATCAGGCGGGGCGCTTGGCGACCCAACGATGCTAGAGGTGCCTGTGTCGCATCGAAGACGGGCAGATCGGCAGGTCAGTTAACCCAGCCAAATGAGCTCCCCCGCGCGGGCGAGTTAAGGCAGCTTTTCTGTTTTTTGGCCCGGTTGGAGGTTGGTACAGGTTGGGTGCACCAATGCCCTCCCCACCCCGTCCCACCCCGGCTCAGTGCACCCCAAATGGTCATAAGTAATAAAGGGCTACTAGTTCGTGTAAGACTCACCATCATCACGAATAACACTTTCCGAAGACTTGTAAGTTCGAATTATGTCATAAATGTCATACAGCTTGTCGTACTCATTCCATTCAATTCGTGTAGTTCCATATACCATCAACTGATATGTGTACGACAGATCCTGTGTAGACCTTTTCGTCCTGTTTTCTTATATTCGTTAGTTTGGATACGACCGAAGGAGTACATACCGTGTCTACTATTGGGCCCGAGGGAGGGATCGGTCCTGGTCCCTCAGCTGGAATCCTGGATCGGTCCTCGGGCAGACAAACGCTTATTCTGAACGGTGTGCACTGTGTATAGAAAATGGATATCTAGTGAAGCCCCTTCGGACGGTCGACTTGGATCCAGCGGCAATCAGTCCTGCATCAATTCCCAGAGAGTAATTGAACAGGCAAAATTGAGGCGGGGCTGTGCCTGGCTGTGCGGCCGCACGCGGAGCTCAGATTGGCGAGCGCTCTGCGTGAACACGTTGACCTCTGCACACTCACGTCAACGCGACAACGCGCACCCTTGACCCACGCCACGCCCCGCATCTCAATACGTTGAAACCTCCCTGCGCCTGTTGAACGAACATCGATGCTATTGCCGAATGGAGGTATGTGGACGCGTTTCCCCGCCTCACATCCCCCTTCATGGGCCTAATTGTGTTGCTCCACCATGACGCGACCGTCAGACATACGCGTGGGATCTAGGCAAGGTTCTCCAGCAGAGTCCATTTCCTTTGGCGCTCATCCGAGTGAGTGCTCTTGTCTGGTGTGCCAACTAAGATCCCTTGTAGCAGGGCTGAGAGCAGAGTGCCGGTCATCGACCTCATCCTTCTATCTACTCAATCCTGCCGGACAGCTGAAGAATTCTCTGTTCTCTCACACCTCTTGCAGGTCGGAGGGACGATCAAAGCGGTCGAGCATCCTCACAAGCCAGCACAACTCTGGATGAACCGTCTCCACGCCCGACTCGGAAGAGAAAGCGGCGCATGCCCGTGCCCCAAACCCCTTCGTCCAACTCCGACTCTGACGAGCCCAATTGGGGCGATTCCAGTCACTCCTCGGCTGACGACAGCGACAGTTACAGTGAGAGTGAGAGCGAGTTTGAAGATGTCGCGATCGACCATCGAAGAGCTATCAGGCTCTGGACGGCCATACATGGCTCGCATCGGAACGCGACCGGTCGTATGAGTCAAAGAAAGTGGACCTCGTTGAAGCACTGGGCCGCTCGAAGATATTACTCGGAGCTCAAGATGGCCGCGAAACTCGGCATATCCCATGCAAGGCTCGTTCAGGCCGTCAAAAAGTTCAACAGCCTCGCTTCGAAGGGCAATGCGTGGTCTAGATTTCTCTCGGACCCTGTAGTCAAGGTTTTACACCAGCGAGCAAGCAAGGGTGAGTCGGTCCTCCGGGCGCTTCCGGTCATGCCCACTCCACTCTCCTACGCTCTCGCTTATGCTTACCGCTGCGTCCGCAATATCTGTTCTTACATACCCTGGGTGTGTCAAACGTGTTCAGAATCGGATCATTCGAAATCGCAATCCATCACCAAACTTGCCGCTCAACTCTGGAACTTCCTGAGAGACCAGGGGGACCTCGGATCTGCCCAACTTGGCGAGGACGATGAAGAGCTTGTTCGCGCGGCTTTTGCAGCGGCAGAGGCAGGAAATAATACGACTTTCACTTCGATAGTACCACCCACCATCATCACACGGTCGCCATCCGACATTCCTTCCCCAACTCGGATGGAGCAATGCAAAAAGTACATTGCAGAATTGCGAGACCTGGCGCAACGCATGTCCAAGCTGTACGGAGTGGAAACCCTGGCCTTCATTGTCCCTCGTTATCAAGACGACGTATCGCCA